CCACATGACTGCTATAGTCTACTTGTAGTAAAGGTTGGTCTGTGTCTCCAGGAAGGTTATTGCTTCAGTTACTGACATGACCGCTATAGTCTACTTGTAGTAAAGGCTGGTCTGTGTCTCTAGGAAGGTTATTGCTTCAGTTACTGACATGACCGCTATAGTCTACTTGTAGTAAAGGTTGGTCTGTGTCTCCAGGAAGGTTATTGCTTCAGTTACTGACATGACCGCTATAGTCAAGCTAATTGTAGTAAAGGTTGGTCTGTGTCTCCAGGAAGGTTATTGCTTCAGTTACTGCCATGACCGCTATAGTCAGACTACTTGTAGTAAAGTTTGTCTGTGTCTCCAGGAAGGTTATTGCTTCAGTTACTGACATGACCGCTATAGTCTACTTGTAGTAAAGGTTGGTCTGTGTCTCCAGGAAGGTGATTGCTTCAGTTACCGACATGACCGCTATAGTCAGACTACTTGTAGTAAAGGTTGGTCTGTGTCTCCAGGAAGATTATTGCTTCAGTTACTGACATGACCGCTATAGTCAGACTACTTGTAGTAAAGGTTGGTCTGTGTCTCCAGGAATATTATTGCTTCAGTTACTGACATGACCGCTATAGTCAGACTACTTGTAGTAAAGGTTGGTCTGTGTCTCCAGGAAGGTGATTGCTTCAGTTACTGACATGACCGCTATAGTCTACTTGTAGTAAAGGTTGGTCTGTGTCTCTATGAAGATTATTGCTTCAGTTACCGACATGACCGCTATAGTCTACTTGTAGTAAAGGTTGGTCTGTGTCTCCAGGAAGATTATTGCTTCAGTTACTGACATGACCGCTATAGTCTACTTGTAATAAAGGTTGGTCTGTGTCTCCAGGAAGGTGATTGCTTCAGTTACCGACATGACCGCTATAGTCAGACTACTTGTAGTAAAAGTTGGTCTGTGTCTCCAGGAAGGTTATTGCTTCAGTTACTGACATGACTGCTATAGTCAGACTACTTGTAGTAAAGGTTGGTCTGTGTCTCCAGGAAGGTTATTGCTTCAGTTACTGACATGACTGCTATAGTCAGACTACTTGTAGTAAAGGTTGGTCTGTGTCTCCAGAAAGGTTATTGCTTCAGTTACTGCCGTGACCGCTATAGACTACTTGTAGTAAAGGTTGGTCTGTGTCTCCAGGAAGGTTATTGCTTCAGTTACCGCCATGACCGCCATAGTCAGACTACTTGTAGTAAAGGTTGGTCTGTGTCTCCAGGAAGGTTATTGCTTCAGTTACTGACATGACCGCTATAGTCTACTTGTAGTAAAGGTTGGTCTGTGTCTCTAGGAAGGTGATTGCTTCAGTTACCGACATGACCGCCATAGTCAGACTACTTGTAGTAAAGGTTGGTCTGTGTCTGCAGGAAGGTTATTGCTTCAGTTACTGCCATGACCGCTATAGTCTACTTGTAGTAAAGGTTGGTCTGTGTCTCTATGAAGATTATTGCTTCAGTTACCGACATGACCGCTATAGTCTACTTGTAGTAAAGGTTGGTCTGTGTCTCCAGGAAGATTATTGCTTCAGTTACTGACATGACCGCTATAGTCTACTTGTAGTAAAGGTTGGTCTGTGTCTCCAGGAAGGTTATTGCTTCAGTTACCGACATGACCGCTATAGTCTACTTGTAGTAAAGGTTGGTCTGTGTCTCCAGGAAGGTGATTGCTTCAGTTACCGACATGACCGCCATAGTCAGACTACTTGTAGTAAAGGTTGGTCTGTGTCTCTAGGAAGATTATTGCTCACCAGCTATAAACTTAAGTGGAAAATTCTGGTTGTTCATCCACTTCTGGACAGTAGTCCTTCCTATTCCAGAACCTAAGTGTTGCATGCACATCCATTTTACATATCTGACTTATTTGTATGCAGACTGTTAGTTTCTTGCCTCTCCAAAAGATGCACCCCAACTTTGAAGGAAGCTCCCAGCTAGTCGACTCCAGTGACATGCTTTTGGGTTGGCAATTGATCAATTCTTGTTTTCCCTATAACAGGGCTCTGGAACCGGCATGGGGAACGACTTGTAGTACAGCAGAGAGTCACAAAGTGACCAATAGCAAATCATTAAAATATTTGTACGAAAACTTTTCAGAATACTGCGGACGAAGAAGAACAGAAATATAACAAAATGTTCAAAGATCTGAAGGAAGACTGGCTAGTAAATAACATCTGGTCTCGGAAACTGAAAAATGTTGGTCATATCAAGCGTTGCAGTGGATTGGAAAGAATAGTAGCAGAAGGCTTGTTGCCAGTAAAGAGGAACAGGGGCTGTCCAACATGAAGATAGCCACAGGACATAATTGACCCCCCCCCCCTCCCCAGGCAGGCGGTAATGAGTGCAACATTCTGCAAAGGACCTGTTGCATGATGATGAAAGCAACATCGAAATATATCAATAAATAAAATCTCAATAACATTATTCAGTTAAGATTGAAAAACTAGTAATTCTTTCACATTTAATCACGTAATGCAGTTTATAATTGCCTATACCATTACAGACATAAAGATTATTTAGAATGGAAACTTTACACGATGTACAACAGACAAAATAATTGCATATACCATTACAGACATAAAGATTATTTAGAATGGAAACTTTACACGATGAACAACAGACAAAATAATTGCCTATACCATTACAGACATAAAGATTATCTAGAATGGACACTTTAGACGATGTACAACAGACAAAACAGTCGGCTGGGCCTACCATTCTGTGTGACAGCTTTGATGACCCCACCAAGGAGTTGGTTGTTGTTGACTATGTTGAGCAGATGGAAGGCAAAGAAGTAACCATGCAACAATGTACCGGCAACAGACATTCCTAGGAACAGCTGAAACATAATACAATACAAACTAATACTTTCTGTCTTCTTCTTACTTCTTTCTTTATTCTTCTTCCTTCATTATCCTCCTTCTTCTTCCTGCCTCCTCTTTTTTATTCTTTCTGACTGCCTGCCTCCTCCTTCACCTGCTGCTTCTGTCTTTTTCTTCTTCTCCTTTTTCTTCACTGATTATCAAACAACTACTTCAGTTGTGCCTGTAAACTTGGCCGTCTATATTAAGTCTCTAATCTCAATTCATTGTTTATCTCTCTGTAGCTGGGTATGGTCAAATGTTCACACTCATGAGCTGACAATTTGAGAGAAGAAGATCCACAAGTTAGACCTGGTGAAGCTTGTCTATGGTACCTGGTGAAGCATGTCTGTGGTACCTGGTGAAGCATGTCTATGGTACCTGGTGAAGCATGTCTATGGTACCTGGTGAAGCATATCTATGGTACCTGGTGAAACATGTCTATGGTACCTGGTGAAGCATGTCTATGGTACCTGGTGAAGCATGTCTATACCAACTTCAAGGTCAAGATAAGAGAAATAATCAACTGGGAACAGTCAGTACAGGCATCTTGTGCTGGTTGTTTCAGCAAAACACTGGCCATGCCCAGGAATGTCCAATCTACATAACATAACATAAAATCAGAAACATGTTCCACTGTTTGTTTGTCCTCTCATACAAGGGACAATCTATCCTTGTCAAGTTAGTGTATAGACACAACTTGACATTATTAAAGTTCTATTTTCAAGGGACTGTGTTGCAGGACATTTTATCCCCTCTCCACCAATAAAACACTTCCAATACTGGCTGTATTTACCATTTCTGTGGTGTAGGCAGGGAGTGTTTGAACCTGAGGATTCAAGGCTGCATGGCTGGTGCTGTCGCCACAGACCAGGCAGGTTAGGATTTTATATTTTACCTCCGACAGAAAAATCCTTAACCGTACCAAGGATTTGAATCTGGGTCCCTTGCTTGAAAGCCTAGCATGTTACCACTGTGCCACCTGCTGCTTAAACCCCTCTCTGATTTAGGAAATCAACGCAACTGATAATAGGACTTCTGATCTGTGGAAAAGTTTGTGTAACTAGGTCGTGATTAAACATCACACGTAAAGGAGGGCTAGGATCAGGCTGTGATTGGTCATTTTTCTCAGTGTCAAATATTTAATTGTTAACATAAAGGTTAAAGGTTAAAGTCAAGATGATCGACTTCATTGCATTTGATTTTACCCCACATGGCTCTGTCACTCTCTGCAAAAGGCTAGCCACCTGCAGAGAGCACCACACAGAGCACTAACTCCGTAGTTCCGACGAAGATCCCCAAAGTCAAACGGCTTGACCACCTCGCCATGGAGATACCATGGAGACACCATGGAGACACCATGGAGACACTTAGATCACCATTAATAACCATGCTTCACATCAATGCCTAAAGACAAGGGCAAGACAAGACAACTAAAAAAAAACAGTAACATCATTTTATATTCACAAAAGCTATCCAAACTGTCAGATGAATCTCTGCGGATATTCACAAAAGCTATTCAAACTGTCAGATGAATCTCTGCGGATATTCACAAAAGCTATTCAAACTGTCAGATGAATCTCTGCGGATATTCTCAAAAGCTATCCAAACTGTCAGATGAATCTCTGCGGATATTCACAAAAGCTATTCAAACTGTCAGATGAATCTCTGCGGATATTCTCAAAAGCTATCCAAACTGTCAGATGAATCTCTGCGGATATTCACAAAAGCTATTCAAACTGTCAGATGAATCTCTGCGGATATTCTCAAAAGCTATTCAAACTGTCAGATGAATCTCTGCGGATATTCTAAAAAGCTATCCAAACTGTCAGATGAATCTCTGCGGATATTCACAAAAGCTATTCAAACTGTCAGATGAATCTCTGCGGATATTCTAAAAAGCTATCCAAACTGTCAGATGAACCTCTGCGGATATTCTCAAAAGCTATCCAAACTGTCAGATGAACCTCTGCGGATATTCTCAAAAGCTATCCAAACTGTCAGATGAATCTCTGCGGATATTCTCAAAAGCTATCCAAACTGTCAGATGAATCTCTGCGGATATTCACAAAAGCTATCCAAACTGTCAGATGAACCCCTGTGGATATTCTCAAAAGCCAGACTTACCAAATAATAAAATGTTGTGAAGCTGAAGAATTTGCTGTTCAGCTTCGATGGTGGCTCTTCTTGCTTCACTACCTCCTGTTCTTCATCATCTGAGTTGGTTTTGCCACACAGCTGACTGGAAAACAAGAAAATCAAGCAAACATGGTTTGGTCAAACAACCTGAAAGACATGGCTGTGGTCTTGGCAGGCAAGCACACGCATGACATAAACAGGCAGTGAATGCAGTGGAGTTGATGAAAACAAATGCTATATAACACAAAATGTGACCAGAAAGCTCAACGGACGGAATAGAAAAGACGCACACAAGTACAACCAAATGTTTCGACTTAAGTACTTTGATCCCAACATTAGACTTGTATTTGCGGGCCTCTTTTTCAGCTTTCCAGTCACATTTAATGTTATTCGGTGCTTTTAGTATCTTTTTAGATAAAAAGAGTAAAAAAGACGACTTGAAAAAAACTGTCTCAGGAAGAAAACATTCTTTGGTCGTGTGATGAGAAGGAGAAAACTGGAGTACATCCTGACGGTAGGAAAGTGAATAGGAGGGGAGAAGAGGCAGAGAGAGACTTGAGAGAACAGATGCTGGACAGTTTGACATCATGGCATGAAAGATCATCGATGTCAAAGTTGACTGAAAGTACACGAGACATAAGGTTGTGGACAGACATGACTACCAACACCACATGGCATGGACTTCAAAATGAAGAAGAAGTACCTTCTTATATGGGTGTTATAACTGACCTTTACTACAAAAACAGAAAGGAAAATTCAGGCTTTCAAACACAAACACTACAGATAAATTTGACAAATGACCTATTTAGAATATAAAACTAACAAATATGTAAAAGACAGAATAAAATACAGCAGGAGCCTCGGTTCTTTCTCAATATCCAACCCCAGATGATGTCACAGGACAGTCCAACATTTTAGAGAGTGGTTAGACTGGGTTTCCCAGCTTTCTGATGCTTTAAACAAGCCTAAAACATCTAAAACTGGCCCTAACCCCAACCCACCTAACTCATGTGAGAGAGTGCAGCCTAGGTCCCCCCAAAACATGCAGCCTATGTCCCACGACTGCATGCAGTCTATCTACCACCCCCTGAAATATTAGACTGTCCTGTCACCTGTGGATTTCCCCTGTTTGGGGTAGGATGATAAGAAAGCACCGAAGCCTCTCTTGGCAATGGTGAAACGTCACAAGCCAGCTTGGTTCGGACATGTGGTGAGACATGGTTTAATTACAAAGACTACTTCAAGAAACACTGTGTGAGTGTGTGTGTGTGTGTGTGGGGGGGGGGGGGGTAGTTGATGAAGAGGGGATGGGGACAAAAGGATAGGGGGGTGGGCAAAGAAGTATCTGAAATGACAACAGAAAGAACTGGACATGAGTAAACTATTGTACTCTTGTTCAGCAAGCAGAGAACAGAGAAAAATGGCAGGTTTTGTGCACTAGTGCTTCCAATAATACACCCCCAAGACGATACAGGGTCAAGGGTTATGTTATCTTATGACTCTTCAGCTACACAGATTTCGGTGTCCTGAAAGCTTGGGTTTATACACCTCTTCTTCCTATTCCTACCCAAACCTCTCCTTCTCTCCTCCAGTGTACTACTTTCCTCGGATATCTACTCCTCTTCTCCAATGTACACTTCTCTCTCTCAATGTACCACTTTCCTCGGATATATTCTCCTCTTCTCCAATGTACACTTCTCTCTCTCAATGTACCACTTTCCTCGGATATATTCTCCTCTTCCCTAATGTACACTTCTCTCTCTCAATGTACCACTTTCCTTGGATATATTCTCCTCTTCCCTAATGTACACTTCTCTCCCTCAATGTACCACTTTCCTCGGATATCTACTCCTCTTCTCCAATGTACACTTCTCTCCCTCAATGTACCACTTTCCTCGGATATATTCTCCTCTTCCCTAATGTCTGTTGCTCTCCTCCTGAAACTGAGCTCTGACCTCTAATCCTGTAATGTACAAGACATATTCAGCAAGCCTAAATGGTAACCATAACTACAGAGCAGACAATAAGGGACTTAACTAATCAAATATGGGTTGACCTCATGTTCCAATTACCGATAAAAAAACATAAACACGCAAAAACATTGACATAACTTCAAGATCAGAATACTCACCTAAACCATTCAGTGATCTCCGACCAGCGGGGCAGTCGAGGATGGTAAGACAGGAAGTAGGTGATGAGCACGAACAGCGACAACAAGTTGTGGACTCCACTTAAAACCCACATGGTGATCTGATACTCGGGCATTGCAAACTTTCTGATGACTGGTATTGGACTGTCAGGGGGAAATTACAAGATGATTGGCATGTGGAGAATAGACAGTGAGAAGCAACAATTAATTTCATAATCTGTGTAAAACACCATAGTGGTGCCATGAGGGCTGATGGACCACATCAACCCACTGAGTCGACCCCTTGAGCATATAGAACAAATGGCAAATAACACAGTGAGACAAAAACTGCATTCATAAAACAGTTAAATGGAAGTAGACCAAGGCATTGGTGGTTAGAAAATATTCGGACAGACCTACCAGCACTTCGTAGTCACCAACTGGAAAGAGAATGCTAACCGCAGAGATGAATGGAAGGGAGTGATATCTGCAGCAATTAATATCATGGGCTTCAAATGCTGAAGAAGAAGAAAAAGAAGAAGAAGAAGAAGAACAACAACAACAAAATCATATGTTTTAAAAAACGTTAGCAACTCTAACATTTTTTGGCTGTTGTGATCTCTCTAAGCAAATTTATGGCCAGTAGTTTGCCATTGCTTTCTGGATAGTCAGCTTCTTGATACCACTGTCAAAACCAATGCAAGGTACCCAGCTGGGATTGAATCCAGTACCCCAGCATTACATAGCGCGTTCGAAACGCCTAGGCCACAGACACCGACACACATAATATGAGGCAGAATTAAATGAACATTTTTCTTTTTATGATGCCAAACTGCTGATTTTCTCTTGTGTCTCCCTCTGTCTCTCTTCTCCTCCAATTGTCCTTTTGTCTTGACCTACTCCAGTCTTCCCTTTCTCATGACAAACCGAAATAATCTTGACTTCTATCTCTTATGCAGATAATCAGTTTGCTTCTTAAGTTAATTTCTGAGAAGACTCACTTCTCTCAGTTTGTCATCTGACCATTCTTCTTTAAAACCTCCTTCTGCAGCTTACATACATTTTACTGATTGGCTGACTGTACATAATTCACTTCTGTACAAAACGATTGGCTGACTGTACATAATTCACTTCTGTACAAAACGATTGGCTGACTGTACATAATTCACTTCTGTACAAAACGATTGGCTGACTGTACATAATTCACTTCTGTACAAAAGGGTTGGCTGACTGTACATAATTCACTTCTGTACAAAACGATTGGCTGACTGTACATAATTCACTTCTGTACAAAACGATTGGCTGACTGTACATAATTCACTTCTGTACAAAACGATTGGCTGACTGTACATAATTCACTTCTGTACAAAAGGATTGGCTGACTGTACATAATTCACTTCTGTACAAAAGGATTGGCTGACTGTACATAATTCACTTCTGTACAAAAGGGTTGGCTGACTGTACATAATTCACTTCTGTACAAAAGGATTGGCTGACTGTACATAATTCACTTCTGTACAAAAGGATTGGCTGACTGTACATAATTCACTTCTGTACAAAACGATTGGCTGACTGTACATAATTCACTTCTGTACAAAACGATTGGCTGACTGTACATAATTCACTTCTGTACAAAAGGATTGGCTGACTGTACATAATTCACTTCTGTACAAAAGGATTGGCTGACTGTACATAATTCACTTCTGTACAAAACGATTGGCTGACTGTACATAATTCACTTCTGTACAAAAGGATTGGCTGACTGTACATAATTCACTTCTGTACAAAAGGATTGGCTGACTGTACATAATTCACTTCTGTACAAAAGGATTGGCTGACTGTACATAATTCACTTCTGTACAAAAGGATTGGCTGACTGTACAAAATTCACTTCTGTACAAAAGGATTGGCTGACTGTACATAATTCACTTCTGTACAAAAGGATTGGCTGACTGTACATAATTCACTTCTGTACAAAAGGATTGGCTGACTGTACATAATTCACTTCTGTACAAAAGGATTGGCTGACTGTACATAATTCACTTCTGTACAAAAGGATGGCTGACTGTACATAATTCACTTCTGTACAAAAGGATTGGCTGACTGTACATAATTCACTTCTGTACAAAAGGGTTGGCTGACTGTACATAATTCACTTCTGTACAAAAGGATTGGCTGACTGTACATAATTCACTTCTGTACAAAAGGGTTGGCTGACTGTACATAATTCACTTCTGTACAAAAGGATTGGCTGACTGTACATAATTCACTTCTGTACAAAAGGATTGGCTGACTGTACAAAATTCACTTCTGTACAAAAGGATTGGCTGACTGTACATAATTCACTTCTGTACAAAAGGATTGGCTGACTGTACATAATTCACTTCTGTACAAAAGGATTGGCTGACTGTACATAATTCACTTCTGTACAAAAGGGTTGGCTGACTGTACATAATTCACTTCTGTACAAAAGGGTTGGCTGACTGTACATAATTCACTTCTGTACAAAAGGATTGGCTGACTGTACATAATTCACTTCTGTACAAAAGGATTGGCTGACTGTACATAATTCACTTCTGTACAAAAGGATTGGCTGACTGTACATAATTCACTTCTGTACAAAAGGATTGGCTGACTGTACATAATTCACTTCTGTACAAAAAGATTGGCTGACTGTACATAATTCACTTCTGTACAAAAGGATTGGCTGACTGTACATAATTCACTTCTGTACAAAAGGATTGGCTGACTGTACATAATTCACTTCTGTACAAAAGGATTGGCTGACTGTACATAATTCACTTCTGTACAAAAGGATTGGCTGACTGTACATAATTCACTTCTGTACAAAAGGATTGGCTCTGTTTACTCTCATCTACCCTCTCAAGCTGAAAGAGCTGTTTGGTGGCACCTGTTATGGTGTTTGGTCGACAAGTGTTTGGTCAACAAGTGTTTGGTCAACAAGTGTTTGGTCAACAAGTGTTTGGTCAACAAGTGTTTGGTCAACAAGTGTTTGGTCAACAAGTGTTTGGTCGACAAGTGTTTGGTCAACAAGTGTTTGGTCAACAAGTGTTTGGTCAACAAGTGTTTGGTCAACAAGTGTTTGGTCAACAAGTGTTTGGACAGTACTCAGTATGCATGTATGACAGATTTAGTACTGGCTGCTAAATATAGTGCATAGCTATGACTATGATTCTATGTAATACTGACTGACTTTCTACTCCACCAGGACCATCACACAAGCGATAAACACCCGATGACACAAAGTGCCACCATGCGAATGAGGATCGCCGTGGAGAGGTCCCAGAAACCGCGTTCAGACATTTGGCCATATTTATGGCCTGCCTATATTGCGGCCCCCGGCAAAAGCCAGGGTGGAGCTTCAAATAAAAATGTCATCCTGAAAAGGACGATGGAGAATAAGGTATTCTATGTAATCAACAAAATCAACATTTTTACAAGATATTTTTTGAGTGAAAAATCGATTTTAAAAACTTGTGATGTCATATACTTTCATGATTATATCATATTGCTATCTAGGGCAAAGTGACCAAAGCCACTTTTAAATAGTCAAAGGGAAGGAAATCAGTTAATTCTTTGCTCCATATATATATATATATATATATATATATATATATATATATATATATATATATATATATATATATATATATATATATATATATATATATATATATATATATATATATATATATATATATATATATATATATATATATATATAGTGATAACCTTCCTTACATAGTAATTAACTATTTTACTGGTTTAGACATTTGATGACTGAAGACAAAAATTACAAGAATTTTGTTTTTAGTGGTGTGACTACATCAGAGAAACAGAGAACCTCACGTCTGCTTGTCTACTCGGTGGTCTAGAGGTTCAACCCCTGGGATATTTATAAAACTGACCACGATTCCACATTTTGTTGGCCTCTTCATCCCTTCTTATGTTTTGTTAGGGTAGAGTTTCAGAAAATTCTAAGGCTGCATGAAACATGGTGGAGGAAAACAGGGTCATTTGTCATGATTCCTACAGGGCTGAAAGAGTAGAAACTCTTTTTTCTCCTCTCAGCTGACACCGGCAGAATGCATAGACTATTCTTTATTTAATTAAATGCTGCTTGAACAATGAATGATGCTGAGATGGTGATAATATTTAAAGTGTTTGAACACATCAACTCATTTCCTGTGTGGTTAACTGGAAATAGAGAAAGGATCTGCAGAAAGGCCAAGGCTACTATGACAAAAGCAAACATGTCCTGAAAGATATCAATATTAGCACTGACACTTGGTAATGATCAGGTGCAGAACAACTCCTTGGAGGCAGACATGAAAGAGGACTGGCAAAGTTTGCAAGAGGCCAAATAACAGTAAAGTAAAGGAAAGCCAGGAGATGTGAACCAGCGTCATTGCACACGGTTATAAACCATAAGTGCTCTGCCACCAGTATGGACAGCTAATAAGAAAATGTCCGTCTGTGTCGACGTCCGCACAAAACTCTGTAGCTATAGCAACGTTCCTCGATTTACCCTAGTTTTAAATCTGGTACCCATTTCCTAGAGGTTGGGTAAACCCAGGAACCGTCCAGTTTCTAACACTGGCCACTAGCTGAAGTGGCAGCTGGATTTGAAAGCGAGTCTCCTATCAACTGCGCTAACACGGCGTCTGAGGCCCCCAAAAAAAACAAGCTAAATGCAGCAAGCTAAAGAAAGTAGACATCTGAGAGAAGACCAGCCTCAGCATAATAGAGTCTCAACATTTGTCTGTGGAATGTATGGCAGAGACTTCAACTCTAGCACTGGGCTTTGGGGTGTTGTTCTAAAAACATGGAAATAGTTCCATGATATCAAGAGACTGACGGTTGTCTATTAACTAATTACTTCAATAACAAACATACTCATATAGTTCTGGACATATGAGGGAACCATTATTGCCCTCCAGTTTGGCGCAGTCCTCAATGACGGCCTTGGCATTCCATGTGACGAGCATGATGATGTTGATAGCCAGACTGATGACGATGGCACCGTAGTTCCACAAGAGCCTGGTGGGGCAAACAACAAGATGATATCACTCGTCAACTCCCAGACATGATATCTTTAAATGTTCCAAATTTACTAGTTCCAAGGGCAGCACAAACACATTTACTAGAACAATACATACAGACACAAGAAAAAAAATATACATAACCTCCAAGGGCAGAAAAAAAAATCAACGCATACTGTGTTTGTGGAATGTATAAGAAGCTGCGGTGGTGTAGCCGCTAGACACTTGCCTGCGGATACAAAGGTCATGGCTTCAGGTCCTGACAAAGCCAGACTATTTGCCTGTTTTTTAAATGACCTTGGCCTGCAGGTTGAACTAGCCTCAAATAGGTAGGAGGTAAAGTCCTAGGAAGTGAAGGTGGCCAGCTTCATGCTGATTATGTAATAGAAGTCTAGCCCTATATGCCCGAAGGTGTGGACAGAGGAATCATTTTGCGGCACATATTGGTAGAGAAAGCCAGTTTTTGTGTTGACTTATAGATAGTGAATTAATAAGTGCCAGTCATGGACACCTGACCATATGCTGGCCTGGATAAGCAAAATGTATCACAAGTTTTACTAAACAGAACACTAAACCTAAATGAGCAAAATTAATCATTCTTTATATCAAACACAACACAAGCATACCATCCTTTTGTGAAAAACTTTGAGATGGGGTGATCGAGAATCTTCCTCTGGTAGGAAATATCCCTCATCACATCCCTGGTCCAGCCCATGAGGTCTCGGATTTTGTTGCTGGGAGACGTTCGGTCGACGTTCCACTTGAGTTTTTCTTTCACCTCATCTCGTAGTACACTCTGGTTATTAGGTCCAAACAATGACGTAGTTAAGTAAAAGCATTAATTCAGTCTACAATCAATTAAGTTACATGTGCACAAGATTTGTATCAAATGTTAATCAGAATATTGAATAAATCGACAGTGCAGATATTTATATTTTTTTTAATGTATCATTTAAATATTAATAGTTCATCCGCTTAACATTAAACTAATAGTTTATATATTATTAAATTTACTATAGAGATTTTAAAAATGTAATTTATAGTTGAATATCCATGGTTTAACAGCGATGTATATACTCTTAAATCTAAAATATAAATGTTTTACGGACACAGTAAAAATTATTTTTCTCCTTCTCTTCATCCTGCTACTCTGTCTCCTCTTTCTTCTTCATTTTTCATCCTACTCTTCTTCTTCTTTTTCTTCTTCTCCTCTTCTTTTTTTCTTCTCTTCCACCACCTTCTTCTTCTTTTTCTTCTTCTTCTTCTTCTTCTTCTTCACATGCCTAGTCTGGAGCAAACACTGATGTTCATAATGCTACAATCCTATTAAAAATAGACAGAGCCATACCTTATTCTTGACTCTGAAGTTGACTTTCTGCAGAATGTCATCTTTGACGATCTCAATTGATAGACAGTTTTTCCTGTAGTACTCAAATGCTTTTATGTTTTCCGGTGTCAATTTCAGGTCTATTAAAAAAAAAAAAAAAGTAATTTTATAATTTTAATGACAATGATAAATTTCAAAGAATAAATACCAGTTAAATCTAATTTTTATTTTTACAACATTTAGTGGACAAGTCGACTTTAGTGTAAAATAATCAGATATAATCTAGGTTGGCTGCTGTATCTAAGGACTGGGCACACATGGGACTGCCTCCTATAGATCACCAGGGCAGAGTTTCAGAGATCCCTGATGTTAATTTCTAGGGCTACAGAGTTCATGCTTTGGGCAATGTTTTTGTGGGTGACCAATGAGTCACTATGAGCCCAAGCCACATATTGGTTAAACCTAGAGAAATTAAACTAATATTCTTACTGGGCAAACAGCCTCCCCCACCCCCCTTTTTCAAATAAATTGAACTTTACATTTTTCTATATCTTTCTGATATATTGAACTTCCTAATCACACAATTTTTTGTTTTAAATATCGGCCAGCAATAACTTTTGTCTATTGATACTGTGCATGTTTTAAATATCTGGCCAGCAATAACTTTTGTCTATTGATACTGTGCATGTTTTAAATATCTGGCCAGCAATAACTTTTGTCTATTGATACTGTGCATGTTTTAAATATCTGGCCAGCAATAACGTTTGTCTATTGATACTGTGCATGTTTAAAAAGACAAAATAAAAACAATACAAGAAAAACTTACTTTCCACCAGCAGTGGGTCAATGTCAATCATTCGGGCCAGAATCAGGTAAAAGGTGAAGCCCACTTTGATGACACTTTCCCTCAGGGCACTCTTCTTCTTCCCTTTCTGTGGAGAAACAGGAGACCCGGGTTCAGAGTTTGTTTAATTTCTGCTTGCCTGGGTCTAGTAATGTTGGTTAGGATAGATATTAACGCAGCTAAAACACTATAAAAGGAAATAGTCAGGGAACAACTCCACTTTAAAAGTTCTAAACATTAAGGCTCAAGGGACATTTAATTACAAAGAAAGAACATAGACACACAAAGAAAGGACAATAACACAGAAAGACTGGACATAGACACAGAAAGATGTAACAAAAATACACAAACACAGGACAGAGACACACAAATACAGGGCCTGGAAACATATAGACAGGATTCAGAGACATACAAAGATTAGACAAAGACAGGACACAGATGCACCAATAAAGGACAGACATTCAAAGACAGGACACAGACACCAAAACAGCACATAAGTAAACAAAGACGGGACATAGACACACAGAGACACACATATGTATGCATGCACATGTACGCGCTTGCACAAATGTACACATAGACAAGATTATAGCTTTTAATCATATGCATACTTACAAGCACCCCCTGGATTATCGACCTCCCAAAAATGGCGATCGTTTTGGCTGACTGTAAATATCCTCCGCCAAACCCGAGAGACAGTGTCTGATCTTTTTTATCTGTCTGATGTAGCTCGTAGAATGAGGTCAGGCATCGATACATGGCCTCTTTGTCCAGGGCATCTTTAACTTCCTGACACAGAGATCAAACAGAGGTATGACTAACACATAAATTACTGTAACTTCCTGAAGAAGAGATAAAACAGTATAACTAAAACTTCATGATAGAGGGATAAAACAGTATAACTATAACTTAATGATGGAAAGATAAAACAGTATAACTAAAACTTCATGATAGAGAGATAAAACGGTATAACTATAACTTAATGATGGAGAGATAAAACAGTGTAACTAAAACTTCATGATAGAGAGATAAAACAGTATAACTAAAACTTCCTGATGGAGAGCTAAAACAGTAAAACTAAAACTTCATGATAGTGAGATAAAACAGTGTAACTATAACTTCATGATGGAGAGATAAAACAGTATAACTATAACTTCATGATGGAAAGATAAAGCAGTATAACTATAACTTCATGATGAAGAGATGACATAGTATAACTATAACTTCATGATGGAAAGATAAAGCAGTACAACTATAACTTCACGATGAAGAGATGACAGAGGTATCTTCAACAGAATTATTGTAACTTCCTGAAGCAAAGACAAAAATGTTGATAAGTCAAACAAAATTATTGTAACTTCATAATGCCATCAGAGGTGTGTACAATAGAATTTGGCTGCATTGTTTGGGCAAAAAAGATCTGTGTCTGTTCCAGCCATTTAATGAAAAAATGCAAACAGCGGGAGCCAGCCATTGTTACATAAACCAGAATAGAACGGGACTTGTTAGCCTAAAAACTCAGGACATACTCAGGAGGAGATCGGAGCAATTATGGTCATGTCTGATGTGCAATGAAATTGATCTTTACATGAACAACAATCAAATATCAGGCTAATATTATTTTAACAAATTCAAGCAGGCATTTAATGTTTTCTCCTTATATTTTCTCAAAGACACTTTCTTAGATGCTTTTTTCCTGTTACATTATATCTGATACTATGTCCCAAAAGCAGCAGTTAAGAGGTATCATGTCACCTAAAGCTACTGGCCCTTGTATTTCTCAGCAGCAGTTAAGAGGTATCATGTCACCTAAAGCTACTGGCTCTTGGATATCAAAGAGAACAGGTCATGCACTCCTTCACAAAATTCCAAAATATTAGAAAAGCTACATAGTTGTGAATGGAAAGCTGCGTGGTTGTGAATGGAAAACTGCGTAGTTGTGAATGGAAAGCTGCGTAGTTGTGAATGGAAAAATGCAGTGTGATTTTCCCGAGAATTAGTGTCACAAAGCCAGAATTATAGTTGCATGAGACGTAGCAGTAGTGACTTTCACAAAAATATACTGTTCACCACTCAGGATTGTTGCTGGGACATAAAATATTCATCATGCTTTTAGAGGCTATGTGTTCTCCTAGCTAATTTATATACTGTATAATCATTTCATTCAGTCATTTATTTATATACACTGTATTATTTTTATTATTTGAAATATTGTCTTCTTGACATCTTCTGGACTGTGGCTACAACAGCTATTGTTAATAATCATACTAACACTGTGGTGTTAAGCAGAGTTATGGTTACATAAGATGCTCAGTTTAACAGATGCTGGTACAACTGTTTCAAAAGATCCCGATACACCTCTCTGAAGAGACCCCGATACACCTCTCTGAAAAGATCCCGATACACCTCTCTGAAGAGATCTTGATACACCTCTCTGATGAGATCTCGATACACCTCTCTGAAGAGATCACGATACACCTCTTTGAAGAGATCCCAATACACCTCTCTGAAGAGATCCTGATACACCTCTGAAGAGATCTTGATACACCTCTCTGAAGAGATCCCAATACACCTCTCTGAAGAGATCCCTATACACCTCTCTGAAGAGATCCCTATACACCTCTCTGAAGAGATCCCAATACACCTCTCTGAAGAGATCCCTATACACCCCTCTGAAGAGATCCCTATACACCTCTCTGAAGAGATCCCTATACACCTCTCTGAAGAGATCCCTATACACCTCTCTGAAGAGATCTCGATACACCTCTTTGAAGAGACTCCGATACACCTGTTTTAAGAGATCCTGACACACCTGTCTGAAGAGATGCTGAAACACCTAGGAGTCACTTGGAGGACACTCACCGTTGCCACCTGGGAAGCTTGCTGCCCATTCTCTTCTGTCAGTGAGATTATCAGGGAGCCAATCATCTGCTGCAGCTCAATCACCTGAAATACATCATAGCTATACAATCTTCTGTGTTTCCAGGGCCACAGCCTGGGGTCAGCACTTAACTGATCAGGTTATAATAAGCATGTCCCAAATATGTGGTCATAACTCAAAGTGTTGTAAACAGAATAATATTTTGTAGTAGCAACAGGGGATGGTAATGGCGATGAAAAGACAAAAACAATGCACAAGTAAAGATAAGAATGATTATAGCTTGGTTCAAAGTTACTGCCAGATTTGAACAAATAGAGAATGAAATATGTTCACAATTTGCATGAGTTCACAAATTGCTTGCCAAGCAGTACATTTGGTCATCTGCCGCTACACAGCTGTAACTTATTTTAGGTACTTTGTCTAGTACGTGAAAAAATGCGTCACAACCTTAAAATGACCAACCAATCATGGTCAGGGTTAGCCGTTGCAAACATCTGCCCCCATATGTTTGAATTGACTTTGTAGGGTTTAACGTGAAAAAAAAGCATTTTAACAGGAAAGCGAGGTAGGTCTAGGTTTTTCACAGTCCAACAGGTGATCAATACTTTGGTTGATTTAGTCTCTGAGAAGTCAGAATTTCAAGAAGAATAGGTTTCCTGTTCAAGTGATACAGACAGTCAGAGCTCCAGTAATGTGGAGAATATGGAACCTTACAGATCTAGAGCTAGATCAATAGTAAGAGAAGGGGGGGGGGCGTGTTCCTCAAACAGCAACATAAGGTGCTCACTTTGCAAGAAGTACCACTGTGTGCAACATATGGTGCTCACTTTGCAAGAAGTACCACTGTGTGCAGGATATGGTGCTCACTTTGCAAGAGGTACCACTGTGTGCAACATATGGTGCTCACTTTGCAAGAAGTACCACTGTGTGCAACATATGGTGCTCACTTTGCAAGAAGTACCACTGTGTGCAACATAAGGCGCTCACTTTGCAAGAAGTACCACTGTGTGCAACAAGGCTTATCCTCCTGAGTGGATTAGCACACAAAGGTGGAATATTGGTGCTAGATGAAAGGTAAATCTATTTTCTAAAATTTCTTTAAGTTCTATCTAATCCTAACCACTAGTTTGCATGTAACTAATATTTTGTTTATATCATGTTGGTTTTTCCTTTTTAATGCTCAGGAGCCCGGACATAAAAGACAGTTAGGTTCAGGATCTGAATTCTGGTAGGGTTCAAACACAAAACTCTCAAATGGAAGATCCTAGTTTAACCTATGGTAAGGTGTTGGAGTTTTTCTGTTGGGGACAGAAATAGAGATCCTTTCCTTCACATTCTGTAGTGACAGCACTAACATATGACCCTAAATCCCCAGGGGCAGGATCCCCCCACCCACCCCCGTCTACAAATCCTTACAAAAATGATAAATACAGATAGTAGGGACAGTACAACACATTGGGAAATATGGACATTATATTCAAACTCATAAGGAAAAATATTATTCTTGGAATCAGATCTTGTTTGCAAGATCCTTGAGCAGATCAAAAATGGGGAAGTTATTAGAGCCAATTCAACACATTGGCAACACATTGGCAACACATTGGCAACACATTGGCGATCCCTTTCTACAAAAGTAAAAATATGGAAAATTAAATTATGTGGACTGGCACTAAGATCAATTGTACTCAAAAACACACTAGAGGGCTCAGGATAGGGGAAGATGAGAGGAGACAGGACAGGGGAAGATGAGAGGAGACAGGACAGGGGATGATGAGTGGAGACAGGACAGGGAAAGATGAGAGGAGACAGGACAAGGGAGGATGAGAGGGGACAGGACAGGGGATGATGAGAGGAGACAGGACAGGGGAATATGAGAGGAGACAGGACAGGGGAAGATGAGAGGAGACAGGACAAGGGAAGATGAGAGGAGACAGGACAGGGGAAGATGAGAGGGGACAGGACAGGGGAAGATGAGAGGAGACAGGACAGGGGAAAATGAGAGGAGACAGGACAGGGGAAGATGAGAGGTGACAGGACAGGGGAAGATGAGAGGAGACATGACAAGAAAGACATTGATAAACAAATTGATAAACAAAATTGACTGATTGGATGACACCCAAGCAAGAAAACACCAAGTCTCAGAAACGAAAAACTTTCACCAAGCAGTAAACAATTACTCAGTGACCTAACAATACCCACTGTTATGAGACTATCAATAGATACATGGCTAAACACTTCTTCTTCTTCTTCTTCTTCACTTCCTCTTTTACCGCTGTCGAGGGAGATATAAGGTTCTGTCTCTAGCTCTTCTGGCCGCCTCGACCATAGGCAGATCGTGCTGTTGTAGAGTTTCTCTGATGTTATCCTTCCATCTTGTTCTTGGTCTACCTCATGCTCTACGTGCTTCCTCTCTTTCCATGTATGCTTTGTATGGTATGGTGTCACAAGGCATTCTCTCTAAGTGGGCAAACCATTTCACTTGCTGTCTTTGTATGTAATCCAGAATTAGTTCTGTGCCGACTTGTTCTCTTATGATCTCATTCCTGATCTTATCTCTTTTGGTCACTACTAGAGCCCTTCTCAGGCAGGCTAAACACTGAGTTGGGGAAAACCCAGTTTGGCTGTGTGCACTGACTTAGTTCTGGGTAAATGCCAGGCTAAGTGTGATGACAGCAGACAAATGTTTGACTTCTGCAGCCTCTTGTTTTGTTTGATTTGAAGTAGTCACTGGAAGCTGATTTTTGTAGATGCTGTCACTTGTACTGTGTTTGTTTATTTTCTCATGAAATACTTGCACGTTTATATTGTGTCCTACCTGATAAAGATTCCAAGTTGTCCACAAGTGTGGAGTTTGATCATAATTGTAAAATTTATGTCGTTATCCTTGAATGATTCAAAATACAAGATCCATGATACTTAAAAGAAAAGAAATGAAAACTATATTATTCTGATGTAAATAAAATGTCCATATCTCAACTAAAACGGGCTAAAATCAAACAAACTGGAGCTTAATGTCAACAACTGTTGAGTTTTTGTCCTAAATAAATGAACATGTTTGTATACAGCAAGTTAACCAGGTCCTAACCTTCTCTATGGTACAGTCACCAATCTCCCCAGCTCGGAGAATAAAGTTAATGTAATCGATGACCTTCATATCGTACACAACCACCCGGTTCTCCTGGTTACCCTATGGAAAAAATAGCAGTTCAAATAACAGTGGATCTAAGGTTACTGAAGCAGTATGAGTCAACCATCTATCTCATTCAGAGATATCTCACCCAGAGATCATACCCAGAAATATCTTCTAAGAAGAACAAACAAACGTATGCACAAGCTTTGTTTTCGAAGAGCTACAAATTTGGCACCCAGGCCCATTTGACATTCAGCCCTTCCAAGCATTTATCTTTTAGACCACAACTGCTTGTTATCAGTAATGCATGTTATGGTTAGATAAAATATCCATTTTGCACTAATGCATACACACATAATATGTGCACATTCATACACACCTCAAATACAAAAAATACTTTTACATGCCCATACGTATGCACACTCATATAGAAATATACACATACAACATACATACACACAGCACACACTCATACATACACCCTCATACAAATACACACATGCACTCATGCTCATACAGACACATACATGCATCCACACTCATGCATACACAATACATACACTCAAACTCATATATATCACCATCATCATCCTTTATGTTCTGTTAGACATGACATAGGGCTCACATTCAATTCCTCCACTCCGATCTATTGCCTGCAACATTCTCCGATCTATTACCTGCAACTTTCTCTGATCTATTACCTGCAACTTTCTCTGATCTATTGCCTGCAACTTTCTTCAATCTATTGCCTGCAACTTTCTCTGATATATTGCCTGCAACTTCCTCTGATCTATTGCCTGCAACTTTCTCCATTCTCCACGTGGCATTCAGTCAGCATTTTTAACCTCTCAGAATAAAGTTCTTCTTAATGTTTCCCTTGGATGTCCTCTTTTTCTCATACCTATAGTTTCCTCATACCTATAGTTTCCTCATACCTATAGTTTCCTCATACCTATAGTTTCCTCATACCTATAGTTTCCTCATACCTATAGTTTCCTCATACCTATAGTTTCCTCATACCTATAGTTTCCTCATACCTATAGTTTCCTCATACCTATAGTTTCCTCATACCTATAGTTTCCTCATACCTATAGTTTCCTCATACCTATAGTTTCCTCATACCTATAGTTTCCCCATACCTATAGTTTCCCCATACCTATAGTTTCCTCATACCTATAGTTTCCTCATACCTATAGTTTCCTCATACCTATAGTTTCCTCATACCTATAGTTTCCTCATACCTATAGTTTTCTCATACCTTTAGTTTTCTCATACCTTTAGTTTTCAATTTCAGTTTTGTAAATCTTTGCTCATTTAGTCTCAGAGTGCGCCCAATATATCTCCCCCTTCTTTGTCAATCTTTGTCATATATATATATATATATATAAAACTCACATTCATACCAGCACAAACACAGGTACAAGAAGAAAAAAGAAAAAGAAAAAGAATATACAGTTTATAGTCTTGGTTTGTAGTGGAAAAAACCATAATAAATACAAAAAGCTGGAACTGAAAACTTACAGAAACAAACTCATTAAGGGTACTGAACAACTGAATGACCAGGTCAATGGTGCCGCTGTTGATTGTTGCGTAGACCACGTTCATAAACTGGGCCGTCTCTCCGATGATGTTGAACGACTTGACGTTGTCAGGTTGCTCTCGTAAATAGTTCTGTGAGGGTGCATATTGACAAGTTTAGGGCAAACAGTGCACATTGACAAGTTTAGGGCAAACAGTGCACATTAACAAGTTTAGGGCAAACAGTGCACATTAACAAGTTTAGGGCAAACAGTGCACATTGACAAGTTTAGGGCAAACAGTGCACATTGACAAGTTTAGGGCAAAGGGTGCACATTGACAAGTTTAAGGCAAACAGTGCACATTGACAAGTTTAGGGCAAACGGTGCATAGCAACAAAGGTTTAGGGTTAACAAAAAGTATGTCAACTCCTTTAAGGCTTACACAAAGTATGTCAACTCCTTTAAGGCTTACACAAAGTATGTCAACTCCTTTAAGGCTTACACAAAGTATGTCAACTCCTTGAAGGCTTACACAAAGTATGTCAACTCCTTGAAGGCTTACACAAAGTATGTCAACTCCTTGAAGGCTTACACAAAGTATGTCAACTCCTTGAAGGCTTACACAAAGTATGTCAACTCCTTGAAGGCTACACAAAGTTAAGGCTTACACAAAGTATGTCAACTCCTTGAAGGCTTACACAAAGTATGTCAACTCCTTGAAGGCTTACACAAAGTATGTCTTACACTCCTTGAAGGCTTACACAAAGTATGTCAACTCCTTGAAGGCTTACACAAAGTATGTCAACTCCTTGAAGGCTTACACAAAGTATGTCAACTCCTTGAAGGCTTACACAAAAGTATGTCAACTCCTTGCTTACACAAAGTAGGCTTACACAAAGTATGTCAACTCCTTGCTTACACAAAGTATGCTTACACAAAGTATGTCAACTCCTTGAAGGCTTACACAAAAGTATGTCAAAGTAACTCCTTGAAGGCTTACACAAAGTAAGTATGTACACAAAGTAACTCCTTGAAGGCTTACACAAAGTATGTCAACTCCTTGAAGGCTTACACAAAGTATGTCAACTCCTTGAAGGCTTACACAAAGGCTTACACAAAGTATGTCAACTCCTTGAAGGCTACACAAAGTATGTCAACTCCTTGAAGGCTTACACAAAAGTATGTCAACTCCTTGAAGGCTTACACAAAGTATGTCAACTCCTTGAAGGCTTACACAAAGTATGTCAACTCCTTGAAGGCTTACACAAAGTATGTCAACTCCTTGAAGGCTTACACAAAGTATGTCAACTCCTTGAAGGCTTACACAAAGTATGTCAACTCCTTGAAGGCTTACACAAAAGTATGTCAACTCCTTGAAGGCTTACACAAAGTATGTCAACTCCTTGAAGGCTTACACAAAGTATGTCAACTCCTTGAAGGCTTACACTTGAAAAGTATGTCAACTCCTTGAAGGCTTACACAAAGTATGTCAACTCCTTGAAGGCTTACACAAAGTATGTCAACTCCTTGAAGGCTTACACAAAGTATGTCAACTCCTTGAAGGCTTACACAAAGTATGTCAACTCCTTGAAGGCTTACACAAAGTATGTCAACATCTTGAAGGCTTACACAAAGTATGTCAACTTGAAGGCTTACACAAAGGGTATGTCACTCCTTGAAGGCTTACACAAAGTATGTCAACTCCTTGAAGGCTTACACAAAGTATGTCAACTCCTTGAAGGCTTACACAAAGTATGTCAACTCCTTGAAGGCTTACACAAAGTATGTCAACTCCTTGAAGGCTTACACAAAGTATGTCAACTCCTTGAAGGCTTACACAAAGTATGTCAACTCCTTGAAGGCTTACACAAAGTATGTATGTCAACTCCTTGAAGGCTTACACAAAGTATGTCAACTCCTTGAAGGCTTACACAAAGTATGTAGGCTTGTCAACTCAACTCCTTGAAGGCTTACACAAAGTATGTCAACTCCTTGAAGGCTTACACAAAGTATGTCAACTCCTTGAAGGCTTACACAAAGTATGTCAACTCCTTGTGTCAACTCCTTGAAGGCTTACACAAAGTATGTCAACTCCTTGAAGGCTTACACAAAGTATGTCAACTCCTTGAAGGCTTACACAAAGTATGTCAACTCCTTGAAGGCTTACACTTATGTCAACTCCTTGAAGGCTTACACAAAGTATGTCAACTTTGAAGGCTTACACAAAGTATGTCAACTCCTTGAAGGCTTACACAAAGTATGTCAACTCCTTGAAGGCTTACACAAAGTATGTCAACTCCTTGAAGGCTTACACAAAGTATGTCAACTCCTTGAAGGCTTACACAAAGTATGTCAACTCCTTGAAGGCTTACACAAAGTATGTCAACTCCTTGAAGGCTTACACAAAGTATGTCAACTCCTTGAAGGCTTACACAAAGTATGTCAACTCCTTTAAGGCTTACACAAAGTATATTTTACATCTTTCAGACATAGATACAGTGTTGAGTGTTGAGCTAAAAACTGACGTTACAACACTCAGGACATTCCCATAATCACTCAGTCCTCATCCTCAGCAAGCAGTGAAAAGTTTTAAAATTTTAATGGTGCCAGTAGCAGTTTGATTGTATGTCCATCTTGTCTTTCCTCTGAGTGTTGAGTGTCGGTCAGATCCCCGATGACTCTCTAGACCATGATGATCAATTTGTGCTTCTGCATTGTTCGCTTGCTCCCATTGACCCCATAGATGCAGCAAATAAACAACAGTAAGGCATGTACAAAGTGTGCAACTTTCTCTGCTTCTTCTTCTTTTCTCACTACAATGGTACTGGGTTGTAGCCAAATGATGTGGTTTTTCTGTTTTACATTGCACTTCTTGAGTGGCTTGACTGCGTTTTCTTCATCTTTCTGATGTTTCAGCTTTGCAGCGTATCTATCTAGTTCTTCCTTGGTCTACCTCTCCCTTTCTGATCAGATGTTCTGCTGTAAAATATCTCATTTACAGTTTAGTCTGGCAGCATTTTTTAATAAATGATCAAACCACTTCAATCTCTGTCTTTCAATGTCAAGTAGATACCAGTCTGTCAATGTCATGTAGATACCAGTCTGTCGATGTCATGTAGATACCAGTCTGTCAATGTCATGTAGATACCAGTCTTTCAATGTCATGTAGATACCAGACTTTCAATGTCAAGTAGATACCAGTCTGTTAATGTCATGTAGACACCAGTCTGTCAATGTCATGTAGATACCAGACTTTCAATGTCAAGTAGATATCAGTCTGTCAATGTCATGTAGATACCAGTCTGTCAATGTCATGTAGATACCAGTCTGTTAATGTCATGTAGATACCAGTCTTTCAATGTCATGTAGATACCAGTCTTTCAATGTCATGTAGATACCAGTCTGTTAATGTCATGTAGATACCAGTCTTTCAATGTCATGTAGATACCAGTCTTTCAATGTCATGCAGATACCAGTCTGTCAATGTCATGTAGATACCAGTCTGTCAATGTCATGTAGATACCAGTCTGTTAATGTCATGTAGATACCAGTCTTTCAATGTCATGTAGATACCAGTCTTTCAATGTCATGTAGATACCAGTCTGTAAATGTCATGTAGATACCAGTCTTTCAATGTCATGTAGATACCAGTCTGTTAATGTCATGTAGATACCAGTCTTTCAATGTCATGTAGATACCAGTCTTTCAATGTCATGTAGATACCAGTCTTTCAATGTCATGTAGATACCAGTCTTTCAATGTCATGTAGATACCAGTCTGTCAATGTCATGTAGATACCAGTCTGTCAATGTCATGTAGATACCAGTCTGTTAATGTCATGTAGATACCAGTCTTTCAATGTCATGTAGATACCAGTCTTTCAATGTCATGTAGATACCAGTCTGTCAATGTCATGTAGATACCAGTCTGTTAATGTCATGTAGACACCAGTCTTTCAATGTCATGTAGATACCAGTCTTTCATTGTCATGTAGATACCAGTCTGTCAATGTCATGTAGATACCAGACTTTCAATGTCATGTAGATACCAGACTTTCAATGTCATGTAGATACCAGACTTGCTCCAACCGTTTCTCTAATGCTGGTCTTCAGGACTCCATCTTTTCTTGAAATATTTATCAACAACTTTCTTATAATGGAAAGCCAATATTATAATTTGTTACCTGACTGTAATTTAATTAAAGAAGGAAGCCATGATGACCGCTGGAGACAGTGTGAAATTTTCGGCACTGACTGACCAAAAACTCTAAATTGTCTAGTTTTGAAACAAAATTTTATATTTTCAATTCTAATGTTATTTAAATTTGAATACATGCTGGTCAAAGTTTGAGAACCACTAAAAACATGGAACAAAAATTAAAAGTATTTAAAAACACTAAGGACAATGTTGAACATAAAATAGGATGAATTCAAAAAGGGGTGTGAAAATAACAGAAATGTCTGAGCAATCACTGGTAACAACAGTTATAAGACAGAGTTAAGGGGCCAGATTGGACACATTCTGAGAAGATACAGGCAAAGAATCACTAAACAGGCACAACGATGTTAAATAATTGGACTAAAGAAATGAGGACACCCCCCCCCCCCCCCTCCTGGAAGTAAAGTTGATAAGAGAAGCCAAATTTGCTGGACTGGATTCTGTCCGTGATATTGAAGAGTTGAAGAGACTGCACAGAATCGTATAGAATGGAAGATAGACTGAATGGAAGAATAGACTGTGAGCCGTATGTGACAACAGGATAGAATAGAATGGAAGAATAGACTGTGAGCCCTATGTGACAACAGGATAATGATGAGGATGACTGACCACAAGATCATGATTGAAATGCCCAGCACTGACTGACCAAGATAACAGTATAAATTTACTCACTTGCAGTCCAGTATGTTGACCATCACAGATTCTGGCCAACAACTTCAGGACCAGTTCAATGTAACCTTCATCTTTGTACTTCAGCATGTCCTTGACCCCTTCATCCATGATTTCACTAAGGGTCACTGAGTTATTTTGCAAGTCCTATGATGAACAAATCACTACACTAATATACATGTTTTTTGGGTTAGGATTCGAACATTAAATAACATATTCTACAATGTCTCCTACCCTCAACATGCAACAGAAACACTTTTATAGTTAACAATAGACTGACCAACATTTAAATATACACATTGGCCATCCTCCGAATAATGGTCCCAAATTATAGAGGCTAAGAAAATACCCAAAAAGGGCCTCAATGTTTATGACTGTGCCGCAAGGAAACTGCACTAAATATTCAGTAAACAACGCACAACTAGTACTGCTGTGGTAACATTGGGTTCACATAAGTTCTATCCATAACCCTTTAATCGACAGTGTCGCCGTTCCACTGTTGTGACAAATTCTGGTGGCGGTGTCGTAATTGTAATACTCTTTGCCCTAACTCTAACCCCAAACCTAGGACCCAGGGGAGACGTTAAACCTAGGAGCCAGGGGAGAAGTTAAACCTAGGACCCAGGGGAGAAGTTAAACCTAGGACCCGGAGAAGAAGTTAAAACTGGACCCAGGGGAGAAGTTAAACCTAGGACCCAGGGGAGAAGCTAAACCTAGGACCCAGGGGAGAAGTTAAACCTATGACCCAGGGGAGAAGCTAAACCTAGGACCCAGGGGAGAAGTTAAACCTAGGACCCAGGGGAGAAGTTAAACCTAGGACCCAGGGGAGAAGTTAAACCTAGGACCCAGGGAAGAAGTTAAACCTATGACCCAGGGGGAGAAGTTAAACCTAGGACCCAAGGGAGAAGTTAAACCTAGGACCCGGAGAAGAAGTTAAAACTGGACCCAGGGGAGAAGTTAAACCTAGGACCCAGGGGAGAAGCTAAACCTAGGACCCAGGGGAGAAGTTAAACCTATGACCCAGGGGGAGAAGCTAAACCTAGGACCCAGGGGAGAAGTTAAACCTAGGACCCAGGGGAGAAGTTAAACCTAGGACCCAGGGGAGAAGTTAAACCTAGGACCCAGGGGAGAAGTTAAACCTAGGACCCAGGGGAGAAGTTAAACCTAGGACCCAGGGGAGAAGTTAAACCTAGGACCCAGGAGAGAAGTTAAACCTATGACCCAGGGGGAGAAGTTAAACCTGGGACCCAAGGGAGAAGTTAAACTTAGCACTAGTGTTGGAGCTGTTGACACCCTTGATGATTTGGGACCGTTATTCGGAGGAGTGTTCCCCACGGTATGTGGTATATTCACTGGAAAGAAGTCCGCAATTTACACATGATTGAGGCCCTGTTAGGGTATTTTCTTAGCCTCAATAATTTTGGACCGTTATTCGGAGGATAGCCCAACAATTTTATAGTTAATATCATACACTAAATAAACTGACCTAATTTTCTAACATGAACATTATTTTCTTTTTTCAGAAAGAAAAAATAGTTTAGTAAAAAGACCACAAACATCAGTAACAATGGTTTGCCTACTTGGAGAAAATACAGTTGACATACAATACTATGCCTACACCAGAAGAGGGGAGGGCTGTGAGCGTCAGGTATATGAAAGAACAGGATGGAAAGATATCATCAAAGAAACTATAACAGTACAATGCTGAGGCAGCTAAAAGAGAAGAACCTTACTTCTCCCTTGACACCTGAAGTGGTAAAAGAGGAAGTAAAAAAAGAAGAAAACCATGTATATATTAAAGACACTTCATAGAAATAAAGAGCAGAACTAACAACTATCCGGTATGTATGTGATAAGCAACTGTGCTGTGAATTCATCGCCTGCAGTACTAGAATTGTGTAGCCTTTTAAGTCATACTTGGGATTCTTATCATATTTTAACAACAACCATTTCTTCATGGCCTCCACATATATCCATGGTGCAGGACAATACGGCAAGCAAAGAAAGGATGAAAGAAGAATGCAATCAGAAAGAGCCACAGATTAAAGTTGGACGTCATCATCGTAAAAAGAGAAGGAAGTAAACTAGGCTTGTAACAAAGAAAACAGTGTAATGCATGTGAGGGTGATGAAAACACATCAGGAAAACACATCAGGAAAACACATCAGGAAAACACATCAGGAAAACACATCAGGAAAACACAACAGGAAAACACATCAGGAAAACACATCAGGAAAACACATCAGGAAAACACAACAGGAAAACACATCAGGAAAAAACATCAGGAAAACACATCAGGAAAACACATCAGGAAAACACATCAGGAAAACACATCAGGAAAACACATCAGGAAAACACATCAGGAAAACACATCAGGAAAACACATCAGGAAAACACATCAGGAAAACACATCAGGAAAACACAAATGTTGATGAAAAGATGTGTATGTCTCAACAAACAGTGTAAGTGACTCAACAGTGGCACCATTCAGTGAGAACATAGCATGGGTGGAGGATGATGATGTTCAGGACAATGAGGATGATGATGATACTGATCAAAATGCACGGAAAACAAAAACAACAAAAGTTTTAAAAGTAGATCTTCTTCTGTGTGTGGGTTTCAAGGTCCCATTGTGGGTTCCAAGGTCCCATTGTGGGTTCAAAGGTCCCATTGTGGGTTCCAAGGTCCCATTGTGGGTTCCAAAGTCCCATTGTGGGTTCCAAGGTCCCATTGTGGGTAAAGCAAGAAAAAACCCACTGCATCTCCAACAAGCATGTCATGAAATCAACTAACTGGGAGTATTCTTTGCAGTCAGAGGACATCTTCCTGAGAGGCAAGGAACCAACAGTATGCATACAAATAAGCCAGATCAGTGAAACAGATGTGCATGCAACACTCAGATTCGGAAACAAGACTAAAGCCTAGAGGTGGAACAAACACCCAGAACTTTCTGCCACAGTTTATGGCTGGTGAACATGCAGACAGAAAAAGAAAGTGGATCTACAGCAGAAACAAAGCCAACTGAAAGAATCAACAACAAAAACACGCAGACAGCTACTAATAATTCAAGCAAGCTGGGCCAAGTTTAAGCCTGCTGACACTTGAAAACGTCAAGCTGGGCCAAGTTTAAGCCTGCTGACACTTGAAAACGTCAAGCTGGGCCAAGTTTAAGCCTGCTGACACTTGAAAACGTCAAGCTGGGCCCAGTTTAAGCCTGCTGACACTTGAAAACATCAAGCTGTTTAATCCTTACCTCAGGACTCACAAGGACCTCTTTCATCTCCACTTCAGTCCTGGAGTTTTCAATCAGAGCTATTGTGTCTCGACTTGTTCCATTCACAAGCTTGGATCTTTTCTCTGCTGTAGAGTTCACTGCTCTGCTCTTATCGCCTTTACCCCGGACGGTTTTCTTTCTCCAAGAAAATCTCTGTCTGTGTTTGTCGGAGGACTCCATGGCTTGGGCCAAGGCTCTCTTTGGGAAACAGTAAACAAGGGATTATCTAAACAGTTTTATTTGTCGCTGTCATTTTAGCAAATTATTTTATGAATTATATAATCAGACACTGTCACTATTTCAACTAATTCATGAATTATACAATTAGTTTTATTTGTCGCTGTCATTTTAGCAAATTATTTTATGAATTATATAATCAGACACTGTCACTATTTCAACTAATTCATGAATTATACAATTAGTTTTATTTGTCGCTGTCATTTTAGCTCACTGTAAACTAAATGCATTAATTTATGATTTATCTAAATAGATTTTTATTAGTCTGAGTTTTAACAATAATTAGAGATGGGAAATGGAGTGTACTGAGATATAACAACAATTACAGATGGGAAATGGAATGTACTGAGATATAACAACAATGAAAACTGAGTACATTCAGATATAACAATAATTTTGGAATTTATATACAACTCTCATGGGAAAACACATTAATTCATGAAAATTACTTTAACAACAAGTACAGATGGGTGTGTGTGTGTGTGTGTGTGTGTGTGTGCGTGTGCGTGTGTGCTTGTGTGCCTGCATGTGTGTGTGTGTGTGTGTGTGTCACTGTGAACTAAAAGCATTAATTTATGATTTATCTAAATAGATTTTTATTAGTCTTGAGTTTTAACAATAATTAAAGATGGAAATGGAATGTACTGAGATATAACAACAAGTAAAGATGGGAAATGGAATGTACTGAGATATAAAAAGATCATACCCATCCTGCCAGTTTTTCTGTCTTCATCTTCTGCTCAAACAAGTGAATTTGCTGCAAATAAAAATCATGGATCAAAATCAAATTTCTAAATAAAAAAAATAAAAAAAATATATATATATATATATATATTAAAAAAGAAAAGGTAACTTTAAAACAAGCAAGCAGGCATTCTGTATCTGCCTTTTATACCTCATATTTGGAAATGACATTCATCCCAACTTTCACAGAGATTTCAGATCCTGTGTTAGTTTTTCTGACATGCATTTTAATGCTCAGGAATTTGTTAATACCCTGTAGCATGTTGAGATGTTCCAGAGACACCCCAGAGATGTCCCAGAGACACCCCAGAGATGTCCCAGAGACACCCCAGAGATGTCCCAGAGACACCCCAGAGATGTCCCAGAGACACCCCAGAGATGTCCCAGAGACACCCCAGAGATGTCCCAGAGACACCCCAGAGATGTCCCAGAGACACCCCAGAGATGCAGAGTGGCCAGAGAGGTCCCCAGAGATGTCCCAGAGACACCCCAGAGATGTCCCAGCTGAGAAACCCAGAGATGTCCCAGAGACACCCCAGAGATGTCCCAGAGACACCCCAGAGATGTCCCAGAGACACCCCAGAGATGTCCCAGAGACACCCCAGAGATGTCCCTTAGATGTTCTTTTATCTTTGCAGATCTCTAAACTATCATCAGTATCCACTTGTACTGGATAAAGGGGACATTCTGAAGACCTTGTTGCGAATGAATGCTGACAGAAGATATGGTGCAGATGAAATAACATGTGTATGAATGTGTGAATGAAGAATCTGGACCAGGCAAGCAGGTACATATGAGATCAAGAGAATGAAGAGTTATGAATTCAGAATCAGTGCGTTACGGAATCATTTAGCATTTAGACTTTAAGACGTTTGCTGCAGAAGATGGAGCACCTTTGAGTATGTCCAGTGTACTAGGATGTCGATTCCTAAATCAGTAATCAGTAATAAGTACATAAATCTTCATATGCTCAAATGTCTGAAATGAGTACTTGAGGCTTCAGTGACAGAGCAGACGGCAGGAAGAAACAGTTGAGAAGGCAAAGTAAATTTGTAGTGCAAGGTATCAGGTACAAGAGAACGGAAATATTTATTTTATGGAATCAAAGGTTGAAACCTGCCTGTAAAGCTTGTTTCTCTATAGTCAGATTTTTGCTGGAAACTGCGTTGGTACTGAGAGCTTCCTTTTTCCTGGCATTGTGCTGGGCTAGCAGGCTGCGCCTGGCAGGGAAAAAACATTACAATCATTAGCATTGTTCTCCGTGTGGGTTCCTGCGCCCCATTGTGTGGGTTTCTGGCCCCACATTGTGTGGGTTCCTGTACCCCCTTGTGTGGGTTCCTGTCTCCCCCCCCCCCCCCCCATTGTGTGGGTTCCTGCCTCCATTGTTTGTGTGGGTGGGAGGAAAAGAACTACTGCCCCAACAAGCACGTTGGGAAAAACGGACTAATTATGTGAGTTTCCTTCAAGGATGGAGTGCATCTACCTAAGGGGCAAGAAACCATTAGTCTGCATACAGATATGTAAAATGGATGTGCATGCAAAACTCAAGCTGTGGAACACGACTTAAGTCCAGAGATGGATGAACAACCAGAACTTTTTGCTGGAGTTTACAGCCAGTGAACGTAAAGGAGAAGAAGAAGAAGATTAGCACCATATTGTAGGAAGAACAAGATTATATCATCCCAACTTTTGAGCTCAGTAACAATATGAAATTACAAGATCGCTGCAAATTTAAAAACTAATAAATGGCCAACAGTTTTTCCCAGGACTATTCAACTAAATCTACCCAGGTGCCACAATTTTGAAAACGGGGGTCATCATGGGCCAGACCCCAGCATAGAAAGATCATTGATACAGTACAACTGGCAATGATCCACTGGCAATGTTCTAGGTCTCCATGCCGGAAATGACTAGCGAGCCACCAGTTGAATAGCCTGATTTACATCATCCTCTTGATCAACAATTTCATTGGTTATTAAACATCTCTGATTTTTGGGAAATGACTGGCCAAACATGAATTCTTAGTTTAGCCCTGTACGCCCAATATGACTGAGGGTGTGGAAAAGGATCCTTTAATTACTTTACTTCAACTCTTAGTTTTCTCAAATAATTACTTCTTGTAGATATGTATACTTACTTTTCTTTGATGGCATTTGTTGACACCTGCATCCGGTCCCGAACGGCCAGGAAAAACACTTCCTCTCTTGTTGACAGGAAATAATCTAACATGGACTTCTGCAATAAAATTATCAAAACTGTTAGAAAAAAGTTCAAATAGTTTAAATTTCGCATGTTAAGTTAAAAAAAGTAAGTAATTTTTCTCCTTTTTATGTCAATAGTTTTTTTAATTTTTTTTTTAATTGTTGTTTTCAAGCTCCAAAAAACAAGATTTTACTAAAATAATATTGTATTCAATGCCCTTATCAACATAGTAAACAAGAATACTCAGTAGTAAAAAAAAACACACACTACAATGCCAAAGAAAAGTAGCCACAAGAAGTGAAAAAACCACTAAGCTGTGGAAATGCATATATCAACAAACAGATTGCCATCATCTATATTCCAAAGAGACTCAGATTGACAATAGTTGTTCACATACCTGGACGTCTCTGTTGGCATTGAAGAGCATGAGGCAGATAAATCCGAGAACCTCCTTGGCAATGTTGTCACTCCGTCTGGCCAGGTGAGGCAGAACCTTGACAATTGCATTGTGGGAGTTGAGTGCACTCTGTACATCTTTGACTGTATTTATTTGGCTGAAGAAGTGAGGTAAAAAATGCGGTTGAGACAATAAAGGAAACCTGAAATATTTAAGTCAAGAAACTTACTTTCTAATCTCTGTCTCTAACTAAAATCAAAAACCTTACTTTCTAATCTCTGTCTCAAACTAAAATCAAGAACCTCACTTTCTAATCTCTGTCTCAAACTAAAATCAAGAACCTCACTTTCAAATCTCTCACTCTAACTAAAGTCAAATGAACCTCACTTTCTAATCTCTGACTCTAACTAAAGTCAAATGAACCTTACTTTTTAATCTCTGACTCTAACTAAAGTCAAATGAACCTTACTTTCTAATCTCTGACTCTAACTAAAGTCAAATGAACCTTACTTTTTAATCTCTGTCTCTAATTAAAGTCAAATGAACCTTACTTTCTAATCTTCGACTCCAACATGCGGTTGGCCCAGTCCTCAGGCAACTTTCTCTCTTCATTGTGCACTAAAGCTCTCAGGATCTGTAAACATCTGACATCCAGTTGTTCTGAGGTTGGCAGGGTGCGTTGTGGAAGCTTACACTGAACCGCAGAAATTCTGTTTCACAAAATGAATAATCCATGACGCAAAATATAAAAAATAATGTAAGAGCCCAATTTTCAACTGGTGGAATTAGAAACTTATCAAATATATTTAACTTATTTAAAGACCAATTGTAGTGAAGAAAAATTACTTTCACAGATTGAATATTAATGGATTAAATTAAAATAATTAAATACACATGACCTAAAAATTAATTTATAAACTGCATGGTGACTTTGTATATTAGACTACTTTGACATAAGCGGCTAAGATAATTACATTAATTTATAATTTATGTATACATTGACTCTTTGAGTCCCAGGGGCTTTAGCATCACAGGCCCAGTGGGTAGTAAATAAAGTCATAAAATCGGCACACCGTGCGTTCATTGGGCTTCTAGGTAGGAAGTCATGAACGTATGATGCGTTTTTTGGGAGAGTTAAAAAGAAAAACATTAAATTAATGAAAAAAGAAATGATACCACAATGAACTAATGGGGATAAAATAATTAATAAAGTGTTGATGTAATTAAAAATAATGTATAATTCAGACATATAGGAAAAATAAAAACAGCACTTATGATCAAATATAAAACAGCAGAAGGCATGCTATCAAGGGGGAGGGGGGGACAGGGGCCAATAAGCAGGAAGATGTAATGACTCCTTAGGTCGGAAAGTACATGAAGCAGAAGAGCTGGCAAGAGCTTGAGTTTCTTTCAGGCAGACGGTGGGGAGAGCGATGTTCTGCAAAGGAACTGCTACATGATGATGATGATGAAATGACACCAAATACAAAAGAATTTAAAAAAAAAAAAAAAACAGAACAAGCATTGCAGAGAAGAGGAAAGATAAAGAATGAGATGGAAGATGAAAACTGAAGCACTTACGCCAGCTGTTCTAGCAAAATTCCAGCTCTAGCATATCTCTTGGTTATTTTCTGTTCATGAAAATCAATGAAACATCGGACTAGTTTCTGGAACTCCTCACCCAGGGGAAGCTCCTCATTGCTGTCAGAAATGTATTCTGGACAAACAGAAAGAAGCAGTTATAGAAATGACAAAATATGGAAGCAACAATTATGAAATTAACTCACTCTGATTCTGTTTAACAGAAGACAGAAGAATATAGATGGACATGACTAGCTACACTATACTGTACGGACTATTTAAAAAAAAAGAAGAAAATTCTGTTAAAATTTCAAATGTTATTGCTGTTTTATTTAAACTATCTGGCAACAGAGAACCACAACTTGAGTTTCAGACTTCAAGAGCAAATCATATCAATTATTAGAAATACCTATAAACAGACTAAATTTACAACAACAAAAAACTTCAACAACAGAAAAGAAAAAGAATAGAGAGAGAAGAAGCAGGTGAAGATCTTTTCCTTTCCACTGGAATGCCATTAGACCAGAACTGGCATCTGGCCCCTGTACAGAGCTGGTCTAAAGCGTGTGTTCAGTATCCTGTTTTGACTGAGCACATGTTGGAAGTCCCCAGTCTTGAATTTCTTGTGCCATCAGTTGTGTCCACTTTACAGTCCAAAAACACTGGTTTGTAGCCTTCATGTGGGGAGATTGTTCTTGTATTCAGAACTGTGTCCTGGATGTGATGTGTTGCAATGGAGGAGGTGACAAATGATACAAATGCTAGGGGGGTGTTACCTCTCTGTGACTTTATCTTGAGCTGGGCAGTAACTGTGTTGTAGCCACATTGGACCTGGCTACAGTTTCTGGTGAAGTTATGGAACTTGGCATTTAACTCCATCTCTGCTGTATAATACTCCATGTTTCCCTTGAGAAGGAAATGACAGAAACAATTATATCTTGTTTCTTCAAATTGATGTTTTATTTATTGTCTATGATGTGTTGTTATCTGTCAATTTCATGTTACCTACAGATGAAATTTTGTTACCTGTTTATGATAAGTTATCTCCTTTTTGATGAATCTTTTGTGTGTTTGCTTTTTTGTTATATATTCATTTATTAGCTAATTCGGGACTGAGTCTCGAGAGGCAGGAGGTAAGAAGTGTTGGTGTTGTGGGTAGTGGGTTCCCCCCCTTACTTCACCCTAGGTCTAGTGAATATCTGTCCATGAAAGGAGCGTCCATTGTGGTGTCAGCCTCTTGACCTAGCAAAACCTCTCTTACCTCAAGACCATTGTGCGTGGTGAAGAGTCACAGCCTCCCCGAGGTAGTCCTGGTAATTGGGGGTGCGAATCCCCAGGCAAAACACAATGGATCTAGAGGAGCAAACCTCGATAATAAACCCGGTGCACCACACCGTATTGCCCCCTGTGGGAGGGAAGGAGCCAGAGGTGTGCTGAACAGTCTTAGGAATGGAAACAAGTATGCTAACCCCCCTGAATACCGGAAACTATCGTGAAGGCACAGGGACTCAGGACGTGACAATCCAGTTGCCCCAACTACTCATGCTTAGAGCCATGAAGAAACCTGCAGGCAATCTGGTGGCGGGGAATGAGCACACTGTGAGCCCCACCTTAGCTACGTGTTAAAGGGGAAGGCAGAAACACAACCCATATTTCCTTTAGAACTGGTACAGGGCACTTCTAGCTGCTGCCCAGGGAGGTAGGTAATCCACAGACACCCCAGCACCACAATGCCATGAATATGTCAAAATTTAAGAATACATACGAGATCGGTCGTGGCCTTGTTTATCAAGGCCCGTGCCAGACAGTGGGTAAAAAGGCTGTCATGTGCGAAAAATTGGCTACTGGAAAATTTGAGATAAATAGGAAAATCAGACACCCCAGGAGGAGGAAGAGTGGGAGGGAGAGCAAAAAGAACTCAGACAGCAGAGCAAAAAATACACAGATGCTCAATATTCTGCAGCTGAACATCTGTGGAATAAGAAATAAGAAACTTGAACTTGCCAAACTGCTAAACAACCACAGGGTACACGTGGCTGCCCTACAAGAAACCCTGCATAAAGACTCTGATCTGCATCTCACTGGATATACTAGTTATGCCTGTAAGTGCAATGACTGCCGGGGCATAGTGACCTATATCAGAAATGACATACAAGGAGATGTAACAATGCTGTTGACATCTCACCCTACAGATGTGCTAAAAATAACTATCTGGCACAATGGAAGCAAATATACGATATACAACATGTACAGCCCACCTCAGACAACATGCAACATACCAGAACTATACAAGACACAGTACCATAAAACCCTTCTTGTTGGTGACTTCAACGGACACTCGCCACGTTGGGGTTACCCTGACTACAATAGCACAGGGAAATACATCGAAGATACTTGTGAAACAACTAACCTATTAGTGCTGCAGGACACAGAGTCTACACCTACACTGTTACACAGGGCCCACCTATCTCTCAGCCGACCAGACCTGACCATCTGCTCATCCGACTTAGCAGACGCAAGCTATCCCCAAGTCCTGGACGACATAGGAAGTGACCACAAACCTATACTCACAACTGTAAGCACCACCGCTAAATTACGCTTCAAGCAGAGAAACCGTTGGAATTTCCGAAAAGCAAACTGGAAACTCTTTCAGGAAACATCTGACTGCCTCCTGGGAAGAATTGACAACAGCTGTATGGAAACTTTTTGTGAAGACATAACACAAGCAATCCTGAATGCAGCGTCGAAAGCCATCCCAAGGGGCAACTGGAAGGCATATAAACCTTTTTGGAATAAAGAAATTCAAAATACTATCTGAAAGGAATAAAGCAAGAATATTGCTCGAAACTGCACGTTCAACAGAAGCAAAGATCCAATACAATAAAGCATGTGCCAGAGTAAAGCTTGTAGTTAATAAGGCTAAAAGAGATAAATGGATAGAAACTTGCTCCAACTTAGACCTTAGACAGAATGGAAATAAAGCATGGACTTTAGTTAAAAACCTCTCCGGAGAAAGTAGAAGGGTGAACCCAAAACCAGTGACAGATGGGAGTAAGATAATCACTGAAGACAAGAAGAAAGCAGAACATTTCAATCATTATTTTGCCTCAGTTAACAGAGCAGGTAAGCTGTCAGAACTCAATAGAACACAGCTCTCTCAGTTGAAGAAACAAGAGAGAGCTCCAACAGCCAGCGATTCCCTTTTTGAAAATGAATTTAGCATGGATGAATTAGAGCAAGCCCTGAAGAAATTAAAACCTAGAAAATCTCCAGGCCCAGATAAGATCCACAACGAAATGCTGCTACATCTTGGCCGGTCTGGGAGAGAAGTAGTTCTCATGCTTATTAATAAAACTTGGAGGTCAAGCAAACTTCCAAAGTCATGGAGGAATGCATATATCATCCCCATTCTTAAAACCAAAAAGCCTCCAGATGACCCCAAAAGCTACCGCCCGATATCCTTAACATCATGCTTGGGCAAAGTTGCAGACAGAATGATAAACAGGCGCTTGTATTGGTTCCTTGAGAGTTCTGGTGTTCTATGCCATAAACAGGCAGGCTTCAGAACCAACAACTGTACAGAAGACCCGTTTGCTATGAAGCTGAAACTAGGATTACCAGATTACCAGTATAACTGGGTGAAATACTTTCTGATAGATAGAACAATCCAGACTAAGATGCACAACGCAATCTCTTCTAAAGAAGTCTTGGAGGAGGGCTTGCCACAAGGCTCATCATTGAGCTGTACACTGTTCATAATCTTTATCAATGACCTGCCAGAACAAATCAAGGCCGAAAAAGCCTTGTACGCTGATGACCTAGCAATATGGCAGAGTCATGAAAATGTGGAAAGAGGAGCCCAAAGACTGAATGGAGACCTAAGAAGACTGCATGAGTACTGCCAAAGATGGAAACTCAAGGTTAACTGTCTTTACCAAAAGCCACCAAGTAGCAAGGAAGAATATTAACCTGAGGTTAGACAAACACCAAGTGATGAAAGAAGAGCATCCCACATACCTTGGAGTCACACTTGACCGGCAGCTCAGCCTCAAGAACCATATTGAAAACGTCAGGAATAAGGCACTGAGGCCGTTAAAGTTATTAAAGAGACTTGCAGGTACATCATGGGGATCAGACAAGTAAACTGAGGGGCTTATATCTAGGATATGTTCGCTCTGTGATAGAGTACAACAACTCACTGCTTACAACTTGCTCCAAAACTAACCTAGAGACTCTTGACAGAGTACAAAATAATGCCCTCCGATTAATCTGCGGAGCTATGCAGTCTACACCAACTGCTGCATGTGAAATCCATACAAATGTGGAACCCCTCGGGTTGCGGAGAGAAAAAGCCACTTTAGAAATTTATGAAAGATGCGTTAGGAAAAATCGTAACCATCCTAATAGACATCTTGTAGAAAACTGGGAATCCAAACAAAGAATAAAGCACAAATCGGTTTTACACTGTGTTAATGAAATTCAGGACAGATACCACCTCCCAGAAAGACGTCAAGGCATTCAGAATGTTGCAAGAAACCTACCACCACATGCTCGCTTTAAAGCTCCAGAAGTCCGAATTAAATTGGTAGGCAAGGAAACCAAACAATCCGACCCAATCGCTCTTATGAACTCATCACTAAAGACCGTTGATTTTTACCCCCAAGAATGGATACATGTCTTTACTGATGGATCAGCATTGAAAGCTACCATTAAAGCAGGTTATGGAATTTACATAGGTTATCCTGATGGATCTGTTGAAGAGATTTTTGATGCATGCAGGGAATTCTGTTCAAATTATGAAGCTGAAATAATTGCACTGGAAACAGCAGTATACCACCTAAAGACTGTAATAGATGTTTACCCTTCAAAGGTCCAAAATATTGTCATCTTCACAGATTCAATGTCTGCCCTTCAAACTCTGGAGGGCATTGAACGCTGCAGAACTGACATAGCCAAGATAATCCTGGATGCTGATTAGCTTATTACCTCATACAACATCAGAATAGTGATGCAGTGGATTCCAGGTCACTCCGGCACACCAGGTAATGACAGAGCTGACAGACTGGCAAAGAAAGGAGCAACACAAGAACAACCACCTACAGCGACAACCCTCCAGACAGCAAAAACACTTATAAGAGCTATAAACAAAGAGACTTGGTTGAACAGATGGGCCATGGGAGACACACTGGAAGAGAGGTTTATAGACATATGGCTGGCCCTGATCAAACTTAAAATGCAACATACTCCACTCAATGGACATTTAAACAGAATACAGCCACAACACTCCCCAGAGTGCCAGCTATGTAACTACCCCTACGAAACTGTTGAACACCATCTCTTTGAGTGCCCAAAACTCAGTGAGACAAGAAGAAGGCTACTCCCTCCAAGACCAGACAAGTGGAACACCTTGTACGGAGGAAAAGAACAGCTTGTGAAAACATGCAAATTCCACTACATGGCATTGGGCCAAAGGGCGAAAGCTCATGCGCCGCTGGATCGATAACAACAACAACATTAGCTCATTCAAGATACAAAGAAACATGGCTTACTCGTCGGACAGCTGTCACCATGTCCAGGAACTTCATGTCAGATGTCAGCTTTCCAAGAATCTCAGCCATGATCTGAAACACAAAACTCAGCCATCAGTAAACACAACAACGGGGTTCATGTGGGTAAAGGTTCCAGACCACAACATTCAGGACAAGTTCACATGAGCCTCAGTCCACACAGCCATCGCTGTAGAAAATGCTGGGATCTGACTAGATGTCTCCTTAAAGATTACTGCAGGCTCACTTCAAACATCACAGCTCAACCATTGGTCAGTTTAGTATCATGTGACACATTGTAAATTTGTTTCTTTAATAAAGAAGACGACAATTATAGATTCCATAATTTATTGCCCAGCATATTTTATCAAACGAAAAGAAACATATAAGTACTCGGGTGCAAACTTCAACTGCTCCAACATGCTGAGAGAAGAAATACAATCTAGAATACAATCTGGAAATAAAGTATAATATGCTCTTCAACATCTGCTAAGATCAAAGTGTCTGTCTCGCAATACCAAGATCAAAATATATAAAATGTTGATAAAGACCAGTTGTTTTATATGGCTCTGAAACTTGGAGCACAACTAAAAAGAGTTGAAGCCTTATTATAGGTTTTCGAAAACACTCTTTGGACTCATCAAAGATGCAACATCGGGGAATAGAGAGTGAAAAGCTACAACGAAATTCATAATCTGTTTAAATCACCACTGATCACTGGCATTTGTGAGCTAATAGACTGAAATGGTTGGGCATATTGAAAGAATGTCAGATTACAGAGAAGTAAAAACTGTATACACAAGGGAAATGAATGGTTATAGACCATGAGGCAGACCAAGAAGATTATGGAGAGATAATGTCCAGATAGACCTGCAAACACTTGGTGTCAGCAACTGAAAAGAGAAGGCCAACCAGAGAGACGAATGGAATAGAGGTGGGGGTGGGGGTGGGGGGGGGGATATATTTTAAACTTTGTGGCACATAGATTATCATTTAATTATTATTTTCTACTTTTCTTGACCTCTCTGGGTTTATTCTTCTGGCAGTTACCCTTTGTGTCACCCCCCCCCCCCCCCCCCCCCCCCAAAAAAAAGGACAGAAAAGAAAAAAAAATATTGGAAGATATAGGAATTCAACAATGTTTGTTAATTGACTGCTGCAGTACGTAAGTAATTCCGGTTTTTTATTTGTTAAGGATACAAGATCACCTCATCATGATAATGATGATCGTTCTCTTCCTCAAACACATTTACAAACACACAAAGACACACACACTCACCACTTTTGACGATGAGGATGACACAGACAGCACAGTGCTGACACAAGTGACTGCATTCTTCAGGTACAGCGGAGACTTCAACTCAGTGCCAAGTTGGTCCATCAGCCCCTGGGACAAATGAAAAACAAAATAGAGCTCAACTATCTAGTAAAAATGATTTATGGTGTTACACCAGAGACCTGGGTTCAAGTCCTCAGTAAAGTTGGGGATTTTTTCCTACCGGGGACAAAAATAAATCCTCACCTGCACAGTCCATGGTGACAGCATTAGCCATACAGGCATAAATTCTTGGGCTCAAGCAGCCTCCCTGCCTACAGCACACAAGTGATAAGTACAGGAGCAATGGCAGTTCTAGCAGCTGCATCAATAAAATTGTCATTTGTTGTGTCTGCAAAAGTTTTACTGATATTTCTGTAATTGTCCTACAGTGCGAAATACTCTTTTCACAAATATATTGTCCTATACTGTAGACTTTTAACATCACAAATATATTGTCCTATACTGTATAAAATGTAATGTTACCGTTGTTGAGAGTCACACATTTTCAATGGCAAGGCATGCAATATGTCGATAATCATCACAAAGTGTCTAAAAATGTGTTGGTACTCACCACAAAGTGTCTAAAATGTGTCAGTACTCACCACAAAGTGTCTAAAATGTGTCAGTATTCACCACAAAGTGTCTAAAATGTGCCGGTATTCAAAACAAAGTGCCTAAAATGTGTCGGTATTCACCACAAAGCGCCTAAAATGTGTCAGTATTCACCACAAAGTGTCTAAAATGTGTCAGTATTCACCACAAAGTGTCTAAAATGTGTCAGTATTCACCACAAAGTGTCTAAAATGTGTCAGTATTCACCACAAAGTGTCTAAAATGTGTCAGTATTCACCACAAAGTGTCTAAAATGTGTCAGTATTCACCACAAAGTGCCTAAAATGTGTCGGTATTCACCACAAAGCGCCTAAAATGTGTCAGTATTCACCACAAAGTGTCTAAAATGTGTCAGTATTCACCACAAAGTGTCTAAAATGTGTCAGTATTCACCACAAAGTGTCTAAAAATGTGTCAGTATTCACCACAAAGTGTCTAAAATGTGTCAGTACTTACCACAAAGTGTCTAAAATGTGTCAGTATTTACTACAAAGTGTCTAAAATGTGTCAGTATTCATAACAAAAGTGTCTAAAAAGTGTCAGTATTTACCACAAAATGTCTAAAAAATGTAGGTACTCATCACAAAGTGTCTAAAAATGTGTCAGTATTCACCACAAAGTGTCTAAAAAGGTGTCAGTATTCACCACAAAGTGTCTAAAAAAGTGATGGTTCTCATCACAAAGTGTCTAAAATGTGACGGTACTCAACACAAAGTGTCTAAAAAATGTGATGGTACTCATCACAAAGTGTCTAAAATGTGTCGGTACTCAACACAAAGTGTCTAAAATGTGACGGTAATCAACACAAAGTGTCTAAAATGTGACGGTACTCAACACAAAGTGTCTAAAATGTGACGGTACTCAACACAAAGTGTCTAAATGTGTCGGTACTCAACACAAAGTGTCTAAATGTGACGGTACTCAACACAAAGTGTCTAAATGTGACGGTACTCACCACAAAGAACCTTTTAAGTACATTGAGAAAAATGACAGCCCCCCCCCCCCAGCCGAAAAAAATCAGTATAACAGGACTGTGTACCATTATACCGTTGTACCCACTAGATAAGTCCTGGTTATCACGATGAGGATACTGATAATGCTGATTTTCATTACAATTGTAATGAGGATGATGATGAGGATGATGAAGATGAAGACGATGATGATAATTTAAGGATGATGGTAGCAACAAAGAGGGACCTACAGTGAGAGCTGTAGCCAGACTTTCAGTTGCAGACTCCTCATGAGGGTAGACGTTGCTGTCACAGGAGTAGAAGTCTGTGTAGAACACCTGGGAAACAATTCACAGACAACAATTGGTGAACAGGAACAGAATACACAATTACATACAACAATTCACAGACATCAGTTGGTGAACAGGTACAGAATACACAGTTATATACAACAATTCACAGACAACAGTTTGTGAACAGGTACAGAATACAGTTATATACAACAATTCACAGACAACAGTTGGTGAACAGGTACAGAATACACAGTTATATACAACAATTCACAGACATCATTAGGTAAACAGGTACAGAATACACAGTTATATACAACAATTCACAGACATCAGTTGGTGAAGAGGTACAGAATACACAGTTATATACAACAATTCACAGACATCAGTTGGTGAATAGGTACAGAATACATTTATATACAACAATTCACAGACATCAGTTGGTGAACAGGTACAGAATACACAGTTATATACAACAATTCACAGACATCAGTTGGTGAATAGGTACAGAATACATTTATATACAACAATTCACAGACATCAGTTGGTGAACAGGTACAGAATACACAGTTATATACAAAAATTCAGAGACATCAGTTGGTGAATAGGTACAGAATACACAGTTATAAACAACAATTCACAGACATCAGTTGGTGAATAGGTACAGAATACACAGTTATATTTAACAACTGTTGCACAATTGCATGAAAATACATCTTTATATTGAAACAATTGTTAAGCAAATTGTGAGTACACAGGTTTATTTACAACAACTGTTGAACAGTTGAAGGAGAACAAACGGTCATAAGTATATATGTATCATATTTTCTTCTTCTTCTCTTCCTCTATTTCATTGAACTTGGGGTGAGATATTGAGTTTCAAGAACTGACATCACAGCACTCAGGACTTACCCATAGGGGCTTTGTCCCCATCTTAAGCAGCCAGCAAAGAGTTGCAACTCCAATGGTACTAATAGCAGTCTCTTTGTATGTTGGGGCGAGATGTAAGGATTGTCTGTGTGCTTTTTCCTGTGTGTTTGTATTAGGTGATCTTCATTTCTTCAACGCGGTTCCATATTGTGTGTGGTCTCCCCCCATGATCTGTGTCCATTGTATTTATTCAGGGTGGCAACTGGTACCAGGACCTTCATGCCAGATGACCAAACTATCTCTTGTTGCTCTTTAATAAACTGAGTTCAGGAATAGTATTCTTTTATTTTCTTCATTTTTACTTTGATCTCTTCTAGTATCACCAGCAGCTCTTCTCATAAACCTCTCTGTTTCTGTTTTTGTTTCTGTTTCTGTTTTTTGTTTCTGCTTTTGTTTCTGTTTTTGTTTGTAAGCTGCTATTGTTTATGTAAGGGTTCAAGTTTGACATGGGTAGCATAAAGTTGCCAAAAACAAATTTTAAATTATTTTTACCTATATGTTACACAGTTTAATAAATATACTATTTGAACTAAGTTGAACAAATGTCAAGTGATGCACTCTTTAAACAGACTACTCTGAAAAGTGTACAGAAATCTCATTTGTACAGTCTGAACAGAACAATCACTGCTGAACTGAGCCAACAACTGTTGTAGGATCTACAGTGAACAATCATGGCTGAACTGAGCCAACAACTGTTGTAGGATCTACAGTGAACAATCATGGCTGAACTGAGCCAACAACTGTTGTAGGATCTACAGTGAACAATCATGGCTGAACTGAGCCAACAACTGTTGTAGGATCTACAGTGAACAATCATGGCTGAACTGAGCCAACAACTGTTGTAGGATCTACTCTGGATAATACTTAATAACACACAACTCACATGTAAGAATGGCAGAACTCCCTCCAGGATAAAGAAGAGCTTGTTGAGCATTGCTGCCTTGTTGTCTCCTTGTTCTGCCACATAGCTGGTGAAAATAAAAGTACCAAATGTTACATCTTCAGCTTCTGCATTCTTTCGTTTTCATACAGTTGTCTTCATTCTCCTCTCTTCATTCACTATTTAAAGTTCATTGTTGTTTATCAATAACTGCTACTCATCCTTTAAGTTGAGTCAGTGCAGTGGCTGGGTCTGCTCAAGATGTTTATCATTATTATTTGCTTCCCCTGTGAGTTCTGGGGCTTCATTGTGGGGAAAACAAAAACAAAGCACTGCCTACCCAAAAGCATGTTGTAGGAATTAACTAACTGAAAGCTTCCTTCCAAGTTGGAGTGCATCTGACTGACAAGCAAGAAACTAGCAGTCTGCATACAAATAATCCAGATCTGTTAAATGGATGCACATGCAACATTCAGGTTCTGGAACAAGACTCAAGTCCTGAGGTGGATGAATAACCAGAACTTTCCTCTAAAGTCTACAGCTGGTGAAGGTGAAGAAGAAGATGAAGAAGAAGAAGAAGAAGAAGAAGAATTACAAACTTAGCCTCATGCCCTAGAAGTGGGCAGTTTCAGCTCCTAGACAGCCTCTTCATGAACTACCCCATGTTACTTGTTGCTGTTTTTATGAAAAAACTAATGTTGGCTATTGTTGTTATTGCTGTTTCTGTTGCTGTTGTTGCCATGAAACATCAAACACTCATGGAGGAATCATGACTAGTCCTTAAAGTTCCACTTCAGAAATGTGCAATTATGACAGCTCTCTCATCCATGGAGGAATCATGACTAGTCCTTAAAGTTCCACTTCAGAAATGTGCAATTATGACAGCTCTCTCATCCATGGAGGAAGCATGACTAGTCCTTATAGTTCCACTTCAGAAATGTGCAATTATGACAGCTCTCTCATCCATGGAGGAAGCATGACTAGTCCTTAAAGTTCCACTTCAGAAATGTGCAATTATGACAGCTCTCTCATCCATAGAGGAAGCATGACTAGTCCTCAGAGTTGAAATTCAGCTACAACAGCTCTCCCACCTGTTGAGGAAGGTGACATTATTTGCCACTAGACTTCTCAGAGAATTCCACACAACAAATCTGAGAAAAGCCAGGGTTGTTGCAATAATTTTGATCAATGAGCCTGTGCAGCATGAGTATCTCTACTAGCACACAGTTGTCATTTATTAAGATATAAATGAGCCTGTCCAGCAGGAGTATCTCTCATAGCACACAGTTGTCATTTATTAAGATATAAATGAGCCTGTGCAGCAGGAGTATCTCTCATAGCACACAGTTGTCATTTATTAAGATATAAATTAGCCTGTGCAGCAGGAGTATCTCTCATAGCACAAAGTTGTCATTTACTAAGATATAAATGAGCCTGTGCAGCAGGAGTATCTCTCACAGCACAAAGTTGTCATTTATTAAGATATAAATTCACCAAGAATTAACGTCACTGCACTTGGGACCTTCCCATAATGCTCTGTCCCCTTTCTCAGTAGCCAGGTCTGCATGCTGATTGTTTAAATGGTGGTTATGACAAAATCCCACTGTAACTTCAACCTGAAACAGCAACATGTGCTTCACTAGAATATCTTCAACCAAACATGTGCATGCCTCAAACATCATTTATTATCTGATACTGTAACTTCAACTCCCCATGTGCATGCTCAAACATCTTGTATTATCTGTTACTGTAACTTCAACCAAACATGTGCATGCTCAAACATCATGTATTATCTGTTACTGTAACTTCAACTCCCCATGTGCATGCTCAAACATCATGTTATCTGTTACTGTAACTTCAACTCCCCTTGTGCATGCTCAAACATCATGTATCATCTGTTACTGTAACTTCAACTCCCCATGTGCATGCTCAAACATCATGTATTATCTGTTACTGTAACTTCAACTCCCCATGTGCATGCTCAAACATCTTGTATTATCTGTTACTGTAACTTCAACTCCCCATGTGCATGCTCAAACATCATGTATTATCTGTTACTGTAACTTCAACTCCACCTTGTGCATGCCTCAAACATCATGTATTATCTGATACTGTAACTTCAACTCCCCATGTGGGTTTAGTGCCCCATGATAGAGAGAAAAAGAATAGACACACTGCTCCCATTACATTACATCTTCTTTCATTCATTTGAGATAGATAATCTATATCTGCAATGTTGTCTCTTATATGAAATTCCTAACTGTCTTTTAATTCACTCAATGGCCCATAAAGTTTGACTTCCACCAGCATTTCTCTTGGTCAGAAGTTTTGTCTTGATATGTTGTACTTGGGATGGTTAGACAGTTGGGCACAGATATCGCAGCCCATTTGTAAACCACATAACAACATGCCAGCACCCTTCAGGGGTGACTACAAAAGAAGATGTATCCTTATCTCATCATCATCATGTAGCAGGTCCTTTGCATAACGTCACTCTCGTCACGGTCTGCCTGAAAGAAACTTGGTCTCCGCCAGCTCTCACACCTCATGAACTTTCATATTCAAGGAGTCGCTTATATTCTGTGCCCATCTTCGTGTTGGTCAGTCCCTGCCCCTCCTTCCTGGTACCATGCCTTCTGCTATAATTGTTTCCAATCCATCGTGGCGCTTAATATGACCAAAATATTTTAGCTCCCAAGACTGGATGCTGTTTATTAGCCGGCCTTTCCTGATGTTCAGATCTTTCAAGATGTCAATATTTCTGCTCTTCTTTGTCGAAGATATTCTGAGAATTTTTTCTATAGCATTTCAGCTCAAAAGCCCCTAATCTAGCAGTCATTAATCAACAGTCTTCCAAATATCTCCCTTGCTCATTGTGTTCTTACCTAGTAGTGGTGCTTTTGAAGTTAACAGATTTTGTTTACTCATTGCTTCACCCTACAGCATGACACACACAGTAGGACTGTGTAAGTCTTCTTTTTCTAATTGATTTCTCTACTCCTGGAATACCATGCAGCATCAGGGCAGGAAGAGATTTCTGGAACAGGCCCTTCTGTTTGCTTCATATAAAACTGTTTAGTGTCTCTGATATTTCTGAGGCCCATTTTCTGCATGGTTGACATCTGGCTCTGTTACTGCTGTATCTGTATAACACTGCTCTCTGTGGTCAGTTTCCCCAAGCAAAGAGTTATGCTCTATATTAAGCACATGCATGTGTACACACAGCTAGAGAATTGTCAAGAAGTTCTCCATGGGGGTCCTGGGCTCCATTTGGGGGGAACAAGAACAGACCCACTGCCCCCAAACAAGCATGTCCTCAAAGTTGAATAATTAGGCGTGTTGCCTTTGAAGTCAGACTACATCTGCCTGAGAGGATAGGAACCAACAGTCTGCATAGACCAGATCTAAAAAACAGACATGAACACCAAACTCAGGTTCTGGACAAACATCCAGAACCTACCACCAGAGTTTACAGCCAGGGAAAGCCAGGAAGAACACAGGCCAATAGGTGATATATGTGATTAATTTTATTTTATCTTTTTCGATCTCAAACAGATAAACTTACTTGTCATGTTGTAGATCCGAACCACCACTCTCCACCAGGCTATTTGATGCTTTCATGTAGACCCAGAAGAAGAATTTGATGAACGGACGTTTCAGATTGCTGTCAATCTGACTGTTGTTAAGCACACACAAAATTTCATCAGATGGCAGGATTGTTTGGCACAGCGATTCAATAAACTTGTTCTCACCCTGTGTTGACGAACGTGACAGTGTCAGTAAAGGTCAGTCAAAGTCTTCAACTGTCTACCTCTAGCTAGAAGATCTAAACGTGCAGAAAACTGCTGTGGCATAACAGTTAGTGCCCTTGTGTGCCAGGATATTGGTCAGGGTTTAATGCCTTGTACAAATCTGGAGCTGATCCTACTTTCTGAAAATCTTGTCAGTCATGTCTCTAACATCCAAGAAGGCTAACCCAATCATTAAATGCCTGCAGAAGTGACATATGGCAGCCAAAAAGTGCAAATATTGCAAAGATGTTGTAAACGGGCAAAACACATTTATATCTGCAGAAAAACACAGAAGAAAAAGAAGAAGAAAAGAAGATATCTCTAACATTACTTGTAAACATTAGTCCACATTTTCCAATAACAGTTCTAGACCTTGTTCCCTATCATTCTGGAACATCACGTACAAACAGTATGACACTGAATTATTTAAAAACAAATACAATATCCAACCTATTTTCTCATCATGCTAAGAAAATGATAATACTTCCTTTCACTAATTCTAGTTTTTCAAAATGTGATACAAAAAGATTTTTCTAGCAAATCAATCAATATTAGAGTGTCTATGCGTGGAGCCACTTAAGTGGTGATCCTGCCAAAACTGATGGGTTCAGAAGCCGCTATTCCTTCGAAGTCGGAGTGCATCTGCCTGAGAGGCAAGGAACCAGCAGTCTGCACACAAATGAGTCAGATCTGTAAAACGGATGCACACGCAACACTCAGGTTTTGGAACAGGACTGCAGTCCAAAAGTGGATGAACACCAGAGTTTACAGCTGGTGACCGCAAAGAAGAAGAAGAGAAGCCGCTAAAGTGGCCATACACCCACAAAGAGTTAAACAGCTGTAACCATAATGGCCATACACCCACAAAGAGTTAAACAGCTGTAACCATAATGGCCATACACCTACAAAGAGTTAAACATCTGTAACCATAATGGCCATACACCCACAAAGAGTTAAACAGCTGTAACCATAATGGCCATACACCCACAGAGAGTTAAACAGCTGTAACCATAATGGCCATACGCCCACAGAGTTAAACATCTGTAACCATAATGGCCATACACCCACAAAGAGTTAAAAAGCTGTAACCATAATGGCCATACACCCACAAAGAGTTAAAAAGCTGTAACCATAATGGCCATACACCCACAAAGAGTTAAACAGCTGTAACCATGACTACCACTTCATATGGGAGCAGTGGTAGTGTTGCAGTTACACTCGCATGCTGACTGAAAGGTCAAAGGTTTAAATTTTCTTTAGAGTGAATTTTTTTCTGGTAAAACTGACCTTAGCTCGCAGACGGATCCAGCTTGAAATGGGTAAAAGGGACCCGGGGAGAAAAGGTGGCCAGCGTGATGTTGACTATATAATCCATGTAGTGTCCTGAACTGGTCTATTAAAATCTGGACCTAGCATCTCATGCACAATATACCTCAGACGTGACATACTTACCACTTCATATAAAATCTGGACCTATCATCTCATGCCCAATATACCTCAGACGTGACATACTTACCACTTCATATAAAATCTGGACCTATCGTCTCATGCCCAATATACCTCAGATGTGACATACTTACCACTTCATATAAAATCTGGACCTATCGTCTCATGCCCAATATACCTCAGACATGACATACTTACCACTTCATATAAAATCTGGACCTATCATCTCATGCCCAATATACCTCAGATGTGACATACTTACCACTTCATATAATATCTGGACCTATCGTCTCATGCCCAATATACCTCAGACGTGACATACTTACCACTTCATATAAAATCTGGACCTATCGTCTCATGCCCAATATACCTCAGACGTGACATACTTACCACTTCATATAAAATCTGGACCTATCATCTCATGCCCAATATACCTCAGACGTGACATACTTACCACGTCATATAAAATCTGGACCTATCATCTCATGCCCAATATATCTCAGACGTGACATACTTACCACTTTATATAAAATCTGGACCTATCATCTCATGCCCAATATACCTCAGACGTGACATACTTACCACTTCATATAATATCTGGACCTATCATCTCATGCCCAATATACCTCAGACGTGACATACTTACCACTTCATATAAAATCTGGACCTATCGTCTCATGCCCAATATACCTCAGACGTGACATACTTACCACTTCATATAAAATCTGGACCTATCGTCTCATGCCCAATATACCTCAGACGTGACATACTTACCACTTCATATAATATCTGGACCTATCATCTAAAGCCCAATATACCTCAGACGTGACATACTTACCACTTCATATAAAATCTGGACCTATCATCTCATGCCCAATATACCTCAGACGTGACATACTTACCACTTCATATAATATCTGGACCTATCATCTCATGCCCAATATACCTCAGACGTGACATACTTACCACTTCATATAAAATTTGGACCTATCATCTCATGCCCAATATACCTCAGACGTGACATACTTACCACTTCATATAATATCTGGACCTATCATCTCATGCCCAATATACCTCAGACGTGACATACTTACCACTTCATATAAAATCTGGACCTATCGTCTCATGCCCAATATACCTCAGACGTGACATACTTACCACTTCATATAAAATCTGGACCTATCGTCTCATGCCCAATATACCTCAGACGTGACATACTTACCACTTCATATAATATCTGGACCTATCATCTCATGCCCAATATACCTCAGACGTGACATACTTACCACTTCATATAAAATCTGGACCTATCATCTCATGCCCAATATACCTCAGACGTGACATACTTACCACTTCATATAATATCTGGACCTATCATCTCATGCCCAATATACCTCAGACGTGACATACTTACCACTTCATATAAAATCTGGACCTATCATCTCATGCCCAATATACCTCAGACGTGACATACTTACCACTTCAATTAAAATCTGCAGTACAAATACAGACACATTTTCATTTTACAATTAATTAAAACCCAAGAGAAGTTGTAAACATTACCGTGACACTTAAAATAATTCTAAATATAATTTGTTTACATTAAATAAAAACATACTAGACATTTAAGAAGAAGTACCTCAGCACAAGTGGCCAGGAGATCAACTAAATTGATGAAATAAGTCAAATGGCCTGAATCTGTTTGATTGGTTAGGATTTGTTCTCTGAAAATAAATTATGGGCCAATCAGGCAAACAAAACTAAGACAAATAATAAAAAAAGGGCTAATTAATTGTGTAAATAGTGAGCTACTTGAACAATCAGCATCTACACTGCTGTGAGCAACCAGAACATATGCATGTATGCTTTAAGCACATAGAATACATACGTGCATGCTAGGAGAAAACAGCATACTTAAGGGTATGCTATTTTGTCATTTCTGAAATCATTAATCTTTCTTTCATGTCACTACAAGATTTTATCATCAAATCATTAACATAAAGTATATGGTGATGATATCAGTCCTGCAATATGAAATCATACTATTGTCAGAAAAAGAAAAGAAAAAAGAGTTATGACTCATTTGATCATAAGGACATTTGTAACTACTTATAGGCTTAAACATAATCAACATACTAAACTTGCTCCACAAACTCTGAGTGGAAAAACCTTATACTATACATTAATGTAGACTTTGTATCTTTGCCATGTCATCTCCATTTCAGTAATCTTCTACTTCTTCTTCTGGTCTCTACTCCTGGAATGCTTCAGGTGTTAGAGCAGGAAGAGATCTCTGGCACGGGTCCTTTTGTACACTTCACATATAATACTTTGCAGTGTCTCTGATACTTCTGCTGTCCATCTTCCACGTGCTCGACCACTAGATCCATGACCCCTCAGTAGCTCCAGCATTGATCCCTAGGGATCTCTCTAAAACTGCACTCAAAATATGAAAGAATTGTCCACGACATTCATACTGTGAGGCAAACGGTTTCACCAATTCGTCACAAAGACCCCCTGATCATACATAAAAAACTGTGTGACTTCCAGTGACAGAAGTTTTTCACTTACCTCTCTTCCTCTGGTAAATCCAAAACATAGGCAGATTTTTTGAAAGTTTGCATCAAATATTTCATCACCAGAGCTTGGTTTCTTTTGATGGTCAGCTCCAGACCCTCAACCTGGACACAGGAGGCTCACAGTCAGGACAAGGCAGAGTTGCAACACAGGAGGCTCACAGTCAGAACAAGGCAGAGTTTCAACACAGGAGGCTCACAGTCAGAACAAGGGAGAGTTGCAACACAGGAGGCTCACAGTCAGAACAAGGGAGAGTTGCAACACAGGAGGCTCACAGTCAGAACAAGCGAGAGTTGCAACACAGGAGGCTCACAGTCAGAACAAGGGAGAGTTGCAACACAGGAGACTCACAGTCAGAACAAGGGAGAGTTGCAACACAGGAGGCTCACAGTCAGAACAAGGCAGAGTTGCAACACAGGAGGCTTACAGTCAGAACAAGGGAGAGTTGCAACACAGGAGGCTCACAGTCAGAACAAGGGAGAGTTGCAACACAGGAGACTCACAGTCAGAACAAGGGAGAGTTGCAATACAGGAGACTCACAGTCAGAACAAGGCAGAGTTGCAACACAGGAGGCTCACAGTCAGAACAAGGGAGAGTTGCAACACAGGAGGCTCACAGTCAGAACAAGGGAGAGTTGCAACACAGGAGGCTCACAGTCAGAACAAGGGAGAGTTGCAACACAGGAGACTCACAGTCAGAACAAGGCAGAGTTGCAACACAGGAGGCTCACAGTCAGAACAAGGCAGAGTTGCAACACAGGAGACTCACAGTCAGAACAAGGCAGAGTTTCAACACAGGAGGCTCACAGTCAGAACAAGGCAGAGTTGCAACACAGGAGACACACAGTCAGAACAAGGCAGAGTTGCAACACAGGAGGCTCACAGTCAGAACAAGGCAGAGTTGTAACACAGGAGACTCAGTCAGAACAAGGGAGAGTTGCAACACAGGAGGCTCACAGTCAGAACAAGGCAGAGTTGCAACACAGGAGACTCACAGTCAGAACAAGGCAGAGTTTCAACACAGGAGGCTCACAGTCAGAACAAGGCAGAGTTGCAACAAAGGAGACTCACAGTCAGAACAAGGGAGAGTTGCAACACAGGAGACTCACAGTCAGAACAAGGCAGAGTTGCAACACAGGAGGCTCACAGTCAGAACAAGGCAGAGTTGTAACACAGGAGACTCAGTCAGAACAAGGGAGAGTTGCAACACAGGAGGCTCACAGTCAGAACAAGGGAGAGTTGCAACACAGGAGGCTCACAGTCAGAACAAGGCAGAGTTGCAACACAGGAGGCTCACAGTCAGAACAAGGGAGAGTTGCAACACAGGAGGCTCACAGTCAGAACAAGGCAGAGTTGCAACACAGAAGGCTCACAGTCAGAACAAGGGAGAGTTGCAACACAGGAGGCTCACAGTCAGAACAAGGCAGAGTTGCAACACAGAAGACTCACAGTCAGAACAAGGCAGAGTTGCAACACTAGACAACACTGATCTATAGCCATGGGGAGTGATAGTAATGATGATGATAGGGATGATGATGACGATGATGGTGATGTGATGATGATGACAATGATGCTGATGATGGTGATGGTGACCATGATGGTGATAATGACAATGATGATGATGACAATGATGGTGATGGTGACCATGATGGTGATAATGACAATGATGATGATGACAATGATGGTGATGGTGACCATGATGGTGATAATGACAATGATGATGATGACAATGATGGTGATGATGACAATGATGGTGATGATGATAATGATGGTGATGATGACAATGATGGTGATGATGACAATGATGGTGATGATGGTGATGATAAGAATGATGGTGATTATGACAATGATGGTGATGATGACAATGATGGTGATGATGGTGATGATAAGAATGATGGTGATGATGACAATGATGGTGATGATGACAATGATGGTGATGTGATGGTGATGACAACAATGGTGATGGTGATAATGATGACAATGATGGTGATTATGACAATGATGGTGATAATGATGACAATGATGGTGATTATGACAATGATGGTGATGATGACAATGATGGTGATGATGGTGATGATAAGAATGATGGTGATGATGACAATGATGGTGATTATGACAATGATTGTGATGATAACAATGAAGGTGATGATAAGAATGTTGGTGATGATGACAATGATGGTGATTATGACAATGATGGTGATGATGACAATGATGGTGATTATGACAATGATGGTGATGATAACAATGATGGTAATGATGGTGATGATAAGAATGATGTTGATGATGGTGATGATAACAATGATGGTGATGATAACAATGATGGTGATGATAACAATGATGGTGATGATAACAATGATGGTGATGATGGTGATGATAACAATGATGGTGATGATAACAATGATGGTGATGATGATGATGACAATGATGGTGATTATGACAAAGGTGGTGATGATGGTCATGATGATGATGACAATGATGGTGATGATGATGACAATGATGCTGATGTGATATGATGACAATGATGGTGATGTGATGGTGATGTGATGATGACAATGATGCTGATGTGATATGATGACAATGATGGTGATTTGATATGATGACAATGATGCTGATGTGATATGATGACAATGATGGTGATGTGATATGATGACAATGATGCTGATGTGATATGATGACAATGATGGTGATGTGATATGATGACAATGATGCTGATGTGATATGATGACAATGATGGTGATGTGATATGATGACAATGATGCTGATGTGATATGATGACAATGATGGTGATGTGATATGATGACAATGATGCTGATGTGATATGATGACAATGATGCTGATGTGATATGATGACAATGATGCTGATGTGATATGATGACAATGATGGTGATGTGATGGTGATGTGATGATGATAATGATGGTGATGTGATGATGATAATGATGGTGATGATGATGATGACAATGATGGTGATGATGATAATGATGGTGATGTGATGATAATGATGGTGATGTGATGATGACAATGATGCTGATGTGATGGTGATGTGATGGTGATGTGATGATGACAATGATGGTGATGTGATGGTGATGTGATGATGACAATGATGGTGATGTGATGATGACAATGATGGTGATGTGATGATGATAATGATGGTGATGTGATGATGATAATGATGGTGATGTGATGATTAAAATGATGGTGATGTGATGATGATAGATGGTGATGTGATGATGATAGATGGTGATGTGATGATGATAGATGGTGATGTGATGATGATAGATGGTGATGTGATGATGATAGATGGTGATGTGATGATGATAGATGGTGATGTGATGATGACAATGATGGTGATGTGATGATGATGGTAATGATAGTGATGTGATGGTGATGTGATGGTGATGTGATGATGATGATAATGATGGTGATGTGATGTTGATGTGATATGATGACAATGATGGTGATGTGATGGTGATGTGATGACAATGATGGTGATGTGATGATGATAATGATGGTGATGTGATTGTGATGTGATGATGATAATGATGGTGATGTGATGATGATAATGATGGTGATGTGATGATGATGATAATGATGGTGATGTGATGTTGATGTGATATGATGACAATGATGGTGATGTGATGGTGATGTGATGACAATGATGGTGATGTGATGATGATAATGATGGTGATGTGATTGTGATGTGATGATGATAATGATGGTGATGTGATGATGATAATGATGGTGATGTGATGATGATAATGATGGTGATATGATGACAATGATGGTGATGTGATGATGATAATGATGGTGATGTGATATGATGACAATGATGGTGATTTGATGATGACAATGATGGTGATGTGATGATGATAATGATGGTGATGTGATGATGACAATTATGGTGATGTGATGATGGTGATAATGATGTCAATGATGATAATGATGACAATGATGATAATGATGACAATGATGATAATGATGACAATGATGATAATGATGACAATGATGGTGATGTGATGATGACAATGATGGTGATGTGATGATGACAATGATGGTAATGTGATGGTGATAATGATGACAATGATGGTGATGTGATGATGATAATGATGGTGATGTGATGATGGTGATAATGATGACAATGATGGTGATGTGATGATGATAATGATGGTGATGTGATGACAATGATGGTGATGTGATGATGGTGATAATGATGACAATGATGATTATGATGACAATGATGATGATGATGATGATGTGGATGGTGGCGACAATGATGATAATGATGGTGATGTGATGATGGTGATAATGATGACAATGATGATAATGATGACAATGATGATGATGATGATGTGGATGGTGGCGACAATGATGATAATGATGATTATGATGATAATGATGATGACGTGGATGATGATGACAATGATGATGATGATGATAGTGATAATGATGATAATGATGATGATGATCATAATGAACCATGAAGTGTTTGTAACTGTAGCAGCAACGTACTTTGACCAGAGTCTTTAGCAACACCAGGAACTCAGGAGCCGTGTGCTGACAGTCAGCTGCCAACATCACAATCCGCTGAATCTGCCGAGGCTGGACTTGGAGGCACACTTTTTGATTGTCTGTGAAAACCTGGCAAGACCAAACTCAATAGCTCATTACTTCTTCTAGCGCCAATTGGTTTTTCAGCAAAAGCTTAAAAGAAGACAATAACAAAATACATTGTCTGAATTTTACATCGGTCAAAAATATACATTTCATATACACCACACACAAAAATGGCACCAGGTTCTTTTAGTGTGTTCTGACTGAACAGGTATAGCTGACAAACATAAAGATTTGTGAGTCAAACTTGGTGCAATGTTATGACAGCTATTAGTAAAATCAAGAAAATACAGTTGAAACACTGAAGAATGAAGTTGCAATAACAACTCAAATAGCAACGTGTGCTGGAAGAGGTCAATTAATGCAGAGATTTATCAACATAAAAGTAAAGTAAAGTCAAGATCCCTTTCCACGCCTTTAGGCGTATAGGGCATATGGGAAGAGCGCCCATATTTTTACAGACCATCAGCACTCGGTGGGTAATGTGGTCAGCATTACGCCGGCTGTCTTTACTTTCCCAGGACAGCCCATCCTGGTACCCATTTGAGGCTGGGTCGACCTGTGACGTCTTATACCACGACAAAAATCTACGCAGCCTGCAGTGGGTTTCGATCGCGGTACATTGGATTATCAACATACAGCAACAAAATAGTAAGAACAATCAAGATAATGACTGACACTAATGTGACACAACAGTTTATCTCCTATGATGTTTGAAGTGACCCTAAAATAATCTCTAAGCAAGCGTCCAGGAAAATCTGTGTCTTGATCTGTTACAGTGCTGCTCAAATTGGCTGTGATCATTTATGTTTCAGACCATGGCTGACAAACTCACCGTATTGGAAGTCACTATCTTCTAGCAGATACCAGCAGCAGTAGTCATCATCATTATAAACCACTTCTGCAGTTAAGCGTCGTGGAGAGGAATAATTTGGCATCCAGTGCATGCTGGTTGCCACTGGCTATTGTCATGATGTGAAGGCGTAGAGTGTCTCAATGTCATCAATCCATAGTTTTTTTCATGGCCGTCCTCTTGCTCTTGTATCTGATCTTCTGAGATGTAGTGCTTGTGATGGTATTTGATCTTGCTGCATTCTAACGAGATGGCCAAACCACTTGATCTGCTGTTTCTCGATGAATCTAGTACAAGGTGTCTTTCCCATACTCTGTCTGATAGTATTATTATTCACTCGATCTCGCATGGATAGGTTGGTTGCTTTTCTCAGGCACCTCATCACGCAGGTGGTGATTTTGTGTACATGGGCTTTTCCGCTGCAGGTTGTCCACTGTAGTTTGTCCAACAGACTGTCCACTGCAAGTTGTCCAGTGCAGGTTGTCCAGCATGTGTTCACTGCAGGTTGTCCACTGCTGTTATCCAGCAGGTTGTCCACTGGTGTTATCCAGCAGGTTGTCCACTGCTGTTATCCAGCAGGTTGTCCACTGCTGTTATCCAGCAGGTTGTCCACTGCTGTTATCCAGCAGGTTGTCCACTGCTGTTATCCAGGTTATTCACTGAAAGCTGTCCAGCATACCTGAATTTATTCCACCCTTCTACTATCAAGTTTAAAAGAGTATCAACACTGGTCACTTACCTCTTTGAGGGCCATAGCCAGCTCTGACCTCACAATAGACACATCCAGAAGTCTGTCTAAACTGGGGAAGATCTGGTTCTGAACCTCCTGGTTCTCTCTGCTCAACAGACTCAACAGGGACAGAGTTTTCTTGAAGACAGTCTCCATGCCCTTGTATTGTTCCTGAGAAATTGATTCAATAAATTAGTGAAATCTCTCATGGCTGGGGCCTAGCCTCAAGCATGGAGAAACACACATACGGGACCAGAAGGCATCACATCCTAATGTAGGTTGCTTACACTGAATGTCCACACTTCCCTCATGGTAACCGTAGATTGTCTGTTGAAGTTTACAGCATGTGAGCTGGCGTATTTCCAGACGACTGTGCTACATTTGATATAAGGTGGCCTGCGACACGCAGCCCATGGCCATGATGAGTTAATTGTTGAATTTTGATTAGGAATCAACATCATAGCATTTGAGACACTCCCATAAGTGCTTCATCCCCGTCTTCGGTAGCAAGCGAAGAGTTCCAATTCTGTAACCAGTAACTGTCTGATTGTACATCCGTCTGGCCTTTCCCTTGAGCGTTAAAGTCGGCCAGATCCCCTGCTAATTCGCTACAGCGCCATTCTCCTCAGACTGTAATCATCTTTTGTTCCTCCGCACTATTCACTCACTCCCAAGCGGCCCTGGAAACAACCACAAGGCCAATGTGTGAGTGGTGACTTCAAAGCACTCCAGCAGGTTGGGGTGGGGTTGGCGAGTCACCTATGAGGCAAACTGATGATTACATTATAGGCCAATGTGTATGCTGTAACAGTGTTGGGTTAGTTGTGTCTGAGATAGACACATTGTCATGGAGCTGCCAACAAGCCACTGCCTGTAAGACAGCAAAATGTTCCATGGCAGTTTTCTTGTATGCAGATTGTTGGTTCCTTACCTCTCAGGCAGATGCACTCAAACTTTGAAGAAAACACCCCTGATTAGTCACCTGTTAATACATGCTTATTAGAAGCATCTATTCTTTGTTCTCCAAGATGGAGCTATGGAATCCAATCTGGAAAACCCCAAACATGAAATGCCTTGATAGCCTAACTTCAGTTTCCATGCTCATATGATGGCAGTCCATGATCCCAGACCAGATTTATGTTTTCATTTCCAAATTGGTTAATGAGAAGTGAAAATAATCAATAGATAAAGACTTACACTGAGTAACCTGGAGTCAATTTCCTGCGAGAGTATCTCCAGCAAAATGTCCAGTATGCCTGCAACAACACAAACATCACAGATGTCAGCGGATGAAACTAGCTACAAAAGTAGCTCACACTAGCTACAAAAGTAGCTCACACTAGCTACAAAAGTAGCTGACACTAGCTACAAAAGTAGCTCACACTAGCTACAAAAGTAGCTCACACTAGCTACAAAAGTAGCTCACACTAGCTACAAAAGTAGCTCACACTAGCTACAAAAGTAGCTTACACTAGCTACAAAAGTAGCTCACACTAGCTACAAAAGTAGCTCACACTCAGGAAATATATCTGCTGATAACTGCTTGCATTTACCACTTTTAGAGTGTAGGTGGGGGGGGGGGGGGGGGCTTGAAAAGGGGGGGGGGGGGGTGAGAGGGGTTAAGGAGTGTTTAAGGCTATGGATTTAGGGCCACATGGCTAGTGCTGTTGCCATGGACTGTGCGGGTTAGGATGTTTAATTTTGACCTCAACAGAAAAACTCCATCATTTCAACTGGCCATCAGTTGCCACACTGTGAGAAATGGTATGCATCTGCATGTTTGGCTTTTGAAATGGTATAGATAAATATGTTCTGCTTACTCACAGTAGACATTTTTTTCTTTCTATGAGGGTATGCCCATACTGGGGAGAAAGGGGGGGGGGGGGTGTTGTCCTAGACATTGGGCCTATAAAGGCATTTCCTGCATGTTGCTGACACTAACAGATGCTCACCTGCTGGTTTAAAGGGTTTGTGTTCAAAGATCAAAGAGCCCAACAAATCCATGAAGGGTATTAATGTTGAAAGAAGAAATACGCTGAAACACTTAGGTCTGATGTTTGATCTCAGTCTGTCCTACAAATATCACGTGGAGTGAACTTTGATCAAATGCAAATGTGGTCTGGCGGCACTGAGATGGTAGCGACACACATGGAACAGAGATTACTGGTCTGATTGTTCAACCATTTGGTCCTTTCTGTAATCGATTATGGCCTAGTTCATAATGTACAAAGCTTGAAGGGATTTAAAATGAAGGAATGAGAATCGTCTTTGGTTGCACACAGGACACCCCAGTTAGATCAATGAGGTAGATGATTGAGCTGACATCGTTCAAGTCTAGACTGTCACTGGTGCAAGCCAAAGCCTATGTGCCAGTTACTAATGACGAAAGGCATCCGCTGCATAGTAATTTGAAGGATTTAGGAAAATACCAGTTGAAAAGAGGAAAGTCATGGATGGCACGAGCTGAAGATATCATTGAGACGGCGGCCTCAGTCAAGCAAATACACAAGTGGCAGGAAAGGATCCACACAAACACACACAACAGCAGTTTCCATCAGGTCATTATCACGTTAGGAAGAGAATGTAGAGAGTGGTGTTACAATATGGCAGAATTAGAGCTACAACAACTAACAGATGGAAAGGCAGTATTGTACACTGACTGTTCCGTTCATCTGGATGTAAGATCTTGATGGGGATTTTTAGCTAGAATGAAGGAAAAATTTGTGGCAGAACAAAGCGGAATTTTGTTATCTACAACTTCAATCATGAGAATGGAAGTGGAGGCAATCACTGCAGCTCTGACTTGGATAGCAGAAAACAAAGTTACCAGAGGAATTATTGTGTCTGATTCTCAGTCGGTATTGCCGAAGGTTCAAAATGGACTAATGTGGCATGAGTGGATACCATGCCTTAGTACACTAACATTGCAGGAAATCACGTGCATATACTGTCCGGGATATGCAGGAGTACGAGGGAATGAAATAGAGGATTTTCTGGCTACAAAAGCTAAAGTAACGGGAACACTCATACTGGGCAAGGGAGATATTCTGAATACCATATATGAATGGCTTTTGGCAGAAGACACGAGATTACATGAAATAACATGGGCAAGAATGTGTTAGAGAGGAATTAAGTGTGAATCTGGCAAGGAGGGACTGATGAGAGAAAGAGATCCTTATGTGTATAATCAGTGTGCTACGGAAACAGTTAGCATCTACACCTTACTTCATTTGCTGCAGGAGACGGAGCTTCTGTGGGTTTGCCTGGTGTGCTACGATGTCAATTCTTAAATCAGTAATCAGATCAAAGAGTATGTAGAAAAGACCATTGAAGACACAGCCATGGAAATTAGAGCCACACAGGGACTGTGAAAGAGCCCAGAAAATTTTTCTGTGGAAATAGAAAGTAACTGTAGCAATCTGATTCTCCTCAATGAACACATAGGAATGGTGTTGATATGACACAGTGGCACTTGTTTAGAGTGTGCTTTCTGTTTGTTAATAACAGTGATACATACCGTGACTGATCATAATATCCTGATTCATCGGGTGTGGTTCATCCAGGGTCTTTGGTAAATGGCAGAACCTGCAGGACAGAATCAGACACTGACATCTCCATAACATGTTCTCAACTCTGTCATTACCAAAAGACGCATGATGTGTAAGCGGCTTATTCTGTTAAATCCCATTAGACCATATTTATGGCCGGGTTACATTGTGGCCCCTGGCAAGTGCCAGGTTGGGCCTCAAAATAAAGAAAAATTGCATCCCACAGGGGAATGACAAAATATTAATATAACAAAACCTTTTAAAACATGAGAGATGACACAAAGTAAAGGACACTAAGGTCTTCATTTCCAACCTGATAGTCAGTTTCTACAGAACGTCCAACTCTTTATGGCTAAATCTCCAGTCATTTCTACAGAATCAACTCTTTATGGCCTCAGGACTGCCAGGGTATAATCAGATCCTTGCCATGTATACCAAGTCATGCATGGTGCGCTATTCTAGATATTATGTCTGGTTTAAATATGCAAAGTCTTACTAGAAATGTGAGCACATATATTATGTCACTGAAAGCTCTACATCTGGTTATTGCCCTTTGTGTACCAGCTTGACCTCCCCTGGGCTAATCTAGTTTTCTCTCCGTGTGGATTCCAGGGCCCCATTTTTGGGGAAAAGAGAATAGACCCACTGTTTTTTAACAAGCATGTCATAAGAGTTGACTAATTAGCGGTGTCTCCTTCAAAGTTGCGGAACCAGCTGTCTGCTCACAAACAAGCCTGAATTTGTAAAACAGATGTGCATGCAAAACTCAACTTCTGCAACAAGGAGAGGATGAACAACCAGAACTTTCCACCTAATTTTACTGCCTAGAAACGAGACTAATAAGCAGATATGTTTTTCCATAACAGAAGGCATCAGAGCTGCCCAATGAAGAAACAACAGGATCCCAAATAAAATCACAAGTGCTATTTTTAATCATGTAGCAGGTCCTTTGCAGATGTTACTCACATCATATCTTGTTGGTAAGATTGTCATTACTTAGCAAAACCTTTAGCTTTACAGCAGAATTAGAAATTTATAAAATCAACATACTGGCTAGAAAACCTTCACCAGCATAGAAAAGCCAAGAGTATATTGATACAATCATGCAAAGAAAAAAGAAGAAATCATCTAATTATATTAAGACACAAAAATAAAATAAGACGAATGAATAGTGAACATACTCGCACAGCTGCTCCAGCACTTCTGTGATGAGGGCAACTTGTTGATCGTTCAGCTTGGACCTGGCCAGACGGCGAAGAGTTGGCAGAATTCGTTGGATTTCTCTATGGACGTAGGCCGAGTCATGAGTCAGCAATATCTGGAACGATAGTTACAGGCTCTAGATGTTGACATCTCAGTTAGCTACCAACAAACTTGTGACATCTGGGAGGATTGGTATAAAGAAACTACAGGACTCATTTTGGGGTGTCATTAGGAAATTCCCAAGTCTTTTATAGTTAATATGTGCAACCAATTAAAATAATATATTCTTCACAGACTGTCTTTACAAACTGCTGGCTGACTGACTGACTGATTGATTCACTGATTGAATGACGCACTGAATTAAATTAAACTGATTCAATTGCTGGCTAATTCATGAGCCTGAAATGGCTGGGGAATACTGAGATGACACAGAATTATTAACTGAGTACACAAGAGAGCTGAATGGTTGTAGATCACGAGACAAACTTGCACAAACTTGGAGCCACAAAATGGAAAGAGAGGACTCATCACAGAGACGAATACAGTCAGGTGATATCTGCAGTAATGAATCTCAAGGGCTCGGAATGCTGAAGAACACCAACCAGAGAGATGAATGCAGTCAGGTGATATCTGCAGCAATGAATCTCAAGGGCTTGGAATGCTGAAGAATACCAATCAGAGAGATGAATAAAGGCGGGTGATATCTGCAGCAATGAATCTCAAGGGCTTGGAATGCTGAAGAATACCAATCAGAGAGATGAATAAAGTCGGGTGATATCTGCAGCAATGAATCTCAAGGGCTCGGAATGCTGAAGAATACCAACCAGGGAGATGCATACAGTCGGGTGATATCCGCAGTAATGAATCTCAAGGGCTCAGAATGCTGAAGAAGACCAACCAGAGAGATGAATACAGTCGGGTGATATCCGCAGCAATGAATCTCAAGGGCTCGGAAGGCTGAAGAAGAAGAATTGCTAACTGTATCAGGGGTGCTGGAACCTGAAAGCTTAGGCATTTTGAGCCGCCCCCCCCCCCCCTCCCAGTCCCCAGATAATTTTAGGAAGTTGAGTCGACTTCACCTTAGAAAATCTGCAAGGAGGTAAATGGGCTTTACCATGTATACTTTATAAGTATTTCTTTATATATATTGCATACTTTTACAAATATTTTAATATTTACTTGCTACTCATCACTAATAATAATAATAATTCATTCTACAGTTTTACTATTATTATTACACACTCACACAAGGCCAATGCCTTTTAAGGCCCCCTCCTGCCCCACTGAAAATAATAAGAGGCTATCCCTATATTCATCCATTGAGCTAACTGATCAACCATCTTTTCTTTATCCATCCATCCATCCTTCCATCCATACATCCATCTATTCATCCAGCCATCCATCCAGCCATTCATCCATCCATCCATATGTCTATACATTTATCCATCCATTCATTATCCATACTTCCATACACCCATCCATCCATTCATCCATCCATCTATCCATCCATCCATCCATCCATTCACCCATCCATCCATCTATTCATCCATCTATTTATCCATCCAACAATATGTCCATACATCCATCTATTCATCCGTCCATCCATCCATCCATTCATGCATCCATCCTTTCTTACCTTTTTATCTTAGTGATAATTTCTTTCTTTCCCTCCTTCCTTCTCTCTCTCCCACCCACACACACACACTCTCACACATAAACCCACCTACACACCCACATACACACACCTGAGCTCGTTTGGCCAAGGTGAACATGTCCATCTGGGACGAGTAGAGCTTGTTGAGGATGTCCAGGGATTTGACGACCATTTCCTCGTACTTGTACCTGGAAAGATCCTGAAACAACAGACACACAATTAGATAGATCCTGAAACAATGGACACACAATTAGATAGATCCTGAAACAAGGGACACACAATTAGACAGATCCTGAAACAATAGGACACACAATTAGACAGATCCTGAAACAATGGACACACAATTAGACAGATCCTGAAACAATGGTCACACAATTAGACAGATCCTGAAACAACAGACACACAATTAGATAGATCCTGAAACAATGGACACACAATTAGATAGATCCTGAAACAAGGGACACACAATTAGATAGATCCTGAAACAATGGTCACACAATTAGATCCTGAAACAAGGGATACACAATTAGATAGATCCTGAAACAATGGACAAACAATTAGATAGATCCAGAAACAATGAACACACAATTAGACCTAACTGACCAACATCCAAAAATAAAAACATGACCTTATAGTCAACTGAAACTAATGAAACAATTGATCTAACAAAATTAAAGAAACTATGGCATAAAAGTTGAATTTCCAAATACATCTTTCCAAAACTGGGGGTTGATTTGTATGGCAGATCTAAAATGCATTAGATAGATACAGGCCTAACAGAATGTTGAGCCAGAACCTGCACACCAAGTCGATGTGTACACCAGGTCGGCTTTACACCAGGTTGATGTGTACACCAGGTTGGCTTTACACCAGGTCAATGTGTACACCAGGTCAGCTTTACACCAGGTTGATGTGTACACCAGGTCAGCTTTACACCAGGTTGATGTGTACACCAGGTTGATGTGTACACCAGGTCGGCTTTACACCAGGTTGATGTGTACACCAGGTCAATGTGTACACCAGGTCAATGTGTACACCAGGTCAGCTTTACACCAGGTCGATGTTTACACCAGGTCGATGTGTACGCCAGGTCAGCTTTACACCAGGTCGATGTGTACACCAGGTTGTTTTACACCAGGTCGAAGTGTACACCAGGTCAGCTTTACATCAGGTCAATGTGTACACCAGGTCAATGTGTACACCAGGTCAATGTGTAAACCCGGTTGATGTGTACACCAGGTTGACTTTACACCAGCTCGATGTGTACACCAGGTCAGCTTTACATCAGGTCAATGTGTACACCAGGTCAATGTGTACACCAGGTTGATGTGTACACCAGGTCGATGTGTACGCCAGGTCGATGTGTACACCAGGTCAATCTGTACACCAGGTCAATGTGTACACCAGGTCAATGTGTAAACCCGGTTGATGTGTACACCAGGTTGACTTTACACCAGCTCGATGTGTACACCAGGTCAGCTTTACATCAGGTCAATGTGTACACCAGGTCAATGTGTACACCAGGTTGATGTGTACACCAGGTCGATGTGTACGCCAGGTCGATGTGTACACCAGGTCAATCTGTACACCAGGTCAATGTGTACACTAGGTCGATGTGTACACCAGGTCAGCTTTACACCAGGTCGATGTGTACACTAGGTCGATGTGTACACCAGGTCAGCTTTACACCAGGTAGATGTGTACACTAGGTCGATGTGTACACCAGGTCGGCTTTACACCAGGTCAGCTTTACACCAGGTTGATGTGTACACCAGGTCAGCTTTACACCAGGTTGATGTGTACACCAGGTCGGCTTTACACCAGGTCAGCTTTACACCAGGTCAGCTTTACACCAGTTCGACTTTACACCAGGTCGATGTATAAGTCACAATTTACACTACAAAAAATGATAGCGTTTAACACAAAATGCTACTTGACATAGAAAGTGACTAGAAAGCTTAACAGAGGAAATGGAAAAGACACACAAAAATACAGCCAAACATTTTGACAAAGTCTTTATCAATGGAGTATGTAATGCTGACCACATTACCCACAGAGTGCCGATTGGTCTGTAAAAATATGGGTGCTCTTCCCATATGCCCGATGCGCTTAAGGGCATGTAAAGGGATCTTCACTTTACTTTTACTTTACTTACTAAATAGGACACATACTGACTGAAAAACCCAACAGACAAGACAACAGAGGTTCTATACAACTAAGGTCAACATGAAACCAAGAAATATTTCACGGACAAGAAAGGCTTTATTATGCAATGAATAAGTGACAAGATATTTGAAAACAAAAAGGGCAAGAAATGTAAATAAGTTAATTTAAATGATAAAATAAAAATTGTTAAAAAAGTTAAATTTAGCTGTGTTAAATATGAATCCCTGCAGACACCCCCTGTTTCACACAAATATTACCATAATAATAGATGTTGTACTCTCGATGTCGAGAATGGCAGACCCATTGAACATCTCTCGAAGCTCCTTCAGTACGGCCTTCTGCTGTTGTAATGCTTTCCTGGCAGAATGTTTGACAAAAAATATTCAAATGAAATTTGGAGTCATGAATTCTAGCCTTGGTAAGGTAACAATGTTAACATTGTAACAAATTGCTACTAGATAACAAGTAACTACAAAGATTACTTGAAAATAACCTTTTCACGAAAACTGACTGAAAAAATATTGCAGCATACACAGAGAGTGGCAGATGACAGAGAGACAAAAACAATAGAAATAAATGGGAGTAGACCACGAGGCAGACCAAGAAGATGGTGGAGAGATAATAAACAGGCAGACCTACAAACACTTGGAGTCACCAAATGGAAAGTAGAAAGCAAACTGCAAGAACTGAATGGAGGTGAGCAATGTCTGCAGCAATCAACCTCAGGGCCTCAGAAATCTAAAACAGTAGAATGACTATGGACATAAAAATTAAAAATAAGCAATATCTTGGAGATATTTTCAGAATCCTTCGTTTGTGTGAGCAGGAATGAACACAAATGAACATAAGCCTATTTTATACTGTATGGTCTGAAAGAACGTGAACTTCTTTAAGGGGCCACTACATGGCATGTTTTTCCAATTTATGGCAAAAATATCACCAACCCATGCACTTTTTTAAGAAAAAAAAAGTTTGAAAGGCGCTTTTCTAACAATTCTATTTTTCTGTTTGTTGTGTGTGGGTCTCCTAAAATCTCAGCTACTATAAAGACTAGAGACGTGAAATTTAGCGTGGATACTCCTAACACAATATTATAGGGTCAGGTCTATTTGAAATTACAGTTTATTGAGTCTTTTTTTAAAAATTAGATTATTAAATGAAAAAGCTACACTTTTGCATTTTTTCAGCATACCAAAATTTTAATATTCTAAAAAAAATATTTAAAAACATCTTTGAAGTAAATAAACTAGACCTGACCCTTAACATAAGTTTAAAGTTCATGAATTGATCATCTTTTTCTCAATACCTCTTAGAATCAAAACTATGAATTCACTACATGTTCAGTATCAGAGCTCAATCCCTGTGACTAGCTTTGCTTATTCTAAAAACAATTAATCTACAAAGAATCACTCTATTAATTCTTTGAGTCCCAAGGAACGCATCATGCGTTCATAGGTTACTGCCTAGAAGCCCAATGAACGCATGATGCGCCGATTTTACGTCTCTCTTGACTACCTCTTGGGCCTGTGATGCTAAACCCTCTGGGACTCAAAGAGTTAATCTATAAATAATAAATCTATTAATAATAATGTAATATAAATAATAGCAGGTCCTTTGCAGAACGTTGCTCTCATCCCGGTCTGCCTGAAAGAAATTCGGTCTCTCGCCAGCTCTCCCGCCTCATCTACTTTCATACTCAAGGAGTCACTTACATCCTGTGCCCAATTTGATGTTCAGATCTTTCAAGATGTCAGTATTTCTCCTCTTCTTTCTTCCATGAGTTTCTTGAGATAGTATTGTGGTAGTTTCCCGTTGCTTTCCACATACACATGGCTTTAGACCATGTCCTCAGCCTTCAGCAACCTTTTCGATTGCTAGGGCAAGTGAGTGCCCTTCTCTGTGATGCTCCTGCTAACAGCAGAGGGCACCCCAGAAGTGTCCACTTATCCCGGCGGATACTCGATCCCCATAGCTGGGTTGTCCCCACCGCAGTGTGTTTACCATCCTCTACCGCGTGGAGGTGTAGTTGGGGTTTTCCCTTCACAGAGTCTTGAGACCAGAAACATATCACTAATAAACCTGTTAGTCTATGTCTGTGTACCAATTCACTGGTCTGATTACTATAGCAAGTAAAAGTAAAGCACTTGGTTCCTGCTGACGGTACAAAGAGGATGTGTTTTTAGACCATTCAGCACACGGCGGATGATGTAGTCAACATCACATCAGATACCTTTATTTCCCAGGCTGGATTCACCCGGATGCCAAGATTAATTAAAAAAAATTCCAGCTAGATGTGGATTTGAACCTGCGGGCTAGCCAGAAGCCCTATGTTACCGTGGCAACCATCTGATTACTATTGGTAACTATAATAAACATACAATTTTCACTGGTCAAAAATGGAGAAGACAGGCATTAAGAAAATATCATTCATAGGACTAGTAGAAAAATGAAACTGGATTATTGTTGAACTTTTTGAGTCCCAGGGGACGCATCACGCGCTAAATTGTTTCAACCTAGCGGCGTGCTCATTTAGAAATGTGCGTTGAAAGCGGAAAATATAGTATATTTGCGAGATTCACGAGTTTCTAAGTTTGTTTGAAAAGAATATGGCCACCAAGCACTATTCTACGTTCATGCCAACATGATTTACGGCCTTAGAAGCCTAAAATTTAAATAAATTATTTATTTTTTTAAAGATTTATCTGAAGTTAGATAGATAAGGTTGCAAATTAGATGTGTTTCAGTCATTTTCAGGGTCAAACTTTGATGAGGGATATGTCTAATACGCGAAGGGTACAAGGATAGCAAAGTCAGCTGGCACAAATAGAATAAACATTAGTGAAAAGACGATTTTCTTCAGTGTCAGTTAGTTCTAGTGATATTCCCCTTATTATTTAGGAATATAGATACAAAATTACAGGCAAATTGAATGTGATATAAACTTCGTTTTGCATGAAGATACTTTTGTTTTGGGAGTCAGTTTTCTCTATCAAAAATAATGTTCTGTTATGTTGCTTCAAAAGATTCTCTGGAACAAAATCTAATGTATAGATTGAGTTTATATTTTACTTATACATTATTAAGTGGTTCATATTTATTTGTGATTCATTTTGGATACATTTTAACTAGTTTTTCTTGAGTGCCATAGTGTTTATTTACAAATTTTTAATTACTAACGCAATTATTTGTTGTAGCTCTCTGCTAAAATTATTCCTCAACAATCCCTGGTCACTTTGATGTATAATATGTGTATGTTGCGCGGCAGTTGAATTAGTATGGTCTGTTTTAATGTCTTACACTTGTGAAATTAAAAAAAAATTGCATTACCACCCCTTGGGCCTCTGAGGTTAAACCCCCTGGGACTCACAGAGTTAGGATGGAGGTGGGAAGAAATATATTTGACAGAATCGGTTTAGAACCCCAAATGTGAGTGATGACACATGATGATGCTGATGATACTCATTGATGGATTACTCACTTCTTCTGTCTGGCAGGGTTGTAGGTGTCATACAGAAGAGGTTCTAGAGCGTTCTGAATCTTCTTTTTGTTTGCTCCCTGTTCTGCTTGCTTGAACATGGTAACGAAAACCTGGTTGGCAAAAACAACAACATGACGTGACTATAAGTATAGGTACACCAAGACACACATTGTATGTGAGTGTCTCTCTACATCTCATGGTGTTTGCCAGTATGTCCCATTTTGTGTGGTTGTTAGATTGTCCCATGTTGTGTGGGTTTCATCAGTGTCCCATGTTATATGGTTGTTACAGTGTCTCATGCTATGTTGGTGCACTTTTATACTCAAAGGGTCACTTACATCCAGTGCTCATCTTTTTGCTGGTCGGTCCCCTGTCCCTACTGCCTGATATCATGCCTTCTGCTATTATGTTTTTTCCATCCAAACCCACCATGGTCCTTGATATTGCCTGAATGTTTCAGCTGCCAAGACAAGATGTACTCAAAATGAAAACAAATGGTTGCCTTCAAACTCCACTTTTAAACTTCACATACAAGAAAATTAACTTCCACCCTCTATGTGTAAACTTCCAACTCAAGAAAGTTATACTTTTAGTTACAAGACAGTTAAGAGAGAGTCACACTTGAGTTCTTCATACAAAGTAAATGACTAATGACCGATATGGGATATAATATCACATCATATCCCACCAGGTCACATCATATCACATCACATCACATCGTATCCCAACAGGTCATATCATATCACATCACATTCCATCATGTCACATCACATTACATCATATCCCATCATGTCACATCACATCACATAATTTCCCATCATGTCACATCACATCACATCATATCCCATCATGTCACATCACATCACATAATTTCCCATCATGTCACATCACATCACATCATATCCCATCATCTCACATCATGTCACATCCCATCACATCACATCATATTGCATCATTTCCTATCACCTCTTCATACAAAGGTAAATAACTAATGACCTACCTTCAGTCGCAGATTTCTCTGGAAAGTTAACAGTAGGTCTAGGGCTTTCATTGCTCTGTAATGTACCAGATTTTTTAAAAATGTGATTAGAGAAATAATTTGAAAGCTACCAGTCAGAATAACCACAAATTACAATAAACAATATTTCTTGATTATATTTTTATTTGAAATAAATAGGCAGAATAATGTAACTTTCTGAATTAAAACTTAAATAGGTCACAGTAATGAGAAAAAATATTTATACAGAAAGTATCTGCTTGCTGTAAACAATTTCAGACACAGAAAATGAACCTCTCTCTCTCTCTCTTTCTCTCTCTCTCTCTCTCTCTCTCTCTCTCTCTATATATATATATATATATATATATATATATATATATATATATATATATATATATATATATATATATATATATATATATATGGAACATGTTGTGACCACTGGAAAGATCTGTGGAAGAAGGGATAGAGGAAGGCAATGAGAGAAGATTCTTGACAGTCTTGTTGCATGGCATGGAGGTGTGTCAGCACACAAACTAATACATGCTGCAGGAGATTGCAAATTGTGGCAAGGCATGATCCCCCATGCCAGTCGGCAAGGCACCTGATGACGATATACATACATACATTCATACATACACACATAGTGGGCTGCATTAGGACAGTTGATAAGAGGCTCGCTTTTTAATTTAGCTGTGACTCGCTGCAGCCTACGGTCTGTGTTCAAAACCGGGCAGTTTCCGGGGTTCACCAAGCCTCTAGGAAATGGGTACCAGAGTTGACACTCTGGGGTAAATGGAGAAATGTCGCTGTAGCTACAGAGTTATGTGTGGACAGCGCCACTGGCGGACAATTTTTATCAACTGTCCGTACTGGTGGCAGAGCACTTATGGTTTTTAACCGTGTGCAATGACACTGGTTCACATCTCCCGACTTGACCTTGACCTTTACATATTGTAATTATTTTGTGAAAAACTGAGACTTACTGAAATTTGGCACTGACAATGGCTTCTGCTTCCTCACTAACTTCAAATCTGCCAGAATGTCTGTATGACTGAACAGCTTTCTGTGTCTCTTTGGAGTTTGCTAAACAAATAAATGTGAAGTGGTTATGTCAGCTGTGAGAACCTGCTCCTAAAGCCTGGGTTTATTGCAGTCATTTGAGAATATTTTCTGCTGTGTAAACTCTGGTAACATTTTGTTTATTTATTTCAGCTACATTTAAATAATAAAGACATATACAATTTACAGCAACAATTCTGGCCTGGTATATATCTGTATTTCATCTGGTGCATGACTACAGAGTTTTATTTAAAAAATAATGAAAATGAATCTCTTTGACTGAAATTACAAAAATCAAATTGATGTTACGCTGTACATTTATCTTAGAATAAGTTTTGATCAATTTTTTGTTTTTAAATTTAATACCGGATTGCCACTGTTGACATCCTTAATTCTGAAATTCACAACAGACAGTTTTTTTAATAAGATAAAGACAAAGCAGAAATATAACAGTGAATAACATTCTTCCTGTTGTCTGCTGGGCAAATTCTATTATCAGGAGTAAGAAAACCAAGACCTCTGGATTTAAAAACATAAAATCACATATGATTGAAGAAAAAAGTAATTAGTAATTAACCCTTTCGCTGCTATGGACGAGATAACTCGTCTGCCCGGCAGACTGCTAAAGACGAGATAACTCGGCTGCTATTTTCTGTGCCTTCACTGCTAAGGACGAGATATCTCGTCCTCGACATTTTTTTACAGATTGCTAAGAACAGTAATTCTTAGGGGTGAAATAGCAATACACATTACCTTAATTTGATCAAACTGACCCGTTTACATACAATTAAAACTCTTATCACGTGAGTTTAGGCGTATTTAGATGCATTTCCCGTTATCCTGTTGCTTTGTTACCATAGAAGCATTGTCGGTGAACGGTAATTTTTTTGCCCTGAAATATATTTCTGGTTCTGCGTTAGTCTAATTTTTTTTTTAAATACAAGGTGGATTTAGATGCTTTATTAGCCTGTTCTCGCGTGGTTGGTGTACTGGCTTAGCACAGTGGAATTTACGTTGGCTGGCGGAGGGCGCAGCAGCGAAAGGGTTAAAAACTAAAAATAAGTTTTCTTGGCGTAGTAATAGCGCGTCTGACTTGTCAGCGCAAAGTTCAACCACACGCCTTCAACGATTTTTTATTTTAGGTGTACAATTTTTACCCCGTGCCGCAAAACAGAATGGCGGAGGGCGCAGCAGCGAAAGGGTTAAAAACTAAAATAAACAGAATGATTCCCAGGAATGCTAACCCTGTCAACAAATGTCTGCAGAAGTCAGATGTTTTGGCTGAAAGGTGCAAATATCACAGCCATACACTAAATGGGCACAACACAATTACATATTCAGGAGAAGGCAGAAGAAGACGAGAAGGAGAAGAATGATTCAATATTTTACATTACCTTTTAATTTATCTTTTGGAAAAGGGAGATCATGCTGACCATCCAATAAGCTAAGTAAGGGAGGTAACAACTTGCGGACATCCTCTACATCCATGTAGTAGCCAAACTTGACCAGATATTGCAGCAGACGTAACACCTGCAAATCAACCATTTTTTTTACTGCTAAACTGCAGAAACTCTAAAAGGTACTGTAGCAAAAAAACAAAAAAGGTGTCTGGAACATTCAACAAAATAAATTATAAATCAAAGGCATTTCTCACAATCTAAATTTACAACATTTTTAGATGATTATAAATCCTGTCATCCCCTTGTGGGATACAATTTTTCATTATTTTGAAGCCCTACTCCAGCTCTTGCCAGGGGCCTCAATATAGCTCGACCAAAAATATGGTCTAATGGCTTATACAGTTTCTGGGACCTCTCCTCGGGTGATCCTCAACCACATGTGGCACTTTGTTTCATCGGGTGCTTATCGGTTGTGTGATGTCCTGGTGGGGTACAAATCTACTACTACTACCCAGCTTTACTTGCAACACTTGCCACTAGTGTCCATCTGGAGGTCGAGTATAAGCTTACGGTTGATCAGGGCAGATCAGGACTTGTGCATGTAGGAGTGGTAATCCTGGTGGACCACAATCTGGAGGGGACCATCTGCTCACATCAACACACTCCCCACCCACATTAGACCACAGTTCACTTTGCACCAACTGGGTGTCCCATTATAACTGTTTTCTAGGTTAAATAGTGTTTACAGGATTTGCTCCTGTTTGATTCACATCTGAGTAGTGGCTCTTTGAGTTACCAGGTGTCAGTCTTTCAGGTATAAATCTTGGAGAGCAAACATGTAAAATACCCAACAACAACAACAAAATTGATAACATGTTTCTACCACTTGCTTAATTAAATAACCAGTGATTAGTCACACAGATAATCAAACAAAAATGATTCATTCTTCATAATTTATGATCTGCATCAGTGACGCAAACTTCATGAATTAATTACAGTGCATGCTGATTGTTTTTATTATGTCATTAAATGAAACAAGGATGAAGAAAGAAGGCAAATGTCTTGGCAACCATTAGTCAGCAGTTATAAGACAGAGAAGATGTCTTGGCAACCATTAGTCAGCAGTTATAAGACAGAGAAGATGTCTTGGCAACCATTAGTCAGCAGTTATAAGACAGAGAAGATGTCTTTGCAACCATTAGTCAGCAGTTATAAGACAGAGAAGATGTCTTGGCAACCATTAGTCAGCAGTTATAAGACAGAGAAGATGTCTTGGCAACCATTAGTCAGCAGTTATAAGACAGAGAAGATGTCTTGGCAACCATTAGTCAGCAGTTATAAGACAGAGAAGATGTCTTGGCAACCATTAGTCAGCAGTTATAAGACAGAGAAGATGTCTTGGCAACCATTAGTCAGCAGTTATAAGACAGAGAAGATGTCTTGGCAACCATTAGTCAGCAGTTATAAGACAGAGAAGATGTCTTGGCAACCATTAGTCAGCAGTTATAAGACAGAGAAGATGTCGCTATACTGGACTCATCTTCAGAGGAAACAAGTAGAGTATAATCAAACAGGCACTAAAATGGGAAATAAAGAGATTAAGGAAGCGCGGACGTCCCAAAAAAAACCTAAGACAAATGTTAATTGGAAAGGCAAAAGGTTCAGGACCGGATATTGAGTAGATAGTAGATTGGAATGGAGGAAGAGACTGCTAGCCCTCTGCAACACATAATGGCACAACAGAAAAATGCTGCTAATGATGAATTTAATTAAAGACATAACATACGATGTTTTCTGGGATGTGCTCATATGATGTTACTGGGATGTGCTCATGTGATGTTTCTGGGATGTGCTCATGTGATGTTTCTGGGATGTGCTGTGTTAGCCTGTCAAATATTCTAGGTCATAACCTTTGACCTGGGTGTCCACTACTCTTGTCCTCATTACCTTTCTTCTCATACAATCCCTAGACAATTTGGACAATCTGGTAGAAGTTTCCTGCATGGCATCGAAATCAGACCACTGTCTTGATAGGTGAGCACACTGATCCCTCAGTTTGTGTGGTAGTTAAGTATTAACATCAACAGTCTTCACTCAATATTTATAGTTTACCTATCAACAAGTATACGAAGCAGATGTTTGGATTGTCCAGAACAGAATAGTTGTTGCCAACATCCACAAACAAGCCTACAAATCCAAATGGATTGCACAATGTCAAAACATGTAACCAATGAGTGAGAATAGATAATGTGTACATCAAAACTTGTGACTGATGAGTGATAATAGATAATTGTAGATCAAAACTTGTGACTGATTGGTGAGAATAGATAATTGCACATCAAAATTGTGACTGATGCGTGAGAATAGATAATTGCACATCAAAACTTGTGACCGATGAGTGAGAATAGATAATTGCACATCAAAACTTGTGACTGATGAGTGAGAATAGATAATTGTACATTAAAACTTGTGACTGATGAGTGACAATAGATAATTGCACATCAAAACTTGTGACCGACGAGTGAGAATAGATAATTGCACATCAAAACTTGTGACTGATGAGTGAGAATAGATAATTGCACATCAAAACTTGTGACTGATGAGTGAGAATAGATAATTGCACATCAAAACTTGTGACTGATGAGTGAGAATAGATAATTGCACATCAAAACTTGTGACTGATGAGTGAGAATAGATAATTGTACATCAAAACTTGTGACTGATGGGTGAGGGGAGGGGGGGGGGGGGGGGGGGGGAGGGGGGGGGGGGGGGTGGTTGACACTTTTTTTTATTTTAAGTGAACACATTGATTGTAAAAAACAAATAACTTGATATTTTAATGCAATCTTAAATTTGTTGCTGTTGCTGAACCAATAACTGTCCTCTTCTTACTAGCTCTGCAGCTGCAAAAGTACACTTTTCCCCACTTCCTGTTTCTGGAACTGACCTATAATCAGTTCAGTGAACTTGGCTCGAATGGAATCAGGTAAAAAGTCGGACTGCACAGACAAGAAGGCATCCTCCCAGGTAATGTAGCCAAACTCTCGGGTGATTGTGTGAATGGCAAAATCATTGCGGCCCTGGAAAAAAACACATAATCATTATTATCATATATTTATTTGAATGTTGAATGTTGAATTAAGAATCAACATCACAGCACTCTGGACACTCCCATAAGTGCTCCACTCCCATCTTCAGCAGCAAGCGCAGAGTTAAAATTCTAATGGTACCAGTACCAGTCTGACTTTATATCCGTCTCGCCCCTCCCTCGAGTTTCGAGCGTCGGCCAGATGCCCTTGTAACTCCTCGTAGTGCCTTCTCCTCAGACCGTAATGATCTATCTGTTCCTCGGCACTTTTCACTCACTCCCAAAGGGCCCTCACAACATCCAGCTTGTCATATATCAGTTCACCACCAAGTGGTGCAAAACCGGTCAGTCTATCTGCCTGCGCATTTACCAACACACCGGCGTGACCTGGAGAAAATGTCCAAAGGGTGCTAACTACTAATAAATGTATTTATGTAAACAAAACTGTATCATGTATGTTTTATCTGAGATGACAACTTATAATTTCTATTATCATTGATCATATAATTTGGAGCCTTAGTGGTCCAGTGGTTAGCATGCTTGCTAGCTTGCCCTGTAATCATCACATAACAGGTTCTTTGCAGAACGTTGCTCTCATCGCAGCCTGCCTGAAAGACACTTGGCATTCTTCCGCTGTGGCACTTCATATGGTAAAAGTATTTCAGTTTCCAAGACAAGATGGTATTTACTAGCCAATCTTCCTTGCCGTTGAGATCTTGTAGGAAGTCAGTATTTCTCCTTTTCCTGGTCCATGGTAGGCTCACAATCTTTCTGTACCTTTCAGTATAAAAAATCTAACTTCAGCAAACTCTCACTTCGTCATCTTTTACAATAGAATTGTTGGGGGCAGCTGGTCTACCCCCCCCCCCCTCTACCCACATTTTTCCCGGAGCCAAGATACCCACATGGGGTGATAAAGCCATGATACCCACATGGGGTGATGGAGCATTGATACCCACATGGGGTGATGGAGCCATGATACCTGCACGGGGTGATGGATACTCACGAAACATAAAGCTTTGATAAGGTCCAGCTGATGGATCAGAAACTGGTTCATTTCTGGGTCATACAGGTCAGACTCCACCTGAAAGAAGCCAACCATGAAGAGAAGGTCAACAAAGTGTGATAAATCAACCATGAAGAGAAGGTCAAGTCAGATAAATCAACCATGAAGAGAAGGTCTACACAGTGTGATAAATCAACCACGAAGAGAAGGTCAACAAAGTGTGATAAATCAACCATGAAGAGAAGGTCAACAAAGTGTGATAAATCAACCATGAAGAGAAGGTCAACAAAGTGTGATAAATCAAACATGAAGAGAAGGTCAACAAAGTGTGATAAATCAACCATGAAGAGAAGGTCAACAAAGTGTGATAAATCAACCACGAAGAGAAGGTCAACAAAGTGTGATAAATCAACCATGAAGAGAAGGTCAACAAAGTGTGATAAATCAACCATGAAGAGAAGGTCAACAAAGTGTGATAAATCAAACTTGAAGAGAAGGTCAACAAAGTGTGATAAATCAACCATGAAGAGAAGGTCAACAAAGTGTGATAAATCAACCATGAAGAGAAGGTAAACAAAGTGTGATAAATCAATCATGAAGAGAAGGTCAACAAAGTGTGATAAATCAGCCATGAAGAGAAGGTCAACAAAGTGTGATAAATCACCCATGAAGAGAAGGTCAACAAAGTCAGATAAATCAACCATGAAGAGAAGGTCAACAAAGTGTGATAAATAAACCATGTGAGAAGATAACTAAAGTGTGAAAAACAATAAAAACATTCAAAACTGACAATTTTGCAAAATGTAAACTTGCTGGATGCTAAAGGCATATCACGTCACATCACATCCCATCATGCCACATCCCATCATGCCACATCCCATTATGTCACATCACATCATATCCCATCACATCACATCCCATCACATCATATCACATCATATCCCATCACATCATATCACATCACATCATATCACATCAGATCCCAACACATCATATCACATCACATCCCATCACATCATATCCCATCAAAAAACATAAAGTCACATCCCATCACATCCCATCACATCAATTCCCATCAAATCACATCATATCACATCAATTCTTATCAAATCACATCATATCCCATCATATCACATCAATTCCCATCAAATCACATCATATCACATCACTTCCCATCATATCATATCACATCATATCACACACCCCATCATATTACATCACATCACATCATATCACATCACATTGCACAAAGACATCAGGATCTGAACTAAACAGTGATGTACGTTACCATCATTCATCAATAGGCTGTTTACGGAACATCACTCTCTTCATGACACAACTGAAGCCTTTCTGTGTCTAGCCTATTCTCCAGCCCTATGTGCTTTCATAACCAAAGCATCTTTAATGTCCTGTATCCACATTTGCAGAGGTAACTCTATCCTCCATCACCATTCTCTGCAGGTCACTTTGGTGTTGGCATGTCTGGTGGCTGCCTCATGCATCTGATGCATGTGCAAGCTGTTGAATTATACTAGGACTGTTATCTGTTCAATTTTTCACATGAGACAGTGATGGGCATTTTATGCGATTTTCACTGGCACAGAAATGGATCAATTTCAGGTGACCTGTCTGCGGTAAAGTTGGAATTCCAAATGATAGCCTGACTGATAACCTAATAAAAAAGAAAACATCAAGAAGAAGAAAGTAATTATTAAAAAATCCTACATCAACAAACTGGTGTAGTGCCATCCAGTCTCCGCTGTCCTTGCTGAGTTTGATGTAGACGATGTTGGGTCTCTTGTTGATGTTCTGACCTCTGTCCAACAGGTAAATGTTGTCCTGGTACATGAGTACAAACAGAAAAGAAAACAAACTTTTAGATTGATGAATGGTCAGATTATTTTTCATAGGTATAAGGACACAATATAGTATTTAGTGAGAACAATTCTCCGCATCAGTTGTGGGGATCCATTTTGGAGGCATCATTTTGAGGGGTAGGGGGTGGGGGGTGACCCAGTGTTCGGCTTGCAAGCATGTCCTAAAAAGTGACTAACTAGAGGTTTGCTGAAATCAACTGTACTGGGCCAAAATGCATAGATGTCATAGCCTATCTGTAAACCACAACACAACACGCCAAGCACCCTTTTAAGGGCAGACACGGAACAAAAAGTAGGATCAGTAGGTATATACAATGTCCACTCACATACACATACCTTGTACATATATACAATGTCCACTCACATACACATACCTTGTACATATATACAATGTCCACTTACATACACATACCTTGTACATATATACAATGTCTACTCACAAACACATACCTTGTACATATATACAATGTCCACTCACATACACATACCTTGTACATATATACAATGTCTACTCACATACACATACCCTGTACATATATACAATGTCCACTCACATACACATACCTTGTACATATATACACTGTCCACTCACATACACATACCTTGTACATATATACAATGTCCACTCACATACACATACCTTGTACATATATACAATGTCCACTCACATACACATACCTTGTACATATATACAATGTCCACTCACATACACATACCTTCTACATATATACAATGTCCACTCACATACACATACCTTGTACATATATACAATGTCCACTCACATACACATACCTTGTACGTATATACAATGTCAACTCACATACACATACCTTGTACGTATATACAATGTCCACTCACATACACATATCTTCTACATATATACAATGTCCACTCACATACACATACCTTGTACATATATACAATGTCAACTCACATACACATACCTTGTACATATATACAATGTCCACTCACATACACGTACCTTGTACATATATACAATGTCCACTCACATACACATACCTTGTACGTATATACAATGTCCACTCACATACACATACCTTGTACATATATAAAATGTCCACTTACATACACATACCTTGTACATATATACAATGTCCACTCACATACACATACCTTGTACATATATACAATGTCCACTTACATACACATACCTTCTACATATATACAATGTCCACTCACATACACATACCTTCTACATATATACAATGTCCACTCACATACACATACCTTCTACATATATACAATGTCCACTCACATACACATACCTTCTACATATATACAATGTCCACTTACATACACATACCTTCTACATATATACAATGTCCACTCACATACACATACCTTGTACATATATACAATGTCCACTTACATACACATACCTTCTACATATATACAATGTCCACTCACATACACATACCTTCTACATATATACAATGTCCACTCACATACACATACCTTCTACATATATACAATGTCCACTCACATACACATACCTTCTACATATATACAATGTCCACTCACATACACATACCTTCTACATATATACAATGTCCACTCACATACACATACCTTCTACATATATACAATGTCCACTCACATACACGTACCTTGTATGTTCGCAGCCACTGCTGGACAATGAAGCTCTGGTTGTTGGGAATGGCCACCTGATCACAAACACACAAAACTTGCAACAGATCCAGAAAATGGTAGTTCTGAAATACCAGTAAATCTCTTTAAGTCATTTCATTCATGTTTTGCATTCATTGTGCACCTCAAATTGCACACAGGTTTGTTATCAATAGTAATATTCTTAAAACGAGAGCATTAATTCTGCAGTAAATAAAACCACCGCCCTGTGTCACCCGGGGCTTCACGGGAAGCAAAGAATAGTGACACTGCACCCTACCAGTTATGTTGTTACAGGCGACTTAGGGTAGGGTTGGGCTTGAGGTTGGCTACCTCATCCTGTAAAAACCATAGCCACAAAAACCAACCAACCATGGATAAGTCAAAAAGATAAGCAAGTAAAATCCAGCTAACCAAGATGAGGGGAGACTCTTCAAACAGAAGAAGTATGACACGGTTTGGAGAAAGCCGGATACAGATATTCATTAACTGGTGCCTGCGCAGAATAGAAGGAATTAAATGGTATGATAGAATAACTAATGTAGAGCTTTGGGAGAGAACTAAACAGGTTCCAGTGGACCAAGAGGAAAAGACGCTGGCGTTGGATAGGACACACACTGAGAAAACAGAAGAACAGCATAAGTAGAATGTCTTTGCATTGGAACTCACAGGGGCATAGGAATAAAGGAAAGCCAAAAAAGACATGGAGAGGGAAGCTGGAGAATGAAGTTAGAAAAATGGGGAGGACGTGGGGAGAACTCCAGGCCATGGCGAAGGATAGAACAACTTGGCGTGAGTTGGTTGAGAGCCTATGCTCCATTGGAGGATATAAAGGCAGAAGAAGAAGAAGAAGAAATAAAACCACAAGGACATGTGCTGGAAAGTAAAAGTTGCTCGGCAGTATGTTGACCACCATATGTTGACCACCATATGTTGACCACCGTATGTTGACCACCTTATGTTGACCACCATATGTTGACCACCATATGTTGACCACCATATGTTGACCACCTTATGTTGACCCCCATATGTTGACCACCATATGTTGACCACTATATGTTGACCACCATATGTTGACCACCATATGTTGACCACCTTATTTTGACCACCATATATTGACCACCATATGTTGACCACCTTATGTTGACCACTCTATGTTGACCACCGTATGTTGACCACCTTATGTTGACCACCATATGTTGACCACCATATGTTGACCACCGTATGTTGACCACCTTATGTTGACCACCATATGTTGACCACCATATGTTGACCACCGTATGTTGACCACCTTATGTTGACCACCATATGTTGACCACCATATGTTGACCACCATATGTTGACCACCATATGTTGACCACCTTATGTTGACCACCATATGTTGACCACCATATGTTGACCACCATATGTTGACCACCATATGTTGACCACCATATGTTGACCACCTTATGTTGACCACCATATGTTGACCACCTTATGTTGACCACCATATGGTGACCACATGACCCACTGAATCTGACTGGTCTACATATGTGTCCAGCACCCTGTTCTCAGTATATCATCATCTTCTTCTTTCGCCTTCATGGGCTGTAAACTCTGGCCAAAAGTTCTGGTTGTTCATACACCTTCAGATTAGTCTTGCTCCAGAAACTGAGTGTTTTGTGCTCATCTGTTTTATATATATGGTTTATCTGTATGCCGACTGTTGGTTCTTTACCTCTCAGGCAGATGCACTCTGACTGTGAAGGATTCCCCAGTTTGTCGACTCCTATGACATGCATGATGGGGAGGCAGTGAGTCTATTCTTGTTTTCCCCCACAATGGGGCCCACACAAACCACACTCGGATGCCAGCAGCATGAAAAAGGTCTGTTACTTTCTATTAAATGAAACCACATAATTGTACTTTAAACGTTTTTCAGATTTTCTATGATCCAGTTGTCTACAATTCCACAGTTCTACTGCACTTCACCCATTTCATTGATGTATGAAAGAATTTAAACCACTGAATGTTCAATGCTGAATTGAGAATCAACATCACAGCACTCGGGACACTCCCATAAATGCTCAGTCTCATCTTCAGCAGCACGTGAAGAGTTCCAGTTCTGATGGCTCCAGTAACTGTCTACTGAACATCTGTCTCATCTTTTCCCTGAGTGTCAAGCACGGGCCTTCGAACAAATATTTCACTTGTATGAAAGTGCATTTTCAGTCTAGAATCGTCAGTCATATGTCTAAAGTTACTCATTCTAAAACTCAGTAAAATCTGGTATTAAAAAAGTATGTAATTTTGTTAACCAAATAACGAAACAATATTTCTTTGCAGTATACTTTTGTTTAACTTAAAAAGTCTGGCAGAATGTTTTATCCTTCTGGAACTTACCGGATTGCTTCTCAACAGTTGTATAAAGTACTCAATGTGGTGCTGGGTGATGCGGTCAACAATCTTTCTCTTGTCCCTGATCAGCTCAACTATCATCTGTGCAACATTGAGCCCGATTCCTCCCTGGGGCAATTGTAAACATTGGAAGTTCCAATAAAGAACAAGTGATTTTAAACATTGAAAGTTCCAATAAAGAACAAGTGATTGTAAACATTGAAAGTTCCAATAAAGAACAAGTGATTGTAAACATTGAAAGTTCCAGTAAAGAACAAATGATTATAAACTCTCACAATTACAGTGCACTGCAGAAATAACCCCAAAGGAAAAATGGGGGGGGGGGGGGGGGGGGGGTTTGGCTTTATTAGGAAATTTTACATCCTGTAGTTTGCCATTACTTTCTGAATGGCTTTTGCTGAATACCAATGTTCAAATCAACATAATCTGCTGCTAAATAGCCAACAGCTACAATCAAACTGGGTATTCTGGAATTACAAAGCGGGTTTGCAATGATGCCAGCCACAGATGCTGACTACACAACACCTATCAATGACAGAAATCAGATCAGTGCCCTGTGATGTTGCTGTAGTGATGACAGCTGTAGTATCTGCACACAGTGCCCTGCCAAACACATGGAACCTGATTCTGAACAGTCCAGAACAGACATTGCAGACTGAAGAAACACTCAGGTAAATTAGGTATAAGCCAGTGTCATCATGCGGAACAGACCCCCAGAACATATCCTGCAAGACTGTCCTCTCCTGAAGAAGCTGCACAACATGTGGCCATCTCTAGTATATGTGACCACTATGGTTCAAGGAAATTTAACTCTTTCAGGCCCATGAATTTTGACAGACTTGGCCCACATTAATTTCCCTTTACAAAAATGGCAGAGGGGTGGGTGCACAAGAAAGGCTATAGAGAATGTAATATACTTCTAATCCCTATAAAAGTATATAATTTTTAAAAGAGAAATTAATGTACATTATGAATCTGATGATAAGTGTTTGTTTAATTTTGTTATAGTTAGTGGAAAAGAAGAATTCAGCAGGTGTTAATTTCACAAGGACAATATTTCACAAAAAAATTCTTCACTTACCATGGTTTTGCAGCCACAAGAGTAGTAAATATCCAAATTTGAGAACAAAACTTCAAAGTTTGTTCAATTTCCTAACATATTCAAAAGTTATGATAACTTTCTGGGTTTGCTTAGCACTCAGGGCTCGGCTCTTAGTTCTCACAGAGTGCTGAGCAAAATTTCAGAGAAAAAATGGCAGAAAAATGAGCCATTACACACACACTATTTTCTATTTACTTTGTACAGTTATTACAGACTGTAGCTGCAATGATTTCAATATAGCTTAGCCATAGTATAGTACAATCTATTTGTTTAGAGCACTTTCCTTCTCTTACATCATAAATACGGTAGCAATGGGTCATTGTCTGTGTTATAAACTCATCAGAATCACTAGATACCGAACAGCTGATCGCTCAGCTTTGCTGGTGAAAATTCACCGTCCGAATCACTTTCAGAAAAATCAAAATTTTAAAAAATTTTTCAATTTTTAAAATAATTATCAGAATTAAAAACATCTGATTGAAACAATTTCAGAGCTTGAGCTGCAGAAAGATGCATTCTGCGACCTTTACTTGTGGTTGGAACATTAGTATTCATGACACTTAAAAACAAACTTAGGAAAATTTTGCTGTTATTTCTATTAAATTACACATGTGTTTGGATTAGGCTAGGAAATGAAACTAAAAGGATTTTGGCACATAAATTTTCCCTGAATAGTTTAATCGTACCTCTGAACATTAGAAACTAGTTAGGGAACGTGTGCGAAGCAAAATGTACGGAACACAATCGACGATGACACCTGTTGTCGAGCAAAATGGAACTTCTCAAACAACGCTCACACCGTTGTTGGGCCTTAAAGAGTTAAGAGACCTCAAACTGACATCCCAATTTTGGTCCACAGTAGATTAAGGGCAATAATAGAGATTGCTGAAGAAGAAGAAAGATATACATGAAACAAAGCTCTCAGTTTTCCGGTTACCTTCTGCGTAAACTGTGTCTGGAAGAAGTCGATGTATTTAGCGATGTAGAGAGCATTTTTGCGGCTGCGGCCCAGCATGTACGCGTGCAGGACGTCGTAGGTTTCCTTGAAGATGCGGATCATGTGCAGCTGCTCATCTCCATCCCTCAGAGAACACTGGAGCAGCTTCACCAGCAGGTCAATCACCTGTCAGAGGTAGAACAAGCAGGTCAGTCACCTGTCAGAGGTAGAACAAGCAGGTCAATCACCTGTCAGAGGTAGAACAAGCAGGTCAATCACCTGTCAGATGTAGAACAAGCAGGTCAGTCACCTATCAGAGGTAGAACAAGCAGGTCAGTTACCTGTCAGAGGTAGAACAAGCAGGTCAGTCACCTGTCAGAGGTAGAACAAGCAGGTCAGTCACCTGTCAGAGGTAGAACAAGCAGGTCAGTTACCTGTCAGAGGTAGAACAAGCAGGTCAATCACCTGTCAGAGGTAGAACAAGCAGGTCAAGTCACCTGTCAGAGGTAGAACAAGCAGGTCAGTCACCTGTCAGAGGTAGAACAAGCAGGTCAATCACCTGTCAGATGTAGAACAAGCAGGTCAGTCACCTGTCAGAGGTAGAACAAGCAGGTCAGTCACCTGTCAGAGGTAGAACAAGCAGGTCAATCACCTGTCAGAGGTAGAACAAGCAGGTCAGTCACCTGTCAGAGGTAGAACAAGCAGGTCAATCACCTGTCAGAGGTAAAACAAGCAGGTCAGTCACCTGTCAGAGGTAGAACAAGCAGGTCAATCACCTGTCAGAGGTAGAACAAGCAGGTCAGTCACCTGTCAGAGGTAGAACAAGCAGGTCAATCACCTGTCAGAGGTAGAACAAGCAGGTCAGTCACCTGTCAGATGTAGAACAAGCAGGTCAATCACCTGTCAGAGGTAAAACAAGCAGGTCAGTCACCTGTCAGAGGTAGAACAAGCAGGTCAGTCACCTGTCAGATGTAGAACAAGCAGGTCAGTCACCTGTCAGAGGTAGAACAAGCAGGTCAGTTACCTGTCAGTGGTAGAACAAGCAGGTCAGTTACCTGTCAGAGGTAGAACAAGCAGGTCAGTCACCTGTCAGAGGTAGAACAAGCAGGTCAATCACCTGTCAGAGGTAGAACAAGCAGGTCAGTCACCTGTCAGAGGTAGAACAAGCAGGTGAATCACCTGTCAGAGGTAGAACAAGTAGGTCAATCACCTATCAGAGGTAGAACAAGCAGGTCAGTCACCTGTCAGAGGTAGAACAAGCAGGTGAATCACCTGTCAGAGGTAGAACAAGCAGGTCAGTCACCTGTCAGATGTAGAACAAGCAGGTCAATCACCTGTCAGAGGTAAAACAAGCTGGTTAGTCACCTGTCAGAGGTAAAACAAGGATATATTATTGTTGAAGAGATAACATACTGATTTAAAGAAAACTGAAAAACATTGACTATGTGAAAATCAGTGGTGCAGACAGAAAAGTTATGGAAGGTACACTTCTAGCAAGTTTAGGCTAGCTTCCACCAAGTAGGCACAATTATCACAGCATGGCTGTTAACCACAAAATATTGTGCCAACTACAATTTATGGGTGAATTCAGAAGGAATATAAAGATAATGAAATAAATTAATCCACAAAGAGAACGAACGACTGACTACCTGGCATCAGAAAACCTCATTCAATGAGCAGCTCACAAATGAGTTAAATCTACAGTATGTCATGACATCTGTGAAGCTGGAGGGGGTCATAGGAAGGCCAAGAAGGATGATGCTGCACACAGATGAGTAAATGTAAAGGGGCAGTTGTACACTGGACCAAAGGCTGAATAGGGGGACCAATGGCTGTACACAAGATAGAAGACTGTATACAAGACATAAGTTGTAGACAAAACAGAAGATTGTACACTGGACCATAGGCTGTACATAAACAAGACGTAAGTCTATTCATAAGACAGAAGGCTGTACACGAGACAGAAGGCTGTACACGAGACAGAAGGATGTACACAAGACAGAAGGATGTACACAAGACAGAAGGATGTACACAAGACAGAAGGATGTACACAAGGCAGAAGAATGTACACAAGACAGAAGGATGTACACAAGACAGAAGGATGTACACAAGACAGAAGGATGTACACAAGACATAAGGATGTACACAAGACAGAAGGATGTACACAAGACAGGATGTACACAAGTCAGAAAGATGTACACAAGACAGAAGGATGTGGACAGACTCAGTTCCCAATGACACATAAACAGGCTATGAGAGAGCTCATCACAAGTACAGACCCGGAAGTTTCTAAGCAACTTCTGTCTGTTCTTGTCCGGGATCCCACCAGGCACAATAAATTCTTTAATCTCATGCAGTGTCTGGAATCAAGAAAAACACATTCACTTTGTACTGTACAAAAGTTACGGTGAAACTGTAAAACACATTCACTCGGTCCTGTACAAATATTATGGTGAAACTGTAAAACTCGTTCACTCGGTCCTGTACAAAAGTTACAGTGAAACTCTAAAACATATCCACTTGGTCCTGTACAAAAGTTACGGTAAAACTCTAAAACATATTCACTCGGTCCTGTAAAAAAATTACAGTGAAACTGTAAAACACATTTATTCGGTCCTGTACAAAAGTTACGGTAAAACTCTAAAACATATCCACTTGGTCCTGTACAAAAGTTACGGTAAAACTCTAAAACATATCCACTCGGTCCTGTACAAAAGTTACAGTGAAACTCTAAAACATATCCACTTAGTCCTGTACAAAAGTTACGGTAAAACTCTAAAACATATCTACTTGGTCCTGTACAAAAGTTACGGTAAAACTCTAAAACATATCCACTTGGTCCTGTACAAAAGTCACGGTAAAACTCTAAAACATATCCACTTAGTCCTGTACAAAAGTTACGGTAAAACTCTAAAACATATCCACTCGGTCCTGTGCAAAAGTTACGGTAAAACTCTAAAACACATTCATTTGGTACTGTGCAAAAATTACAATAAAACTGTTTCCTAATTACTTCTTCACAATCACCCTCAAGAAGTGAACGAACAGTTATAACTTTATGCCAGAGTTTACAGTCAGTGAATGCGACAAAAAAGAAAGAGAAAGAGACTACATCATGATCAGAGAGCCTAGAGATGCAACATCGACCTTTAACTAGACTTAGAAGTTCACACTATCTGCCTGTTGATTCACCATTGAACTGAAGAACAACAGTAAACACATTCAGTCTTGTTAGTATAACTTTGTATATCTAACTGTTTTAGGCTTTCAGCTCTTTGGACCATGAAGAATTTTTGCAATTTGCAACAATTGACAAAACATTCTGCAGACAAGGAGATAGATGTAACAATAGCGAATTGAATTTTGAATTAAGAATCGACATCATACCACTCAGGACATTCCCATAAGCCCTCCATCCCCATCTTCAGCAGCAAGCGAAGAGTTCCAATTTCAATGGCACCAGTAACTGTCTGATGGTATATCTATATGGCCTTTCCCTTGAGTGTTGAACATTGGCTAGATTCCCTGGTAACCCCTCACAGTGCCGTAATAATCTATTATCGTCAGAACTACAGAATTCATGCTCTGTAATGATACCACATCAGGTGGCAATAGAGAGAGTGGGAAGAGGAGAAGACACGGAAATAGAGAGAGTGGGAAGAGGAGAAGACACGGAAATGGAGAGAGAAGAAGGGATAGAAATAGTAGAGTGGGAGCCCGGAGAGTCAGGCCAAAAATGGAGCGTTTGGGATTAGAATGAAAGAAAGTTCAAATTAACTAAGAATGTTGATCTTTGTGTTCAGGAGAGTTTCAAATAAATTATCAGCAACATTCAAGCAATTCTTATAGCTCTCTCTTTTTTTTGCTTTATTTTCTTCCTCCCCAATCCCTCCCTAACTCTCCTCTCCCTAATATTCATACTCACTCTGATCTCCCCACTTCCATTCTAATTTTACCTGCCCACCACTCAACTAACCATCTCTCTCTCTCTCTCTCTCTCTCTCTCTCTCTCTCCCTCACTCTCTCTCTCTCTCACTCCTCCCTCTCTCTCTCTCTCTATCTGTCTGTATCTCTCTCTCTGTCTTTCTGTCTCTCTGTCTCTCACACACACACACACACATGCACTCACGCACGCACACACACACAGAGAGAGAGAGAGAGAGAGAGAGAGAGAGAGAGAGAGAGAGAGAGAGAGAGAGAGAGAGAGAGAGAATGAAATAATATGTTCAAAGTTGACAATTATCCAACTGAGCACATGTTATAAATGTTTTCAGATGTCTGGACAAAATGACAGATATTGTCCAGAAACATAACATTGAATATAATAGTGATCTACTTGTCCGAAAACATAACATTGAATATAATAGTGATCTACGTAACCACATGTACACAAAATTTAAGATAGGCGTATCAGCCATGTGCCCCTGTGGAAAGGTGACCCAGACAGCAGAGCATGTACTCCAGGACTGCACCTAATTCGACACATTAAGGCAAACCTTTTGGCCAGAAAGAACAACAGTTGAACGTGAGCTCTATGGACCACTGAATGAACTAACAACGACAGTGAAATTTATACAAGAGACAAAACTGCTGATATAGACAACTTATTTCAGGCAAACGAAAGAAGAAGAAGAAGAATATAACATTGAATATAATAGTGATCTACTTGTCCAGAAACATAACATTGAATATAATTGTGATCTACTTGTCCAAAAACATAACATTGAATATAATAGTGATCTACTTGTCCAGAAACATAACATTGAATATAATAGTGATCTACTTGTCCAGAAACAAAACATTGAATATAATAGTGATCTACTTGTCCAGAAACATAACATTGAATATAATAGTGATCTACTTGTCCAGAAAAATAACATTGAATATAATAGTGATCTACTTGTCCAGAAACATAACATTGAATATAATAGTGATCTACTTGTCCAGAAACAAAACATTGAATATAATAGTGATCTACTTGTCCAGAAACATAACATTGAATATAATAGTGATCTATTTCATCAAATTTCATCTGAACCCAGAAAGTGAAAATAGCTATTGAATATTTTTAAATTTGTAAACTCATGTCTGTCGACAATTTAACACATTAAGTTAATCTTACTGTGATCACTTCATGGGTCCTCCGCGTTGTCAATGGGGTGTCACTCTGTTGCTGAACAAATAGAAAACAACAGATTACTACAATTACATTTTACAATATTTTAGTTTTTCTTCTTTTTTTTTATCTGCATTGGGCGGTTGGAAATTCCAATGGAAAGTTTTGGTTGTTCATCCACTTCTGGTCTTGTGTCTTATTCCAGAACTTGACTTTTGCATGCACATCTGTTTTTACAGATCTGGCTTATTTGTATGCAGACTGTTGGTTTCTTGTCGCAGGCAGATGCACTCTCACATTGAAGGAAATGGCCCTAATTAGTTGGCTTTTATACATGCGAGTCTATTCTATGTGAGTCTATTCTATGTGAGTCTATTCTATGTGAGTCTATTCTATGTGAGTCTATTCTATGCTAGTCTATTCTATGTGAGTCTATTCTATGTGTCTATTCTATGCTAGTCTATTCTATGTGAGTCTATTCTATGCTAGTCTATTCTATGTGTCTATTCTATGTGAGTCTATTCTATGTGAGTCTATTCTATGTGAGTCTATTCTATGTGAGTCTATTCTATGTGAGTCTATTCTATGTGAGTCTATTCTATGTGAGTCTATTCTATTCTATGTGAGTCTATTCTATGTGAGTCTAGTTCTATGTGAGTCTATTCTATGTGAGTCTATTCTATGTGTAGTCTATTCTATTCTATGTGAGTCTATTCTATGTGAGTCTATATTCTATGTGAGTCTATTCTATGTGAGTCTATTCTATGTGAGTCTATTCTATGTGAGTCTATTCTATGTGAGTCTATTCTATGTGAGTCTATTCTATGTGAGTCTATTCTATGTGAGTCTATTCTATGTGAGTCTATTCTATGTGAGTCTATTCTATGTGTCTCTATTCTATGTTCTATATGTGAGTCTATTCTATGTGAGTCTATTCTATGTGAGTCTATTCTATGTGAGTCTATTCTATGTGAGTCTATTCTATGTGAGTCTATTCTATGTGAGTCTATTCTTGTGCCTCCCCCCCCCCCCACCCCCCCCCCCCCTTTTCCTCACAATAAAGACCCAGAACTCACAAAGGGATCTTTAACTTACAAATACAAACAAATTAATGTTTAAGACTAATTTTACACTCAGCAGTTCACCAATGACCCTGAATAGTCAATGCTTATTTTAAAAGAGTTAGTTGTGTATCCTTTACAGGACAGAGCAGCCTCGGCCCCAGCCCCAGCTCCAGCCCCAGCTCCAGCTCCAGCCCCAGCTCCAGCCCCAGTTCTAGCTCCAGCCCCAGCCGCAACTCCAGCCCCAGCTCCAGCATTCTTTGGCTGTTGTGGTTTTTCTGGGCAAGTTTTTACATTCAGTAGTTTACGAAACGGTCAGCTCTCAGTACCACAGTCAAAGCCAATGCAAGACCAACCGTCCACAGCTGGGATAGAACCCAGCATTATGAAGCTCTTTCGCAACTTCTGAGCCACAGATAGCGGCCAATGCTTATACCCTTGATAAAATCAATGTAAAGCACTCTGCTGCCTAATCTCCATCAGCTGAATGAAGACTGGTATAACAGAATGATAAAACTAAGTTTACAACCCTTAAACCACAGACGACATCTTCTATAAGAATGACAATAAGTATTTCATATACACAAGAATAACACAAGTTTTTCTAGACTATCTACGTTGGGGAATATAAACACTTACATCTTGAATAAGGTTGAAAAGAAATGGTAGCATGCCAGCCACAAAGTTGAAGTCGAGGTAGTCAGCGTAAGCCACCATCTGAATGGTGTAAGCATCGTCGTACATGCTCTCCGTACTTGCAGAAATCTGGAATGTTTACATCACACATGTTAGTTACCGAATTATGAAATGATGGTTACATCACGCATGTTAGTTACCGTAAATTATGAAATGATGGTTACATCACGCATGTGAGTTACCGTACAATGAAATGATGGTTACATCACGCATGTGAGTTACCGTACAATAAAATGATGGTTACATCACGCACGTTAGTTACAGTATAATGAAATGATGGTAACATCACGCATGTTAGTTACCGTAAAATGAAATGATGGTTACATCATGCATGTTAGTTACCGTATAATGAAATTATGGTTACATTATGCACGATAGTTACTGTATAATGAAATGATGGTTACATCACGCATGCTAGTTACCGTACAATGAAATGATGGTTACATCACGCATGTTAGTTACCGTACAATGAAATGATGGTTACATCACGCACGTTAGTTACCGTACAATGAAATGATGGTTACATCACGCATGTGAGTTACCGTACAATGAAATGATGGTTACACCACACATGTTAGTTACCGTATAATGAAATGATGGTTACATTACGCATGTTAGTTACCGTAAAATGAAATTATGGTTACATCATGAACGTTAGTTACCTTATAATGAAATGATGGTTACAGTACAATGCAGGTTTATAGGTTAGTAACAATATTAAAAGTCTAAGGTGAAGCACCAGCAATTAAATCAAAATTAAAATTTTGAGAGCATGCATCTTCCCTGTAGCAACAAGCCGATTTGAGCTGTGGGCGATCTCCCAGTCCTTAAGAAAAAAAATAGCGGCTTTTGAACTAAAATGCTATAGAAAGATTCTCAGAATATCTTGAATAAAGAAGAGGAAAAATACTAACATATTAAAAGATGTGAACATCTAGAAAGATTGGCTAATAAACAGCATCTTGTCTTGGAAACTGAAATATTTTGGTCATACCAAGTGCAGTGAAGGATTGGAAACAATAAGAGCAGAAGGTATGGTACCAGGAAGGAGGGGCAGGGGCCGACCAACATGAAGATGGGAACAGGATACAAGTGACTCCTATGAAATGTACGAGGCAGGAGAGCTGGCGAGAGACGCAGTTTCTGTCTGGCAGAAGGTGATGACAGTGACATTCTGCAAAGGACCTGCTACAGGATGAACTTGCCTACATATACCATATCGTTGCTTTATCAGAATTACTTTATCTTCACTCTGTGTGATGTCAGCTTTGACTAGGCCTCAGTAAAGGGGTTCCAAAGTTCTGAGAAAGCAAAGCATACTTGCAAATAATTGACTATTTACATCACTAGTGCTGCTGACAGATTGAAACTGGAGGTCCAGTACATCATTAAAATGTTTTATGCCATATAAATGGGCTTTAATATATTCTTTTCTAACAGTGGTGAGCACCTCCCCCGAAGGTGTCTCCACCGGCACCGTGGTGGGGGAGCTTGTGTTTCTTACTCTCAATGACCCTGAGAGCTATGCCTGCGATAGCGTAGCTACCAGCAGGACCCCCCAAGCTGGATAGGTCAAAGGGTAGAGAACAAACAAAGACACAAAGAAAAGACACCCTAGTCCTCCAGGTTGGGGGTTGAAGAGTGGGGCCAGCACCTCCGCGAAACAGATATCTAATCCTTGACACTTGTGTCACCAACTGGAAAGGGCCAACCAGAGAGATGAATGGAGGTGGGTGATATCTGCAGCAATGAACCTCAAGGGCTCGGAATGCTGAAGGCCAACCAGAGAGATGAATCGAGGCGGGTGATATCTGCAGCAATGAACCTCAAGGGCTCGGAATGCTGAAGGCCAACCAGAGAGATGAATGGAGGCGGGTGATATCTGCAGCAATGAACCTCAAGGGCTCGGAATGCTGAAGGCCAACCAGAGAGATGAATCGAGGCGGGTGATATCTGCAGCAATGAACCTCAAGGGCTCGGAATGCTGAAGGCCAACCAGAGAGATGAATGGAGGCGGGTGATATCTGCAGCAATGAACCTCAAGGGCTCGGAATGCTGAAGAAGAAGAAGAAGTGGTGAACCCCACAAGCCACTATAGAAGGTTCCTGACCTTTCTGAGAGGTGCCCCGTCCCACTTGAGACCTTGCATGGTTCTTTCTGTGTCACATTCATGGTACTGCCTCTTTTCATAATCTTCATCTGGTGAAATAAATGTTGGGTATTTTCATAAAAATATAGACAATATAATAATAATAACTGCATCAGAGTGACATCCACAGTTTATATATATATATATATATATAAAAGTGATACAATTGTTGATACAGAAAAATTCATCATTATCACTTTATTCTGTAACCCTGGAGATATGCTGAAGGAGGATGATGATGACAGGTTCATCAACCAAAATCCTCAACGCCCTCTGATCTCAGGAAGGTGTACAAATATGGAAATACTATGTCATCCAGAGAAAGCCAGTTTTTCGACTTTTAAGGGTTTTGAAGACAGACTGACTGACTGACCTTCTACCCCACCAGGACATCACACAAGCGATAAACACCCGATGACACAACGTTCCACCATGTGGGTGAGAATCACTGTGAAGAGGTCCCAGAAACCGTGTTCAGACTTTAGGCCATATTTATGGCCAGGCTATATTGCGGCCCCTGGCAAGAGCCAGAGTAGGGCTTCAAATATAGAAAAATTTCATCCTTAAAGGGACGGGGTTATTTTAATTTTAACTGACTGACTGACTGACTTGCTGACTCTCTAACCCACCAGGACATCACACAAGCAATAAACGCCCAATGACGCAAAGTGCCACCATGTGGATGAGGATCACTGTGGAGAGGTCTCAGAAACCGCGTTCAGACAAGTGGCCAACTTATGGCCTGCCTATATTGCGGTGGGGCTTCAAAGAACAAAAAATTTCGTCCTAAAAAGGACGTAAGGATAAGCCTAAATAACAGCTTTGGTACTCAGTGCAACTGCATAATGGGGGAAAGGGGGGGGGGGGGGGGGGGGGGGGGGGGGTATATATTTATCATTGTGACATCATGATAAACTTATGATGGCATCACTTTGCCCTCTGTGGCTATGTCAACAAAAACCCATTTTTCTTGGTCAAAGGGAAGGAAAGCAGTTGTTTCTTTGTTTTATTTGTATTTAGTGATTACTTCCCTTCTAATAAAAATAATCACATTTGCACAAAATAATGATTTCAAATAGAAAAAAGTGCAGCTTTATTTTAATTTAGTGATTTGGGAACCACAGTGATGCAATAGCTAGAAGGCTTGCCTCTTTACTCGGTGGTTACAGTTTTTGTCAAAACTAAGACTCCCAAATTTCTTCAGCTTCTTCTTCTCCTACTCTAGTTTCTTAGAATTTGACTGAATTATAACAATGTTTCATTATAACGACATTAAAAAAAAAATTATACTTTAAAATTTAAAAAAAAAAAAAAAAGATTTTTACAGCTGATAGGGTAAACGATTTTATGTGTTTATATCTTCTCCTTTTGGACTGAACCTTTGCTTGAATGATTGCTCTAGAGAAGGTGTCATGACTGGCAAACAAGACTGAGCACTTATAAATGTAACCAGAGCACACTGAAACCATTTCCATAAACTTAACAAATATGGCAAACACAGTACTGACCCTTGTGTGCATGAAGCCAACAGTTAGTGAGGACGTGTTCAATCCGGGCGTAACTTTCCAGCTGAATCTCATCTCGCTCCTTAACAGATTAGTGAATGTAAAATGTATAAATATATGCCAACAAAGAAAAGAAACAAAACTTCCTAAGCAACATGTTTACAAGAGATCTAATTAGTTTGACTGACATCTTTCCGTCTTTCCAGACGATAGTGTTATATTGTGCTTTAAGGAGACATGGGACTCACAGCCCATGGCGATGACGAGTGTGACTAGCAAGACCCGCCCGTGTCAAGAAAAGTCTTCCACAATGATAGTATGGGATTTCAGGACCATTGTTGTCAACATTTGTGTTTGATCTGTTTCTTCTCAGACAGTTTAGTGACTGCAACATGTTTTTGAAAAAATATCCAGACAAACAAAAGGAAACAAAACTTTTATAGCAACATGTATAAAAAAGCTCTTAACAGACTAGTGAATTTAATATGCATGCAAGGCTCACAACTCTCACATTTTTGACTAGCAAGGGGGATTATACTTCTCCACATTGTGTGTTCTCAGGGACCATGTATCTATTAGTGGGTTGACATTTTTCTTTGCCTTGACGAAAGGTTACCAAGAATTCTTATTCATTATCTTTGCATGTCTCTCCTTTCATGTGTGTTTGGTAATGAACATGCTGGAAGACTGGCTGCTGCTGCCCCTCTGGGTGTAATGCTACATTGTAATAAAGTGGATGCTGTGAAGGTTCTCTGGAATCAAGTGAGCTGAACAGACACAGCATCCATGTCTGGAGAGAATGATCCAGCTGGAATTAAGCAGAGGGTGGGGACGATTTTTTTTTTTTAACCCATAGGAGAAAAACACAACAACAGGCACAGTTCTAATCATGTTGCAACTGTCACCATTAGAATGGGAACTCTTCACTGGCGAGGGAGACAAAGCACATATGGTTATGTCCTAAGTGTATTTATGTCAGCTCTTAATTTATTCATTCATCTTTCCACATATCCCTTTGACTGTCATGACATGTTCCTGACTCCATGTAACATGAAATAGTTCCAGCTTCACCTCCACAATATATTATTATTATTTTTATTATTTTCAACTAAATTCAGTTTTTACTTGTCCTATTATTGACAGATAAAAAGTGTCATGAAGACTACTTGAAAGAAGTAAATGAACAAAGAGAGCTATCTGATCAGGATAAAGTCAATCTACAATTTATTGGTGATATTGTGTCATATTGTGAGAAGGAGAAAATTGGAGTATATCATGACATGGGGAAAGTTGGAGGGGAAGAAAGGCAGAGGAAGACAAAGAGAAAGGATGCCGGATAGTCTGGCTTCATGCCATGCAGGATCATCTGTGTCAGAAATGACTGAAAATTCTTTATTTACAGTTTTCAGCAGTAGAATCAAAAATCACACCAGACTCCCTGAATATATTCCTGACAGCAAGAAAACACAAAAAATGTATGTCATTGTTGACACACAGTATTATGATAGCTGCATGGAAAATCCAAAATTGTGTGATCACAATGTACAGAGTTAGCTAGTGATTACATGCCCTACCTTAAGTACAGAATGTAATCGGAATACAGTCCTAGGGTCGGATGCATCTGGGGTCAGTGATACCTCCATCTTGGAGTCAATACACAAATACTGCCTGGTCAACATATGGCGCAGTCGGACTTGCTGCTCCCATCTCAAAACATCTCCTACATTCATAGAAATGTACAAATGACACAAACACTGCCACAAATCTTTACAAGAGAAGAAACGGGTTAAATGTGTCAGCACGTGGTTTATAAATCATCATCTTCATTGAACACAGATGACTCCCTAAATGCCACAGTCTCTTCGATTTGATCACACATGGAGAATCGCAACACAGTGCACAAAACCCTCAGCATGAGAAGAGACCTAAATGTGTAAATATATCCCCCAGTCATCATCATCATCATGTGCCCTGCCAGCTGGCGTGATGCTCATGTGTCTCCACAGATCACAATCCCTGGTTGCCTGGAACAGCTCTCTTGATGATATCCCTCCATGCCATCATTTCAGCCCATCCAGCATCATCTCTCTTGGTCTGCCTCTACCCCTTTTCTCCCACTTATCTTTCCAGTTGTCACGATGTTCTCCAATGTCTCTCTTCTCATTATGTGGCCAAAGAACAGTGTTTGTCTCTTTCTTATTGTTGTATATAAAGATCTACTTTCATTAGCCTCTTTCAAGCAATATCGCCAGTCATGTGTGCAATAAATATTATTTTGTGGTAAGTTTTCCTGATTTTAAAATTTAGTTTCAGCACTAGCCAATCAACCAGTTCTGTACTCAAGAGAGTTTTTCTGTTTGTTTATTTATTTGTGTGTGTGTGTGTATGTGTGTGTGTGTGTGTTAATCATCATCATCATCATGTATAATGTTAATAAGCACAAAGTGTGATGTTTTGCAATCCTACATGATCACCAGAATCACAGAGCAGGTCAGTGCTCTTGTCTCAACCTATCCATAGACCATCCAGATATTTATATCTTTTCCCTTCCACTTCTCCGCCACCACCCTGCTCTGTTTCCATCCATCTTGTCAGTTCTCAAGTCCACTCCTTCTCATGACAGTCTTTTGAAAAAAAAAAACATACTATGTTGGCATAAACCTTTCTATTATTTTTTTTGGGTAACTATCTGAGAGTGCTAGACATCCTAACTACTACCAAATGAACAATGAGAAGTAAAAAAAACTTTCCTTTACTTTGTGGAAATCTATCTACACCCATCAACAATCAAACCAAGTCTGCACAAGTTCAAGGTAAATGCTCTACTCTAAAGCCACTCTCCTACCAAACAAATGAATAAAGCATGTATGTAGCAAGACCACAGGTTCATCAACACAGGCTCAGTAATTCACACTCAACATCAACACAGACTCAATCACTCACCATCAACACAGGCTCAATCACTCACCATCAACACAGACTTAATCACTCACCATCAACACAAGCTCAATCACTCACCATCAACACAGACTCAATCACTCACCATCAACACAGACTTAATCACTCACCATCAACACAGGCTCAGTCACTCACCATCAACACAGGCTCAGTCACTCACCATCAACACAGACTTAATCACTCACCATCAACACAAGCTCAGTCACTCACCATCAACACAGGCTCAATCACTCACCATCAACACAGGCTCAATCACTCACCATCAACACAAGCTCAGTCACTCACCATCAACACAGGCTCAATCACTCACCATCAACACAGGCTCAGTCACTCACCATCAACACAGGCTCAGTCACTCACCATCAACACAGGCTCAATCACTCACCATCAATACAGGCTCAATCACTCACCATCAACACAAGCTCAGTCACTCACCATCAACACAAGCTCAGTCACTCACCATCAACACAGGCTCAGTCACTCACCATCAACATAGGCTCAATCACTCACCATCAACACAGGCTCAATCACTCACCATCAACACAAGCTCAGTCACTCACCATCAACACAAGCTCAGTCACTCACCATCAACACAGGCTCAGTCACTCACCATCAACATAGGCTCAGTCACTCACCATCAACACAGGCCTAATCACTCACCATCAACACAGACTCAGTCACTCATCATCAACACAGACTTAATCACTCACCATCAACACAGACTTAATCACTCACCATCAACACAGACTTAATCACTCACCATCAACACAAGCTCAGTCACTCACCATCAACACAGACTTAATCACTCACCATCAACACAGGCTCAATCACTCACCATCAACACAGGCTCAGTCACTCACCATCAACACAGACTCAATCACTCACCATCAACACAGGCTCAATCACTCACCATCAACACAGGCTCAATCACTCACCATCAACACAGACTCAATCACTCACCATCAACACAAGCTCAGTCACTCACCATCAACACAGGCTCAGTCACTCACCATCAACACAGGCTCAGTCCCTCACCATCAACACAGACTCAATCAATCACCAACACAGACTCAATCACTCACCATCAACACAGACTCAATCACTCACCATCAACACAGGCTCAGTCACTCACCATCAACACAGGCTCAGTCACTCACCATCAACACAGACTCAATCACTCACCATCAACACAGGCTCAGTCACTCACCATCAACACAGGCTCAGTAACTCACCATCAACACAGGCTCAGTCACTCACCATCAGCACAGACTCAGTCACTCACCATCAACACAGACTCAGTCACTCACCATCAGCACAGACTCAGTCACTCACCATCAACACAGACTCAGTCACTCACCATCAGCACAGACTCAGTCACTCACCATCAGCACAGACTCAGTCACTCACCATCAGCACAGACTCAGTCACTCACCATCAGCACAGACTCAGTCACTCACCATCAGCACAGACTCAGTCACTCACCATCAGCACAGACTCAGTCACTCACCATCAACACAGACTCAGTCACTCACCATCAGCACAGACTCAGTCACTCACCATCAGCACAGACTCAGTCACTCACCATCAACACAGGCTCAGTCACTCACCATCAGCACAGACTCAGTCACTCACCATCAACACAGACTCAGTCACTCACCATCAACACAGGCTCAGTCACTCACCATCAACACAGGCTCAGTCACTAACCATCAACACAGGCTCAGTCACTCACCATCAACACAGGCTCAGTCACTCACCATCAACACAGGCTCAATCACTCACCATCAACACAGGCTCAGTCACTCACCATCAACACAGGCTCAGTCACTCACCATCAACACAGGCTCAGTCACTCACCATCAACACAGGCTCAGTCACTCACCATCAACACAGGTTCAGTCACTCACCATCAACACAGGCTCAGTCACTCACCATCAACACAGGCTCAGTCACTCACCATCAACACAGGCTCAGTCACTCACCATCAACACAGGCTCAGTCACTCACCATCAACACAGGCTCAGTCACTCACCATCAACACAGACTCAGTCACTCACCATCAACACAGACTCAGTCACTCACCATCAACACAAGCTCAGTCACTCACCATCAATACAGGCTCAGTCACTCACCATCAACACAGGCTCAGTCACTCACCATCAACACAGGCTCAGTCACTCACCATCAAGTATGCTATGCTCCGCCTCCACCTGCCAGTAGATTAGACCTGACGTGGAAGGAGACAAAGATTTCGGACGGTGTTGGTCGATGGCTCGGATTCTGAAATGAACTGAACAAATATAACATTATGCTTAACTGTGCCCACAATACTGACTTTTAATTGGTTGCTGTTTTATTACTTTGAGGATTTTGATGATATCTTTTCTGTCTTTGAAATGTGATATTTTCACTGTAGAGGGAAATAATGCTTGAATGGTTAGTTGCGTTTCCTTTACAGGACGTTGCAGAACCAACTCCAACAGCCCATGGCTGTTGTGTGATTTTTCTAGTCAAATTTACATCCAGTAGTTTGCCATTTCTTTCTGGATGGTTGGCTTTTTTGATACCACTGTTGAAACCAACGCAAGGCGCATAATGTCTGAATACATTATGCTTTTATCTCTCACTCTGTTTTATTGGCTAATACTGACTTATTTTGTTGATATTTATGGTAGCATGTTGTTTCTGGTACATGGCTTTTACAGTTTTGTGTGTGTTTTAAATCAGCATCGTGGACAATATCAACACAGTCTCCTGTCATCTTCAGTAGCAGCATCACCAGACAATATCAACACAGTCTCCTGTCATCTTCAGTAGCAGTATCACCAGACAATATCAACACTGTCTCCTGTCATCTTCAGTAGCAGTATCACCAGACAATATCAACACAGTCTCCTGTCATCTTCAGTAGCAGTATCACCAGACAATATCAACACAGTCTCCTGTCATCTTCAGTAGCAGTATCACCAGACAATATCAACACAGTCTCCTGTCATCTTCAGTAGCAGCATCACCAGACAATATCAACACAGTCTTCTGTCATCTTCAGTAGCAGCATCACCAGACAATATCAACACTGTCTCCTGTCATCTTCAGTAGCAGCATCACCAGACATTATCAACACTGTCTCCTGTCATCTTCAGTAGCAGCATCACCAGACATTATCAACACAGTCGCCTGTCATCTTCAGTAGCAGCATCACCAGACATTACTTCCCGCCACCACAATATCTACAGCAAAAACAACAGTAACAATAATAACACTGAGGCCCCTGGTACCTTCTGAATGACTACTAGTAGCATGATAATGGAGATGATGGTGGTAACACAAGCTCTCATATGGCTAGCATCGCAGGACTATTCCATCGCAGGACTATTCTTATGTGTGTGTGTGTGTGCTGATTTATTCCATGAGCATGATCCGGCAGGTCGAGGCAGGCTGTGTAGGCAGACAGTTGATCAAGCCATTGTAAAACTCCACTGTGCGTGGAGTTACCTTCATGTTTGTCCCAGGGGATGCTGGTGTTGTTGGCAATAAAACAGCCAACAGATTAGCCGGATCTGCCTCAGTTACAGAGGGCCGGCCCATGGACATTGTTAATGTCATTAGAGAGGTAGGACAATCGAGGATTTTGGGAGCAGCACATCCACATCTTTGCTATGAGTGCAAGAATTAGGAGTAAAGATCAGCACAGTCAGGCATGAGAAGCACACCGGACGCACGAGAAGTCTTGTCAACCAACACAGGACTGGAACTATCAACAGCCAGACGCTGATGTATATGTTGAAGGAAGAATCTGAGCACCTATGGATGTGTCCAGAGTGCCGTGAAGCTAACCCACATCATAACACAATAACAATGAAATTAGCAACTCACCATCTTCTATGACAGCATCATCAAAGAGACCTTCTGCAACCAGGTAAGCTTCCAGTTCTTTATGAAACAGACGAACCACATAGCCACCCTGGCAGACGTGATAAACATGGTCAGGTTTGAGAATAATCTGGCTAGCAGAGTTCTCATAAGGTTATACTTAGAAAACATATGAATAAATAACAAAATACTGAAAGTGTAAGTAAAAAAAGTAAAAAGGCTCCTTTTCCATACATTTGGGTGTATAGGGCATATAGGGCTAGACCTATATTTTTATAGACCAATCGGTACAAGATGTGTGATGTGATCAGCATCACGCTGGCTGCCTTTACTTCCTGGGACTGCACCAGGTACCCACTTAAGGCTGGGTTGACCTGGGAGTCAAGGTAATTTTGTAGAAAATGTCCGGCACCGCCAGGGAGTGAACCATGACCTTCCGATCCGCATGTGAGCCTCTAGCTGCTACGCCACAGTGACTTCCAGTAAAACTGCAGCACTTTAAAAAAAAAAAAAAATTTTTATATGAAAAATAACCTCCACAAGATAGATAATAAAGAAGTTTTCATTAATATATAGAATAATTTTATTTTAAATAGTGTGAGCTGGTTTTGCTAGTCATACTCATTACTGCCATGGGAGGTGAGTCCCACACTTCCCTACAGCAGGATATAACAATATCATTTGGAAAAACACAAAGGTATCAACAATATTTACATCTAAAAAACCTCAGCTGGACTTTCTAACAGGAATGATAGACAGAGGAAGGAGAAACTACTAACTAAAAGTTAGTGGGGTCAAGAGATATTTAAATGTATAAGAAATGAGCATGAAGTGGAGGGTGATAGAAACACAGTTCAGAAGTTACTGACCCGAACAAATTTTTCCTGATCTGGCCTGTGTCGGTAGTGGCCAACCAGTGTGAAACTTGACCTTTCAATGCCGAGGTTGAGTTCGCACCTGGAATAAACAAGCCAGAAATTTGATTATTTCTAATGTGAACAGTACATTTTGATTATTTCTTCTGTGAACAGTACATCTTAATTATACTCTCCTCGTGTGTGTTCTGGGGTCCCAGGCTGGGGAAAATGGGGCAGATCCATTACCTCAAAATGGGAATAGATCCATTACCTCAAAATGGGAAAAGATCCATTACCTCAAAATGGGAATATATCCATTACCTCAAAATGGGAATAGATCCATTACCTCAAAATGGGAATATATCCATTACCTCAAAAAAAGAATATATCCATTACCTCAAAAAAAGAATATATCCATTACCTCCCTAACAAGCATGTAGTACATGGTGAATAATTAGGAGTTCTCTTGTGCTAGAGTGCATCTGCCTGAGAGGCATGGAACCAACAGTCTGCATACAAATAAGCCAGATCTGTAAAAGAAATATTCACACAAAACTCAAGTTCTGGAAAAGACCAAAATCCAGAATGGACACATTTCTGCTGTAGCTTACAGTCGTTGGTGGCTTGGGCCTTGCAAACACGCTTTATAAATGGTTTGGTCCCAGCTGTTTGTGATTTGTCTTGTGTTGGTTTTGACAGTGGTACCGAGCTCTGACGGTTCAGAAGCAATGGCAAACTACTGAATGTAAAATGTGCCTAGAAAACCCACAACAGCCGAAAAATGCTGGGGTTTGTACTGCAACATCTTATAATGGATGCACAACTAACTAAGATTACAAAACAAAATAATAATGTTCATGAAAGAAAACACACCCTCTGGCGGCATTAGTATTACCACGATGGGAACAATTAAAATTTGAAAGCATAATCAGCAGCAGGTAATCTAGTCAAAGAAGGACAATGAGTTATGTGTGATCTGTCAATGAGGGACAATGAGTTATGTGTGATCCATCAAAGAGGGACAATGAGTTATGTGTGATCCATCAAAGAGGGACAATGAGTTATGTGTGATCCATCAAAGAGGGACAATGAGTTATGTGTGATCCATCAAAGAGGGACAATGAGTGATGTGTGATCCATCAAAGAGGGACAATGAGTTATGTGTGATCCATCAAAGAGGGAAAATGAGTTATGTGTGATCCATCAATGAGGGACAATGAGTGATGTGTGATCCATCAAAGAGGGACAATGAGTTTTGTGTGATCCGTCAAAGAGAGACAATGAGTTATGTGTGATCCATCAAAGAGGGACAATGAGTGATGTGTGATCCGTCAAAGAGGGACAATGAGTGATGTGTGATCCGTCAATGAGGGAGAAGGATTAAGTTTTTAAAAATTGTTAAAACTTCTGTTGAACAGAGTCTCACACCCAAATGTTAGTACTTCTGCGGTGAACAACATTCTAGAAAATATGATTCAACCTGAAAATAGCTCAGGATTTCGAAAACATTTTATGTTTTGATAACATGCATTAGGCATCATTAAACAGAACATATTAGGAACCGAGTGGGTTCAGTACAACATACCCAAATGAGAAGTGGTCAGTCTGGTAGGGCTCACTGACGTGGAAGTAGTGGCCTGGAGATTTGACGCTTTCAAACACAATCTGGTCGTAGAGTTGAACCTGTCGACCCCAAAAATACATTTGTAACTGGGAAATAATCACAAGATGCTGGGGTCTTGTCCCCATTATAGTCATTAATAATTACATATATAACTACATTCTATCTATCTATTGTCTTCTTCACTTTTACCGGGTTGCAGCCCAGTGTCGTGGTTTAAAATATTTGTTTTGTGCCTCTCGCGTGATTTGAGTGACAGTTTTCTGGATCTTCTGGCCGTATTCAGCTACTCCATCTATCCATTTTTTCCTGGGTCTTCCTCTGGCCTTTCTTCCCGATGTTCTACTGTAAAAGGCCTTATAGGCAATCTGATCCGGTTGCATTCTTACTAAATGGCCAAACCACTTCATTCTCTGTCTTTCAATATGTTCCATGCATGCTCTTGTTCCAACTTTGTCTCTAATGCTGACGTTTGTGACTCTGTCTCTTCGTGTATTGTTGGTGATTCTTCGGAGACATCGCATTTCACACGTAGTTATTTTTTGCAGATGTGATTTGTTCATTGTCCACGTTTGGCACTGATAACATAACGTAGGGATGAAAATGCTGCTGATCATCCGTTGTTTGGCTGGTAACGAGATCTTTGGATGACAAAGAAGTGGGGCCAGTTGGTAGTTGACTGCATTGGCTTTTTGAACTCTAGCCTGTATCTTTTTATCGAGTCTTCCATCTTCTGTAAATATGCATCCCAAGTACTTGAATTCTTGAACTTGTTCTAATTGTATGTCATTGATCTTTATGTTTACATTACTGTGTTTCTTTCCTATGGTCATTACTTCAGTTTTTGAGGTGTTTATTTTCATGTCAAATTTTGTACAGTGAGTGAGCAATGAATCAACTTGTAGTTTTTGTTCTTCTTTTTGTAACAAACATTGGTCATCTGCAAAGAGTAGTTCATTTATAATATCTGTGTTTTGGTTTGACTCCTTTGCAATTTTATCCATATATGTGATGAAGAGTAGGGGTGATAGGACATATCTTTGTCGTACGCCTGATGTAATGGGGAACCAGTCTGTCAAACCTTCCGTTGTTCTTACAGCGCTCTGGCTATTCTGATAGAGAGCCCTTATGTTTCCCAATAATTGACCCGGTACACCATATTCTTCAAGAATGTTCCATAGTTTATTTCTGTTAACCCTGTCAAAAGCCTTCTCTTGATCAATGAATATAAGATTCTGATGTTTATTATATTCGATTGTTTGTTCACAAATTTGCCGAAGAGTAAATATTGCATCAGTGCAGCTCTTTCCTTTTCTAAATCCAAACTGGTTGTTACTTAATTGAGGTTTATAACTACATTGCCTCATAATATTTCTACATCTTCTACTGAACCTCATCTTCTTCCTCCTACCTAACTCCTACTTTTTTTTCCTTTCTCAAATCTACCTCCTTCTACCTACTCCTTATTCTTCATACATTTCTGAGCTATCCAAGTAAAACTACATTCAACATAAGAGAACCCAGCATACAAAGCAGCATTATTCTTTTTTCTATGATATATCTCAGATAGTCATAGCTCAATGTTCATTCAAGTAATTTGTGTATAGCAACCAACTTATCGTGCTCGACTTCTTGCATTAACGACAAACAGAACTTCTAGCAACTGAAATACGCATTTACAGTGTGCTCATTTTTCTGGATTGTTCTGGGACTAATTGTTTGTTCACCAGTTTTTCAAACGCGACTGTGAGGGACATTTCAATTGATTTGCACTGGCACAGGAATGGAGCAAGTATGGGGAAACCCGAGTGTGGTGATGTTGAAACATCGACTATGATTAAGACTAAGACATTCCAGTAATTAGCATTTACGAATGATGATGATTAACTTAACAAGAGATTCATGAATCTGTACAAAATACAGAAAAATGCTCTTACCACTTCTCCTTCTGACTTCACTTTGTAGCGGGGAACAATTCTGAACTGAGCATTTTTGGAGTTAAACTCAATCAGTGACACCTACAGACAGAAACACATGAAACAAATTAAAATAAATTCAAACTGACGTGTGTGTATTACAGTGTGTGTGTGTGTGTGTGGGTGGAAAGGGGGAGGGGGGAGTTAATGGTATGCAACATTAGACAATACCAAGACATTAAAACAAAAAATTTTTTAAGGCATAACTTTTTTTTTAAACACTACTTCAGTAGACGCTTTGTAGGGAATATGGTCATGTTTTTAGACACTGTGTGGTTAGCACTGGCACCATTTGCCTAAACAACAAAATGCCTTGGGTTGAGAGGTATGTGCCTGAACCCACCTGAGCCTAGAAAATCCCTGGAAACCGTGTTTAACCATACAAACAGATATATTAGAGCATGCGATGGTTACATAGTGACCTGAAGTTTCGACCAGGTTATGAATAGCAGCAAATACAAAAGATTGTTGACCTGTGATTTTCATACTAGATGCCTTTTAAATGCTTCCTGAATATTAGGATTATAAAGTTTATAAGTCTGACATATCCGGAACAAGTGAAAAACAGAACACAGTCAGAAATAGATTCAAACACAGAAAGCACAAGACTAAAGACTAACCATCATGCATTGCTTAG